TTCCGTATGTAATAACTTGGGATGGGCTTGTAATGAAGTCCCATATACACTACGTATAGAAAGTGTATCTGATCACGTTTAGGCATATGTTTTGTTGATAGTGCTCAAGAAGGCGCTAGAAAGCATCTCATTCGATAATCGCTATGGATTTCATGAGGATGAAGCAACGGAAACCAACATAAAACTGAGCGCGAGATGACTGCAGCCAGAATGTCAGAACACGATCCAGTTTCAGAAATCTATCTATATACAATAAATGGCTCCATATTTCCCCCGAACTGCTAATCTTTCCCCGTGCATATCTTGTTTTTTCTCCTGTAATTTCACTTTCTAAAATTACTATGTTTCTTCTTTCTAGCAAGTCACATTTCATGGGTAAAAGTGTCTTCCGTACGATGAATTTTTAATTATTAGAGTTTATTGAAAACTTCTGAAATGAAATGATTTCTAATGTTCCTTCCGAAAAAAATGCATGTGACGAGAAATGCACCCCTGATGATTGAAAGTGAAAGAAACAATTACATGAGGACTATTTTCGAGTAAATTGAAAAATTTGTATAGTAATCATTTCTAGTTATAAAAATACACACTTGTGTATGCTTCTCATATATTAATATTGAGAGATATGCATTTCATGTACTTGTAAATGGCGCTACACGTACACATGCCTGCAGACAATCTCACGGACAGCATACATAAACAGACGCCAAACATAAACAAATGGCACGTATAAACAGACACAAACATACAGACACAGACACACACACACACACGAATAGAGACATATTTCTCTGAAGTAGAAATGAGTTGAACGGGATGAAAGAAAGGTATGAGTCAGCCAGTGATTATTACTATGAAAAATTTAATAAATGTGTGATACAGAATAGTAATTATTCATATATCAGATAATTAAAAGTGGTTACTTATGATGCAAAATACTGCGAAAAAAGTATTTAAATATTGAAAGAAATACTTAAATAACTCAACATGATACTTGATTTTAGTGCGCAAGTTTTAGTTGTTCCTCTTACAGAGTGCGTGCTTCATAATTCCTTGCAGTAGTGAAGATTAAAAGAAATCAGTGCAGCAATCTGATACCAACTTATTGAATCATCTCACAAATGATTTCTAGAAGTCAAATGAAGTTAATTGAGGTTAAGTCAGATCATATGTACGTGTGCATCTTTATATGCATGTAAATAGTGTCAAAGTAAATGAAAAATGGCATGTAGAATTCTGCAAAATGATGGATAGACATACTTCTTTAATAACATACTACAAACAGATACACTATAGCGCACGTCACAGTCCACGGCCCTAATTTTTAGGAGAGAACCAGTTTGATCATAGCGCATTCTTGTCACTTCCATTCGCATACCCTAACAAACCAACGCACACGCACATACGACAAATCATCATTCTAATCGCTGTTATTTTCATTACCAAAAATACTGACTACTGTCCTTATCATTATTACAAATAATTTCCTCGCATTTACTTCTGCTTCCTTTTATCAATATTAATAATTTCTACTAGCAGCAATGACAAGTTTATTATTCACTACATTTTCATTGTAATGATGAATGTCGTTGCTGTTGTTGTCATCGTGAAAGAACTTTACAAATCAAAGATGTATGTCAAGAATCAAATAACACAATTATCTCATGAAAAAATTTGCTGCAGATGGATACAAAAAAAGATGAATGACTATGAAGTAAAAAATGTTTATCGGTGATTTATGTATAGTTTCGGTTGCTAAAAGATGGATGATATGTATTAAGATTACCTCGTCATAAAATGCATCATTTCATTGAACAACAAAATTAATTAATTTATTATTAATCAAAGATGGACAAGTATTGGGAATAAAATGGATAAGCGAAATTCGCAATTAGTTTGCGGTCAAATGTTGCAAGAGTCAAGAAATAAGGTGAATATTTTAGATAATATTGAAGAAGAATGTTGAGAAGTGGACCGTGGCACTAAACTTCCATTAATAGCAAATTCGGTACTAAGAGTCAAAACAAAATAGAGCTGATAATAATGGTTCGTTTTAATAAAATATGTAGAAAAATGATGGTAGTTTTCTACGTTATAATCAGTTTGCATGCAATTTTCATAGAGAAATTAATTTTTAATAACCAAAATACTGAACCCTAGCATCATATTTTATATTTGACGTTAATTTCAGCGTGAAAAACAGCAAAATTGAAGAAAAGTTATTTTTCATCAAAATTATACCTTGGAAAGGGTGGTTGATAATTTTTATTGTAATGTAACAACGAAACTGATACCAACCAACCAACTACAAAAGGCAAGCAATCATAATGTGAATGTACGCATCCAAAGGAAAACGCAGTGTCTGATGACTTTATAAGATTTTTAAAGTACGGGTAGTTCAAAAAAGTGAAACATACATACATGCAATATATAAAAATTATACGAAAAATGTCAAAAATCACGCATAATTGTTTAATTTATTCTTAATCCATTTAGAAATAACTAATTTCACACGACAGGCTTGGCATTTTATTGCCAAAAAATTCACGCGTAGTTCATTTAATTTTCATTTTAACTGCGTCACAAATTGATAAATTCATGTCTGGGTAGTTAATATAAGAATTATCTTACTCCGATATGAAAAAACAAAATTTGCATTAGCAGAAGGAAAATATTTTTATTTTCAGTGATGATCATTAATTCTAGTAAATAAGCAGGGAAGAAATACAGACCAGTAACGATGCTTTATTACTGCTGAACAAACAGTACATAATTAATTCAAAGTGTAAGCAGTTAACAACTTGGGTAAATGCTAAATGCTATAAAGGCTTTCAGTCAGGTGAAACTAAGTTTCTCATTCAAATATCCGCAATGTTCTTAAAATGGAAAAACAGCAAAATTGAAGAAAAGTTATTTTTCATCAAAATTATTCCTTGGAAAGGGTGATTGATAATTTTTATTGTTATGTAAAAATCAGTAATTTTGACAAAAGATAAATAAATCAATACAGGTGGTTAATGATGAGGGATGTGAATAAGTTTGTTGATAACAGATGGATTTGGAGGATGCTATCAACAAACTTGGATTTCACAGCGTCATTTGGAATATAAAGGGAATGAGGATAACTGATATCCACTGCCACTTGTATAATAACTGCATACACCCCAAACAAAACAGGTTGTCACTGGCAACCTGTTTGATTGCTAAACTGTTTCGAATTATTATTAGAAAATTTGACATGAAATTCTAGTAGGAAGAAAAGAGCGGAACAAAGACTGCTTCTAATGAGTGCAAGATTAATACAGTTGATAGCACTTATTCTTTCAAGCAAATGTTTTCCAGAAAATTTCCATTTATTTGCAAAAACAAGCTAATTCTCACTTGCAATTCAGATGCGTATGCCAACAGTAGTCCCCTGTCCCCTGTCCTCTGTCCTTTGTCCTCTGTCCCCTGTCCCCCTCTCCAACTGACAACTCCTACATTAAATTTCTGAAAACAAATAATCACACCATTTTGCCGAAAAATTTTGTCGTTACAATTAAGAAAAGTCTGATTTTAATTGAAATTGCAGGCATATAAGTATAGAATGTCTTTAGCAGCGCTAAAAATAAACATTTTATTTTATGACAAAAGGGCATAAAGCTAGAAAAATGGAGTCGATAAGATACAAATGATAATTGCCGTGAAAAATGAAATCGATTCTTTTCCACGGGAAAGCTTGGAGACTTATCGTTTTCTTCCTTCCACACTATTACTTACTGACTGCAATTTTGACTGCATCAGAAATTCGGACTGAATTGACATGTCCTCCAGCATTTGAATACTTTCTGCAATCATGACTGCAGTTGTTACATGCATTGTAAAAGCTGCAGCAGGAAGGAGTAATCACAAATGACATCTATACAGATTGATGGTCATTTCATTTGCCAATTTCACATTGAATACTTCAGCTTGCATTATGTGAGTATCTCATTTGCTATGCAAAATTACCTTATGGAACTTCCCAAGTACACATAACTTACTTCGCAGTTCATGGATATGTTGGTAAAAAAGAAAAGAAACTTTCTGAGACCAAAAGACAAATTCATTCATAACACTCAATATATCATCCAAGAAACTTTTTCCAGCAACAAAATGAATTGGGCGTATGTGCCTGAAGTAATAAATTAAAGATAGGAATTTTTAATCAAAAAACATATCTTCTTGTCTTCAACATAATACTAACAAGTCGGTCAAGAAGGAAAGTTGTAGATGCGAAATTTGTAAAAGCACATCATCACCATAGCATCGATTGTAGTCAGTGTAGTGTTGAATCAGTATGTTGACTGATTTCATTTATATTGCGCCTTAGTCACATTTTTGAGCTTGACGAGAAATCACAACGTGAGCCAATCTCCAGCTGGCTACAACAGTCTGGCATTTCAAATGCTTTTATAAGAATATTAAGTTCCCTTCACTTTTATTTATAACTTCGTTCAGCTACCTGCGTTTCTTTTCGATATTGACCATTATAAACCAAAAATTCTCATCAAAGCTTTTTGATCTTTTTCCTGCTCAACTACAGTTCATAACAATAACACAATAAAAAAGTAGAATGTAAACAAATTTATTATTAACACATTTCACGTATTAGCATTTGTTAACTATTCACGGAAAATAAAATAAAATCAATCAAATATAGCTTTGAAAAGACAATGCTCATCTGCAATACAACGGCCATCAATTTTCAAATTTTAAGTTTATCCACATGGGGTAAATCAATCAACTTGTTGAATGATCTGCATAGCAATCTATCGTCACGGAGCAAAGACAGCAAAACACTTAAAATTGTGCAAACACTACCAACAATGTAAACGATATGAAACAAAACACAGACAATAATTTATCCCGTGAAATAAATCAAGACTCATCAATGAAAATTTATTGAAAAACTTCTACGCAAAAATAACAAAGGCAGTAAGTAAACTTTCATTCATAAAATTCTGGAGAGGTTTAAAAGATTACAAAAAATCAGTATTGCAAATACTGTCAAGAAAGTCAATATTAGACAAAAGACGCTTGTTATCTACATTTTCCAAAGGCTTTTTTAATGTCATATGAATGAAAATTTGAAGTCCTTCTACAAAAAGCTTGAGTTTTGATGAGGTCACCACATTTTGGAACATATCCATGAGGCTTTGGTGTGTACTCCGACTTAATATCGATGACAAAATGTTTCGCAAGAATTGAGTAGTTATTTTATCAATCGTACCAAATTCTATGACCTGAGAAAACTATTGATAAATCATACTATAATTTCTTGAGTTAGAAGTTCAACGAAATGAATCTTTTTTTAATAACAAAAACGAAAAAAAAGAAGCGTAAAAGCGCAATTTATTTTTTCTTATTCCTTAATGCACTTTAAATTAATCACAAATAGTAGTCCTGAATCCATCTAAATAATCTACCGTAGTTTTATAACGCTATCGTAAACATCGTATCAGACAAACTAAATTCATCATTAATGTCGTTTTTTTCATTACAAGATAACTGATATCATCAGTTGAACCTAACAAATTTAGATTATACAGAATGAGTAAAAATAACTGAAATAAACTAAATTTAATTGGACGACCGAAAAAAAGAACCTTCAGAACAGTAATTCCAATGGCACGTTTCATCAGTAAATCAACAATGAGAAACGTCAAATTCTTTTGCTGAGATGCATTTAATGACGATAAGTCTTTGATTCGATCCCATAGTGCATATTGTAAAGTGAGCTGCAATAAATTAATTTAACATACCGATTTCTAACACAAAAGATTACAACGAATCACATTGATGAACAAAGCTTTTAAAACATCAGTCTAATTTTTTATGATTTCTGGCATTAATTATGAGTCATTAAGGCAAACTTATATAACACTTGAATACTTTTGAAAAATATCACAAATAATAGCACACAATTCCTTAAACAAATTACAAGTTTGGTGCTCCAAGCTTCATTTTGATTTTATACAAAAAATTAAATGTACCTTAAAACGTTTATGATAAGAACATAAACGATCAATAACAGCAGAATAAAATGAATTATAATGAGCTTCCCGCAATGCACAATGGATACAAATATGGACTATTTCTCTCTCTTGCTGTCCTTTCAGAGACAGCTTTAATAATTTCTCAAATGCATCCATTTCATCCTAAAATCAAAAACGATTTTGTAAAGTGTAAAGCAGGAAATTCTTCTCCTCATTAACAGTAAGGTCGTCTTTTTTGATTAACTGATTCATTGACTTTTCATAATTTTAGTTACGAAAAGATTTATAATCGAAATTATGAAGAGATAAGTTAAAAAATTAATAAATGAAAAGAACTTCCTGTCTAATTTCAATTTCAAAATTTTTTTTTTTTAATTTTATTCGAGAAATGACTTTAGAGTTTATCAAAAAAAAAATAATGGAAACATATTTTAATATTCAAAAGCAATAAAAATGAAAAAAATAACCATTGAAGACATAATTGTACAAAAAATATCGCGCCGAATGGCTGTGTTCATTTTTGCTTTTTTAGCAAGCAGCAATAAAGAAGCATCGAATTTCACGTTTGTCTTATCTGACAGTTCAGCACCTATATTACTCTGTAGAACGGATGAGGTTGACAGCCAAGCTGAACCGATAAGCCACCAGCGCCCTCGAACTGGTATATTAACAATATCATCGACACTCATAGGTAACTCCTTCTCCTTATCCACATCTGTAACAAATTAGTATAAAAAACCAAAAAACAGTCATATGCTTTCCTTATAAGCCCTTTTTATATTACATAATTATGAAGAATAACTTCCAGAAAAGTATGCATTTAAAAGAAGCATATGATTTGATAACAACTAGAAAATACTGCAGGCAAGAAATTATAAAGAACTGTAGTTAACAAATGACTGATTACTGTCAATTTTAATATCTTTTGATTATGATGAAGGAATAATCATTAATAAAATTAGAAGCACAAAAAATGAATATAAGTATGTATGAGATCAAAATCTACTTCTTGTTAATCCACGAAAAATACTTAAGTAATGATCATGTGTTGCGAAATCTACAATTTCCGTGAATTTACGAATGTCTGCGTTTTTTATCGTATTAATTTCCTCTACAGTGTACCATAACTGCTCTCTGGAAAAAAATTCTAACAAAAATATCCATGTTTTAACGTAAATAAGTAAATTTTAAAAAAATTTCTTTCATCCGATTTTCATATGACATACGTTTTCGAAGATGTTTGAGACAACTGTGCAAAAAATGACTGCGTTTCTGCTATACATTTTTGCAGAGCAATCAAATCTCTGTTTTTCATAGTATTACCACAATCTAAAATTAAAGTATCAAAAACATAAAAATTTCGTTAAATTAGTCCTGCATCAGTAGCAAAATAGTTTACGATTGGAAAATATATTTAAACGCATAGATTAATATTTGGAATATTCATTCGAAAAAGCAATTAAAGGTACTGCAAAATCCGCTTTTATCAGAAAAAATGAGCCCACTGAAAACAAAAAAAAAACTTTTGAAAAATCCAAAAGTAAAAAGAACAGCAGCACTTACAACTCAGAAAAGTCTTAAAACAGGCTAAACATTTGTCGCTGATTTCTTCACGTAAGCGCTGCATAATTTCGATTACAATAACGACTTTGATAACCTAGAATAAGATACATTATATTAACAACACAGTAGCTATTTGCAGCAATATTGTTGTTTCAGGCCATTATATTATCTAAATATGATGAAAAATAATACTTCGATAATCATTAATAACATTGAGTACAGTACTGCTTGTTACATAGTGCAAATAGTCTTACAAAGAATGTGATGAATTCGACTTCAGTATTTTCTGACTACGAAATTTTACAACTCATGTTGAACAACTGAAGAGAGGCTGTTGAATTGTAGGGAGATATGATAATATTAGACCAAATTTTTTCACCTTAAAATTATATAATTCTGCCAGCTGAACGCAAAGATTTTCCAGAGTCTTGCCTTCTGGTGGCGCAGCAATAATTTCCAGAAGTTTTATGATATAGTTTTCAACGAAATATGAAGCTGAAAAAATAATTATTTCTCCGTATACGAAAACACCTATATTAATATGATTCAAAATAATTTTCTGTTATTATAGAAATTTTTGTTCTCGACCAAACTTCAAACTCTTGACAAAGTTGCTAAAAAAACTTACAGACTTCTGCTGACACTGTTGAATGTATCAAAGCAATAAATAAAGCATATTCAGTGATAAGTCGATCTGGTAAGCGATAACCCATAACGATGCTATTCATCATCTCCGAAAAAAACAACCGCTTAACTTCTACAAAAGTAAATTGCTTCAAAATGTTCATTTAAAAAAAAGCAGGATAGCCCAAATATTAAGTCATACAAAACTATACCATTGTGTCCTTTAGTAGAGTAAATTTCGGAGAATGTTTTCACCGCACTAACTACAGTGTGTTCATTTAAACGATTTATAAGGCCCCTCACTGATTTTTTTAGTTTCACATGTTCCTCTGTTTCTAGAAGTTTTGCTTTCAGTTCCAAATCTCGAAGTTTCTCCTGAGCACCTGATTTTGAAAGCAAAACATTCCCTGTTTTCTTATTAACTAATCGACCATAGATATCCTCTTCTACATTTTGGTTTATATCATCATTACTTTCATTTCCACTGGACTTTTCCATTTTAACCATGTCATCAGTCTAAATTGCAATAAATATTAAGGTAAATCAAAATTACGAAAATACCAGAAATGCTACTATGATAAAGACATTAAAATTTTTCTTTGAACAGAAAAAAAACTAACAATCGACAATGCAGACGAGTTTCTCCTCTTTCTTGAAGCAACAATTTTATTCTTACTTCCACTACTTTGCTCTTCTTTCTCCACACTCACGAGTTTGTGGCCCTCATTCACATCAAAACCAATTTCTTCTTCAGCTAGATGTGGTTTCGACACACTTGAGTCACATATTTCGAGGAGATCTGTAATAATTGAAAAAATTCTTGCAACGTTAATTATAAAAATATATCTTAAATTCAACGTTTCAAATATCAGCGTACAATCAAGTCCTTCAGCACGAAACACTTGAGGTATATTTTGGCTTTTGCGTTTGTTATATCCAAGCAATCGTTCATAACGATGAATCTCAATATCATCCTCATCAATGTCTTGTTTAAGATCATCTTTGCACACTTCTTTTTTCTAAATTAATAAAAAACAAAATTTCATTTTTTCATGATTACAAAAATATTAGAACGAAGTAGTCATGAGATAATATTTTCGCTCCTTAGTTAAATAACAACTCACTAAGACGCAAGGATCAAAAGCAAACATTTCAAGTTTAAACATCAAAAATATGCATAAATAATGCCGGAAAATTTCATTTAACATTTTAGATATTTTTCATCATCTTATCAAAATATGTTCCCAAAGAAATATAAATCTGTTCTGAAAGTTTTGTGTAAATTAGAACATGACCAACTAAATTTGATAATTTACAACTGAATACTCCGAAACTATGAATTATCTGAAAATATTTACAGTTTTCTTTTTACGCCTTTTAGAATGCTTTTTCTTATCCGTCTTTGTCGGATCAGTACTTTCTTCAAAATTTGCTGGCTGCGGAATCATGACATCTTCAGTCTGGAATGAGATGAAATGTTGTAGTCTGATATCACTTTAATCTAAATGGGGAAATATTACGTAAAAACACCACACAACAAAAGTACTAACCCTTTTATGGAAATAATATGCAGTTCGACGGATCTTTTTGAATTGTTTTTTTCTTTTCCTTATTTCCTTACGCTTACAACTGCGCAAAATGCTGTCGCCAACTGCCATATTGCTTCCACTAAATATACATCACGAAGCTTAGCATTTCATAGAAAATCCACGATCAATAATCCGATTACAACAACTATATGATCCTTTTAAAAATTCTACTGCAGTGGATAAACACGTATCCGTACTACGGATATTTCAGTCTCAGCTTTATGAAGAAAAATCGAGAAATACTGAAATGAAAAATGTATATTACTGAGAAGGGCAAAAGATAGATAATACATGAAGACCAGATTTTTCCTTATTTTTATTGGAATCCATTCATACGTCTCCAAGATACAATAGCTGCATTAGGAGAAAACAGATAAATATATAAATCACTAACTAAATCAAGACGTATTTTTACTGAAAAGATGCACAGCATACAGTTGTTCAATAGAAACGATTATAAAATTCAGATAAACCACATTTTCATTTTTCAGCAAAAAACATCGACCAATTTCAAAGTTGTTAATTAGTGAATAATCGAAATGTTTAAAAAAATATCAAGTAGGAGATAATAGAAAAGCTAATGCTTCATTTTCATCCAACATGGTTTCACCACAATACTTTTTTGGTTCTTGGGACTCTTCTTCATTAACTGGTTTTAAAGTGTTCGGCTTTTGTACATTCTCTTTATTTATAGAGAATTGTTCGGCCTTTGTCGAGACACTTTCCAGATCGCAATGTTTCCTTTTTTCTCGTTGAAGAAGAAGTTGTTGGGCACGCAATTTATTGCTTTCAATACGTTGTAATTGCTCAAATGATAATTTAGATGTCTGCAAATAAAAACTTTCATACATGTTATATATTAAAAGGAAATATTAATTCAGATATGGATATCATTTAAAGACAACTGGATTAGTAGAATTTTTGCACGTACTAATGGATGGGAAGATGAAGAAGATTGTTTTGTTGAAGGAGACTCATCCAGCAGATCACCAAAAACTTCAAATAAATCAGAATCATTTAGTGGCAGACTACTGAATTCATTTTTCCCAGCATGAGCTGGTTTCCCATTAGTATGTGATATATCTTTATCTTCAGCAGTTTCATGAAAATCTTCATCAGTAAGAGGCATGTCAAGTCGCATTTTTGTCAATGTTGTCTGAAATAAGAGAACTCACATTTTACAATTAATTTTAATATTTCTGACAAACAATGCACAAATTTAGCAACAAAATAGTTACACTTACTAATTCTGCCAAGAAATCAAGTTGAATGACAGACTCACTTCTACTGAATGGCATTTCTAAAACAAATAAATTTTTACCTTGATTAATCTTTTACCACTTAAAGATTCAACGCGAGTCACAAAATCTTCAAATCTCATTTTCGGACATAATAAATGCCCCCAGTATTCTATACGGTTCATCATGAACAGCAAATCTTTATACTGAAAAACAAAACAAGATTTTACCACCTATTTGATGAAGAAATAAATTTGAAATCTTTTGATACATAGTAAACTAATCAATGACCATCTTATTCAGCTGAAGACTCCAGTAAATGAAAATTCGACCAAAAACCAACAAAAATGGATTTCAAAGATTTGTCTTGGTTCCAGAAGTTCTCTGTTTATTGTTCAGTAGTAACAATCCTTGGTACATTATTTATTTTGTAGTCTTCTTATTAAATTGACTTCCTGCACATTCATATAATAGCGTAAACAACATGATTCTTATGGCTTTGTCAAATAAGATTTCAACTTCACGACTTAACTTAAAAATTCACTTAAATCTAACAAACCGGATTCTTATTTTTTGGTGTATAATTATCGAACATACGTCTTAGTTCAAGAAAACCTTTTGACCCACATAGTTCAATATCCCGAAGTTTAGGTTGCTGTACAGCACGTCGCTTACGAACTTTCCGATTACCTTTTTTGAGTAAATCGTTTAAAACTTGCTCATCGCTCGGTGATGCTGTAAAACGACTATAAAATACTCCTGTGAATACAAACCGAAATTTAAGTCAAAAAGTTCAAATATTTAAAAACATTCAAATCAAACATTCCAAAACATTTTAAACTCTGATAAAAATACAACTATAATTATAAAGCACAGTTAAAAGTATTTCGTATAATGGTAATAAACCATTTGTTTCAACTACCGCGTGCTTCTCTTCATCATCTTCGAGATCGTAACTGTTATCCATAAGTCTTGAAAATATATCAGTAAACAAAATCAGTGACGAAAATGAAATTCGAATACTTCAGAAATACTTCTCATGGCAAACTATGAAGTGCCTATTCACTACTCCAAGTTTAACAATCATTTACAAAAATAATTGCGCGATTTAAATTCTAACGTCCAAAGTTGGGACCGGGCCGCAAAAAACTGAACGGCCTCTTCAGGTTTTGATAGAAGAATATAAGATGCTGGATGTGTTGGTGATTCAACTCTGAGTCTTAGTTGGGATGTTTGTGCGGGAAGGGCTTCAGCGGTATAAGCTTGTTTTCAGTTTCCATCCTTTCTAGTCGTTAAGTACTGTAAGAAATGACTTGAAGCTTAACTTCACTTAAATAACCATGTTCTTCTGTGAAATCAGCAAATCTGTGCTATTGTAAACACTTAGGATAAGTTTTAAAAACAAACTTGAAAGTGATCGAGAAATTATTTCTGGAGTATCAATATATTTTTTTTTTAATTTTTCACAAAATCTAAGCTTCTCGAAGTATTCTTTGATAACTAGATAAGATTAGAAGCCAATATTTCAGGTTTGGACTCTAGTGGAGGTCATTCCTTACGAGGATCGGCATGATCCTCGTTCATCATTGCTAATGGCAACTCCGCTCTATTGTGAAATTTTATGGTGTTCTTAACTACCTCGAATTTATCGAAAGTTAATCAGTTATTTTCACATATCGAGTTGACATGTGAGGATATGAGTCATCGTGAATGGATTCATAATGCAGGAATTCCTGTTTCCTGAAAGATTCGAGTGAGTCGATGTCACTTGAATGGATTTAAGTTTGGAATACTCCAGCATAGGATGAATGCAGTTTTCAACATGACTACAAATATATAGTTTTTTATTAATACAAAAGTTTGTTCAGTGTGCTAAATGCAGAATGAGATTACTGCCTGTTAATTTTTCTATTTTCCTTGTGAGTGAATAATGATTTAGCTCTTGTTTTACTGATTAAATATTAATTGGTAAATACTGTATATGATTCTTCTAATTATTTTATTACTCTTGTATTCTTGTAGTGTGAATATATTTTGTTATCCTTTTTCAATTTGATTCATGTATATTTTATTATCCTTTTTCAACTTGATTCATCATTTTAGAAAATATTTTGATAGTTAATTACTTGTATGTATTCATCATTTGCTGGTAGAAATGTTGTGTATACTGCTTCCTTATAATTTTATTAGTTACTCATCATGAATTATAATTCATAAACTCCAATAATTACTACAACTTAGAATAAAAATATTTAATTTCATATACATGACGTTCTAAACAGTTCCCATGAAACTTCAGTTTGACTAAAAATTACTCTTAGTAATTCTATATTCATGAATACCAGTATGGTTGCCATTTTCTGAAAGATTATATATTAAATCTAACGATGTATCTGCAATGGGATAAGTAGATCTCTTGAGTACACTATTGAGTTTAGTAAACATGCATCACGAATGCAACTGGATGTCATGAGTTCTAAATTGTTTTTAGAATTATTGGGCAGACCAAATAATATAATAGTATCATCCCAGACTTGACTCGAACTAATTTTGGTCATTCTTGATTTGCTCGCTAAGAAACATTCTATGATTACCCGCAGTTAGTAGAGCAACTCCTACATTTTTTTAATTAATAAGTATTAGCAAGCAAGTTTGACCATTTTATAGTGCTCTTTGAGGGCATAGAGTTTGAAGGATCCGAACTTTCAGTAGCCAATAAGTATAATGTTCTTGATAGTTGCGAGTTAAACTGCTATTAACTTAAATAAAAATAGCTTTTAATCGATCATGAGTTGCTAAGGGCGACAAGATAGAATTTACATGAATAAATTATTGGTGTGAAGTTTCAGGTAGAGAACATAGTACATGGTTCAAATGATCAAGAATGAAACTTGAAAGTAGCTTTAAATCAGTGAATTTTTTTACATGGTAAAGACTTAAAACTTTTTCCAGTCCATAATTACATGGCGACAGAAACCAAATAAATGAGGCTAGGCTGGTGGATTTGAGCCATGCACTATGTATTTCCAAGCACGTAATGTAATTACTTGTAATAAGAGTGATGATCTGACGAATATCCAATGTAGTTTCTTATCGCTACGGAAATAAAACACGATCTTTTAGTATAAATGTAGAGGCTGATGTAAAAGCTACTGCAGAAACCCCTACATTTTTAGATATTTGACATTTTTTTAATAAGGCAAGTAATGCAGTATCAATGAATAAGGAGATAAAAGAAGTTCTCAGTGCTAGACACGGTTTACTATTTAGCGAAGAAGAGCTTAGCCCTGTTTTCTGTAAACCGAAGCTCATTCCACTAAGATCAGCAGACCTGGAAAAAGTGAGAAATATGCAGCAGGATTCTATGAAAATTCTCAAAGAAATGAAGGAAGAAAACGAAAAAAATTTAAATAAGGTACATTTTTTATTTATTCAGTAAAGAAGCATTCAAGGACTAATAGTGTGAAGTTCTTAAGTTTATCATAATTACTTACTCGACACTTGTATTACGGTTTTTAAAAGTGAAAAAAGCTGAGCAGTCAAGAAAAGGTCAATAAGAAATTTTCAGCAGGACAAACTGAACTTTGAAAAAAGTACAACTGATATTTGGAGTGCTGAGGAAAATCGAGAAACAACAACAGCGTCAACAAAAGTCTAGAGCACAAATTAGATTTAAGTTATGCATGCTTTTGCGGTATTGATCTTCCAATAATTTCTGCTTCTGCTACCGGATACGACTTTGGGATAGCTTTCCACTCCTTTTCTGTCCGCTTGTAAATCATTTGTCGTGTGTAATGTCCAAGTTTCTGATTGTCTCGTAAGGCTTTTACCGATTCTCTGCAAAAAAATTGAACAATCAAAAGGATGAATACATAATACTTTTAAAATAACATTCGTGAAAATTAGGTACATTACCTTTTTGATGGCGGTTGCAAAAGTTCTTCTAAGTTGCAATGAATCACTTCGCGAGGTTTCTCATGCACGTAAACAACATGAACCAAATCGAGATCGTTTCGTAGCAATGTATTTGTTGCGTCACGTACTTCACGTGGCATAAATGCTTTGATCAAGAAATAACTGGAAATCGTACATTTATATATACTTTAACTTTTAATAAAATTTCTAGCTTTCATCAATATTAACAGTCAAAAATTTCATCAATAATAACAGTCTCAGCATCTTTGTTGTAAAAATTTCTGTTGAATATTAAAATGAAAAACTCTTCAACCATGAAATTTGCCTAACAATCATAACGACAAGTGTACTCACTTCGATGTGTAAACGTGTTCAGTAGTTTGTTTTCTGATTCTTCTAAATGGCAAGTCCCGATGTCCTAGGCTTTCTAATTTCTCGATGATCGCACCATTATCAAGCAGTACCTTAGCAGCCCTACGAATTGTAGAGAACAATTCAGGCTACAAAATTCATATCACGGATATAACACCAAGGGTTTGGCTTGAGAAACTAGAAAAGTTCTTATTACGAAAATGTAAGAAATCATCTCTGCTCGATATCTGTTCAAAATAAAAATAGTGAAATATTGGAAAATCAATGTCCGTCACCTTGGCCAAAGATCGTGTGATTAACGTTATTTCGTATGCAGGCATTTTTAGCTCACCACGAACATATTACAATCAGTAAGCAGAATATAACTCACAGATAATAATGTAATTATTACCACTCTGCACACAATGTTAATTCGTGTGCAAACTGTATTGAACAGATCCTGTTACTATAAAAATATACAATGTCAAAGTATTGCAGTAAGCACTTATAAACTTTACTACTGAGGTTCACCATCAGAAGAGCAGTAAGTGCTGATGCACATAAGATAGATTCTTAAAAACAATCTTAACCAAAACACTGAGCTTTCTGGTCCAATTCCTTGATGTCAAAGTATTTAAGAGCAACAACTAATGGAAATCTTACTCACTGTATTTCAGTAGTACCAGGTTTAGTCTGCCAAATTGCAAGGAGGTTTCTTGATCTCTACATTGTACAAATCAAATAACGACTCGAGGTTATAAAGTGAAAAATACACACAGTAAAATCAAAGATGTAAAACAAGGTTGAAAGATGCAATGATTTTCTACATACCACTAATAAGCATCATATGTTCCAAGAGTAAATGACGGCCGACAACGGTCTTTTACGTATCCACTATCGCCGACATTTCGTTCTCAAATGCCCATTTACAAAAGTGAATTACTTAGAACATAATTCATTTCAGAAATGCAACCTTGAGTTGAAAAAGCTGCTAACAGTAATCCCCGTAAGAAGAGTAAATACAAGTCTTTATCAGCAATTAGGACTAAAAAGGTAATTCCAGCAGTGTTAAATAATCAAAGGTATTCAATGAAGCACGATAAAATCAGCACAATCAAAGCAGCTAAAATATTCAATGAAGCAACTCAATATTATCATAAATGCTCAATTCCGCATGTTCATCTCGCAATTTATTACCCAAAAATTATAAAGTACAGAAATAAAGCATTAAAAAAAATATCAATGAAACTCGCTATCAATGATAGAATTTGAACAACACGGTAAAAACAGACATTAAGGGAGTTATTTAAGTCTTGATGATGCTAGCTGCTCCAAATGATGTAAGAAGTAATACGTCACAACGGAGACGGGTAAGGCGTATATTCAGGTGGAAGAATCTCACAGTTTCTTCTATTAACAACGTGCTGTGTTGCTGAACATAATGTCATAACCTGGAACAAATTCTGATCAGAAAACAATCTCAATATATCAAAATTTTTGATTCTACTTACGCACTAATTAATCAAAAAGCTATGGATATCGACAGAATACTGATAGAAACCTGTTAAAAAAAATGATAAAATTAAGCCTTCAAGGGAGAGAAAATGATAAACATGTTCCTATTATATCAATTTTAGCACTAACTTCTTCATACGAAGGTGGCGGATTCAATGGTTTAGATGAATTTACACTAGATATCAGAGAAGGATTAAAAACTGGCAATGTATCAAGATGGATAACATAAGATGAAAAAGTATTGTTATGAGGTCTTAGTATCAAAGCAGAGTTATTGCCATTATCACTTAATAGATTTTCCTGAAAAATGCAATATCTATTTTAATGAATGAAGAAAAATAATTGGATAAGAATAATTAATGACGCATCTGACAATTATGTCTTCAACAAGACTGAAACGCTAGTCTTTTAAATTACGATTTTTTTAAAACTTGAACAAGCAAAATATGTTTTTATAAAAGTTGCCTGCATTCGTAAAAAAATTTCAGTAGCCCTCCCATTACTATCGTCCCTGAATCCTAGTCGACGAAACCGATGACTACTTAATTCATTGCAAACTTCAGTGGGCAATGTTCTCCGACGTCCTGAACAGAAAAACGTTTATGAAATATTGCTTTTACTTTACAGATTTTATGAAATTTTAAAGGTCCTAGAAAATAAGTTATAATATTATAAATGCCAGAGCAAAAATGAAAGAAATTGAACAATTTTAATTTTCGCCATCTACTCACTTCGTGAATGCATAGGCTTTCTTGGAAACAAATTCAAGCGGCAAACAACGCAACAAATAATTATAATCACCATGCATAACAAAAGAACACCAACCACAGCACCCCATGATGCCTTGTAATCCTAAAGATTCAACAGCATATAATCATGTAAGGAAATCAAGATATTATTTCAGTCAAAGACGAAAGTGAAATTTACTTGACAAAACTGTCCTGTGTACCAGTAATCCAAACACTGACAATTTCCACTATCTGTTGGACGTCCGCCATTTAGACATTTAACAAATTCACAATGTACACCATGTATGTATTCAGGATGAGGACATCTGAAGATTTCTAACCTTGACAAACAATTCAAAAGAGAATATCAGCTAATCTCATAAAAGAATAAAAAGAAAAAATTTAACTACAGTTTTCCAGTACAAATTTCATTTAACTTAGAAATATCATAGCCAAAAAGCAGCACAATTCTAATACTTTACTAATAAAGTATGAATCATTTATTTATTTTCATGTCTGATTATTCGACAAAAATGATACATCCAAGCATATTAACAACAAAATATTTACCTGCAAGCATACTGCTTTGGAATAGATTTTGGTACTGTTGCTAAAGTGCCATTATTGATACACACGAGTTCTTCACAAAATTGACCACGATAATATTTCGGACAAATACATCCTCCTGAAAATAAATGAAGGAAGTAAATTTGAGAATATGTCAGTCGTTATTGTAGAAAACTTAGAAAAACGTCGAATATGCTGTTGATAAATCCAAGAATATCTTTGATATATAGAAAAATTTTATATTTCCTTATGCTTAATCGAATGCTGCATACTTTTGATGAAAAAAGTTATCTTACAGAAATAAACTGCAAAAAAAAGAACGGTCTTCTAAGCAGACGAATAAATTGATCAATAAATTGCTTTTTGGCACCGAGGATTAAAGCCGTTACCTTTTAATGTCGCCGTGCCACCATTGAGACAATCAGATGCGAAGCCAAGTTTTTTTTTAAAATGTTCCAATAAGTCTTTAACGAATCTGGTTAAGTAAACACCATTGTTGCTGCTGGTATCGAAATTTTTAGAACGACCGACTTTCGTTCCAAATAACAGAGTCGACTCTTTTTTTGGCACAGAAAACCTACCATTAATACTCGCCACGTTTCCCGCTCGTATTACATTACGCTAAAAATACGCAAATCTATTCAACGAAAATTGCAAACAAACAGTGTTATGGAGAATAACAACGAACTGGGATCGTTAGTCAATGAGAATCAGCAAGACTTCATAAGCGTGTAGTCATAACAACCAGCAAAAAAGTTACGTTCCAAATAACTGTACTGTCATGGAGTTTTCCTAATAAAATTTTCGCAAGTGAATAAAGCAGAAGTGAGACTTATGCTAATCTCAAGATTAAAATGAAGAAAATGTGAAAGATATCTCTGAAGAAAGATTTTAGCACATTAATTATTCCGTTAGACTTTGAAACAAAATGAAAATAAAGAAGTAGAAAAATGTTCTGTAATTTGATTACGACAATTTTATAATGCGTACGAGACGAATATCTATCTAGCTTATTCCCACACTTATGAGCTAAAATAATGCAGAAAGCAATTTAATCATACTTCATATTTTTCGTCTTCTTCCAGACTAAATTTTGTACCATTGGATATCATTGTGGAATTCATTAATGTAATTAGACAATCGACTTCAAATTACATGCTTTCGTTGGAAACTGTAATTCAAGAAAAAGATATCAAGAAATAACGAACTTCCTCAAACGTATAAGCGATAAATATACATGCTGCCAAGTACAGTACAGATAATGAAGCATCAAATCATTTAAAGAAAGGCAACGAATAAGGTCGAGAGCAATCCCGTATAACTTATGTTAATACATGAACATGCATTGTTCATCTGAACACAAAAAGGTTTATTCCTGATGTCAAACACTGATTATTCCATACGATTAGAATAATAGCGTATATAGCAGATTTATTGATTTTCACGTATCTCAGGTGAATATTTCAAATAAACTCTACATTCAATAATAATGTTTGCTTAGTAAGAGAACATAACAGCAGTAATTCTTTCAAAAGCCGTAAATTACCCACTATACTTGACGTGATAAATTGATGACATCGGCCTCATGAATTCTTGGTCACTGAGAAGCATCACTGCGAAAAAGAAGTGAAATTGGATGCCGAGAGAAATGCATAAAACAATTTCAAATTCAATAATCTCTCAGAGTATGATATTCTTGCTTGGGATTTTTCATGAAAGTGATATGTTATCATTATAGACGTATTTCTTCCAGATATCTACCGTACTCTACAGTACGTAGCCTATTTCTGAAAAGAAGAAATGCACATTGACGTAATTATATTAAGATACATGAACATTTGGTAAAAACACTCGGACTAATTTAAGAAAGCAATACAGTGACGCGAGGATTACAGTAAGATTATAACTATATTCAGTTTGTACTTACTGCGAAAACTTTCGTTCTTTCACTACCCAAATTTTATTTTAGGCAAATAAAGAATATAACTCATCCCATTCTGATACCAATTATTTGTGCAAAGCAAAAAATTTGGAATTCGCACAAATATTATTTTTGTGAAATAAATAGGTACGAGTATTTTCGCAGTGTTCTGTAATGAAAAAGTGTTGACGAGTAATGGAGTATTTGAAGAGATTTAAAAGCAGTTATTTAGATTACATGTAGAATAATATTTGTGCCAACTTATGGTAATTTGAAATAGAAAACTGAAGAGATTAACATTACTTAAAATAGTCAGAAAGAGAAATTAGCATTTATTTCTACCAATATATGAATCACTGACGGCAGTTTTTCGGCGAGATTATGGTAGTACGTCTTAACTCTCTTCCTCATTACTAAATTTATTCAATTTACTGATGGATAAGAAATGACTACAATGGCATATTCTGGAACTGAGTTCAAAAAAATTGTGACTTTAGCCTCAAATCTTCACTACTAACTAGACTCATCTCTTTGCATTAGTTGCAACATGACTGAAGTTGCAGATTTGGTTGATATCAGGATTACTACCGGAAGTGATCTCGTTGCTAGCCGTAACGTCGTCTATCTTTTTTTTGTGTTCTGGGGGTAAAAAGGAAGAGGAAGTTGTTCAACCAGGTAATATAGTGTCTGAGCTTCTTCAAACATTGCAACTTCGGCGAGAAAAAGTCACTAAATTGCAATTTGGAAATTAAATTTTTGAAATGCTCTGCTTTATAATCCGGTCATGTCAGCTGGTCAAATTTACTAATAATTTTAAATGCAGTCTTGCTAATTAAAAGACCCCAGAAATGAAATACAAAAAACTGAAGTTCAGAAATTATTCAGTTGCATGATGGATGACAAATGTGAAATAATATGTAATTAATGTGTAAAAATGAGTTGCAGGTCAACCGCTTTCATCAACAGTGGCTCCGGCACCGCCACCGGCACCGCCACCAGCACCGCCACCGCCAATTGCAGTTCCAACTGCACCTGCACCTGCACCTTCACTCCCCCCACCACAACCACCAACACCGCTTTGTTCTGTTCTATTCTTCATTAATTCAATGACATATTCAAACTTAAATTATTTTATAACAAAGAACTTGTTTGCTGTCCATTTTCCTCCATGCCCACTACATTAAAACAACTTGGACTAATCTAATAGCTTTTAAACTTTTAGGTAAACCAGTAGCGGAAAACAAAGTAAGTACTTTAAATATTCTCTTTTAACGCTATTTTTCCTTGCTAAATCCAATCGTTACTTTATACCCTCACGACCCTCACGACTATGCTTCGAAATATTTGGTTAGTCCATAATATATGCATAAGTAAGGCAATAAGAAAGAATGGATTAAATTTCCGAAATAGTAATTATGTGAACAGTACAATCATCGCCTTGTCTATTCTTCCTCAGCGATAAAGGCTCTGTAGTAGTTTTTGATAAGAGCACTGATGATAATCTTTAATACAGGACGAAGGGGGCGACAACTATGAAGATATTGCAGTTGGCGATGTCCCACCACCACCAGAATGAAAGAATGCAAATTGCACTAAATTAAAGTACATATACATATACACATATGTGTAGTGATGCATGTGTATCGTCTGCATCGTGATAAGATATCTCAATACGTTGATATTGCGAATACCTCTGATACAAAAATATTACTCACATACTCTTCCATCTGCCTTTCCAGCATTTTTAAAATGAACTATGGATATGCGAGACCAAATTAAGTTACCTAAGCCAAAAGCCACCAACAAAGCATCTGCGCAGTGCTGTTTTAAAGAACAGATGATACCATGCATCCATCACTTGAGAAAGATACATGAGAAAATAATATACTAAAATTTACCTTGCTAAATGTTACAAATTGTTTCTGGAAAACTGACAATTATCTTGCTAAATGTTTCAAATTGTTTCTGAAAAACTTGTACCCTCGTTTACATTCAGAAAGCTAGTGCTGCTTATCCGTAATAAAATGGCAGTATGTTTGTTACCACTTTCATTCTAGAAAGTTCCGAATAAAGTTTTGTAGCCATGTGAAAAGGACCTCAGCAGGATCTATGAATGTCTATCACAACATATCAGAAGCAGAACTGACTATAATTACTATCGTCATGGGTCCATCAAAGCGTGAGAACTCGAACCACAATCTACATCCCAGATGATAAACTGCACTCAGTAACCAATGAGCTACCCATTCCAACATATTACACCAATTCAAATTAATAATCATGCTACATCAATATAATACATATGTAGTGTCATTTTGTCGTTATAGCACGGGAAAAATATCAAATAACAAGCTTTATTGCAAACCCGTTTAACTTATTAAAACATTCTCAAGTGAACAATAAAAAATTTCACAAATAAATTGCCATGAGAAGACATAGTACAAAGCCAAAGCAGAAGATATAAATAAGAGAAGGCATTACCGTTTGAAGCATAGTTAAGATGAGTCTAGCTAACACTCAGTTAACTTCTAAATACTTCACTTTAAAGACACATTTCTAATTATCTTTTCATGTGGACATGCTTGGTTTTAAAAATTGCACTACGCTACTCTTATAAGATAATGAAATACACTACGATGCTAATACAAACGAGGAATAAAATGAAGACTCAATGAGACTGGCGTTGACTTTTGGAATGTAACGCAAAACGGCAAAAAGATGAAAGGATTTAGGATTCTCAGGTCAGCTTTTGCTAAAATTTTCAACCTACAATACGAATCTGAAGAGCCAAAATGATTTGTGTAGTCTGAATACGAAAGATTCTCACACAATAATCCGACTGTCAAATCTGCTAGATTCTTATATAAAATACTTATAATATCCAACACACTGCATTAAATGAAAAGTAATGCAACCCATCTCAATAATAATCTGTGGCAAATTTTAAAAGCTAAACTAGAAAAAACTTAACACTAAAGAAATTGTTGAAGAGTGCGGCGATTTATCAAATCTTTTAAATTTTCCAATTTACTTTTTTAATATAGATAAAAAATATGATTTTTTGCCTGACTATAATTTCTAGATACAGGAAACTGCCAACTTTAATTTGTGCCACGAATAAGAACACTATACTTCATATTAGTATTTTTCGAAGAGACTGGACGTATGAAGTTGAGCTTCAAGAAAATATAGCTGAAAAACTACAGTCAAGAATGATAAAATGATGAACAAAGACAAGCAAAACCATTTATTTTATCGGATGAAATCGAACTTGGGAATGATGACTGGAATTAAATCTAGATGACTAATAAAATCAAATGAAGAAAACTAACTGCTACCTCCTTTATCAAGGATCATAAAAATAAGGTGAGAGTAGAAAATAAACTGCAGATGACCAGATGTTATGAAAGAAAAGAAATAACATCCATAACTAGTGCTCACCGCTATAGAATTACACATAACGATGTAAACAAGATATGGCTCGAGCAGTTGATAAACGAACATCAACATCGTGATCTTTCAATAATAACATTAATCCTAAAAGTATCAGGAATGATGACTGTTCATGAAATTTGATTGATATACATATATAAGATAAAACTCAAGTTGTAGCTTACATCTTGAAGCTTCAATGACTGTTAAGTAAATTAATAAGGGAAAGTAATGTAGAAAACAATGGTTCTATTGTCCAACTGCAGACTTTCTAATTTATGATCGTCAATAAGCAGAAACCAAAGACGAAATGAATCAAAATATATTCACCAACAAAGTTACCTGCGAAGATCAATTCTTTTGATACAGTACTTCGTAGTTCTGGTGTTAAATCCCCTAGCAGATATCCTGTCATATAAGCTGCATTAGCACGAATTCGAGAAGATGTGCTTTTGAAATAATTATTACAGTTTAGTGCATAGTAGTTTATGCGATCAGGAAACGAAAAAGCCTGAAAATATTTCGTACATTGAAGTATTTCTAGACAGTAATATTTCAAAAAATTTAGCATATAATAAGATGAAACTCGTCATTAAAAACATATTTTTCTAAGCTATATATGTTTCTGAGGACAAAGATTTGCAATAACAGCAATAACTTTGTACAAAACTTTTTTTGTTGGTTATGAAATGACGCCAAAATTAAATTCGCATCTTCTAATGAAAAAATTTTTACGCAGCAAATATTAGTTTCAACGTGATCTAGAAAACAACTAAAATCTTAGATGTGTTGTTCGTATTCTTTCACATAAACGAGCATCAATATCACTGATATTTTAATAATAGTATTAAATATTCAACTCTAAGAGTAGTCTAAATATGTCAACTAGTCATAACCGACAATGACAGCAAAATTAACGATGACCAAAAACAATCACAATAACTAATAATCTTTTTTCTTTTTGTCAGTAACTGACCAATATTAAAGACCAATTGTTTGCGTTAATTGATTTTAACAAGATCAATGATACAAAAAGAATTATTTCTAAAAAAATTACAAGTATTGCGCTGAATTCTTTTAAAAACTGCCGATAATTACGACATTTTTCGTCGTCTTTGAATTCTCGATGTATTAGCGATGCCAAAGAATCTGAATGTAAAAGAGAGCTTACCGACACAAGACATCTTGCACACATCTGAAATCTATATTAATATAAGTCATATGATATTTGATATATTCCTACTTATAACAAAAATAAGCAATATTTGAGTAGTTCAGGTCTAGATTTCGGATATCTTGATGTTTTTAATACTTTTCCCCTACACATGCAAAAATTTTTAGGACAACCAGAACTGAGAGACTGGATGGGATCGATTCACTGACGAATCGAATAAGATATAAAACAGACTAAAAAAACAAATATTAAACTCGCTACAACGATGAATAGTAATATATAATTATTACCTTGGAAAAGTAATTATTGCAGAGTTGAAATCAAATATAACATTCAATATACTGTCTATCTTTCTCATAATATGACAAAAAAATTTTACCTGTTTGACCTGATCCTCCTCATCATTCAAATGCAAAACAATAGAAACGACATTTGTTAGCAAATGTTCACGAAATGCTTCTAAATTACCAACACGCTGACCGAGCTCACCAAATAAGCTAAATGACACTGCTCGTAACGCACTACTTTCCTAAAATCAAAAGTAAATTAAATAGTGTGAAAATAACAGAAAGTACCAATACTTACTTCATCAACAATTATCAACTGACAGCAAGTAAAAATAAATGCAGTCTAAAAAATTTTAGAACAGTATTTTCATTTCGCCTCTTCCATATTTTTGATACCTTCTCAAAACAAGGCCGCAATTTTAGCAGTACAGTCGACAATATATTTTCCAAATGTGAATTGGAAACTCGAGTAGAGAGCTTATTCAATGCATTAACAGCTTCCATTGCAATCTGAAAGCTTTCATATGAAAAAATTAATATTAATGAATAGTAGAGTGTAGGCAGGAGATTAACTCTGGTATTATGGCTTCCACACATATTTATCGATCTTACTAAACTGCTTTCACAAAAGAATGCTAAAATATACTATAATATTCATGAAAAAATTAACCATTGTTTCAATAAAGCTTCATACACAAAAAATAATCAAAACCTCATCTCGGCGATCACCACTATCGTCCAATCCCAACATTGCAGCTTGTATTGCATCTGACGAGTATTTGTTCAAAATGGAATCAGTACAGCATGCTAGATTTCCAAGCCCACGCACAGCTAACTGAAAATTTCAAACTAATATAAACTTTACAAAAAAATAAATACAATGCATTTTAGCTATTGTAAAAAATTTTTTGCCTTACTTTTTTGATTTTCAAATTAGGATCGTCGAGTGATTTCATTAAAGCTGAAATAAGAGCATCAAAAAGCCTATTATCGGTTTCCCCCTCTTCATTTGGACATCTGTAAGAAACAAGGTGTAGTATATTAATCAATTTTAACATAATTCGAACGAGGGCCTAATAATAAGAGTATAGATATGTCTTCTACAATACTCAACTCTGAATATACAGAGTGCATTGCAATTATGTGCCCTTTTGATTGTTCTTAGCAAACTAAGCTCCAAAATCCCATAAATAAAATCAATTTACCGTTTCGTTAAAGCAGACAAAACTGCTGCAGCAGCTATACGATATGCATCACTGGAAGCCTTCATTTGCGGTATCATCAATTTCACAAGTGGCCTTATCCATTCTGGACGATGTTCGCTTAATGAACGACTCAAAACTGCTATCTATAAATATGGAGAGAAAATAAGACCGGAAACATTCTAAAAATCATAGAATTGATTATCTCACGATCTCAGACTAATTCATGATGTGGAAAGCCAATAATTTGTTGAAAACTGGCTCTGGTGAAAATAATTTTAAGATCTCAATCTCTGAAATAATAAAACATATCCTTCATATAAGAATGAAATATTGAGCAATTAAAGTTACGCCATTTGTGAAATGCAAAGTATCAACGCAGTCACTCCATGCTCGCTCTGAATTCATGTTTTCAATAATGGCATCATCTAACGTTCGAAGAAATAAACTTCGTAAAGCATTAGACGCTAAAGCTGCTGGTGTTGATAATAATCGGCGCAGCTCGGGGGTAACTATCATCGGTTTTACTCCTCAAATGATATGATAAAAAATACATTCTACACAAATAATTCTGCACAAATATAATCCGAAATTAGTTAAATAGACGAAATAAATTTTAATTCGTAAAAGAAACAAGGATATGAGCAGTCGCAGTAAAGTTACAATGTTGTGCAAAAAATTCTACCATACATTAGAGGGATGATTATAAATGAAGAAAAACTAACCATCTCTATCTTTCACTATTACCGGATATTGAGTATCTACAACAGATGCAAGAAATTGCAATAGTGTAGCCAAAATATTTGGAATTCGCTTAGTTAGTTCTATTTCTGGTTCACCAGCCTGAAATGAATGAAAAAAAAATTCGTTATTTGTAATTTATATTTTTTTCTAAAATCATGATCCCAAACTTCATTACAAAATGGCAGTAATGAATTTTGGAAAATTTTAATGAACTCCTCACAGCTAAACCATCGTCATTTTGCTCTACCCATACGTATATTTTGGTGGTCCTGATAAATAATGATAATTGGATCATGAAGAAAAATATCTCTTGCACTAATGAATATCCATTAATACAAAATAATTACTAGAACACACTTTTATTATTTCAGTAATGGCTGCGGCTAAAGCACAAACTGCGGGTTTGACAACTTTGACCGAAGACCCAGCACCAATATCCAAAATTTCAAATGGCAACTCAGATGTTTCGACTGAATCACATTTAGTAGTTATCAATACCAGTAAGTAATCAGCGATAAGTGGAAACAACAAATGGTCATGCGACATTGTATGCCAAGCATCAATCATAGAACTGAATGCAAAAAGAAACTGAATATGATGTGAAAAATTGATGAAATAGCTATGTGAGGGAAAAATGAGTAATTTACAAAACTTTTAAATCTTTTTTCAAACGACATTCACCACTATATATTTTTCTTAAACCAGATCATCATCATTCTGAGTTCTCCATCATCATTCTTATATTATAACAGTAATAAAATATTTTTTCGCAATAAAATTGTACATTAGAGATAATTTTTAAACGAATACATACACGGAGTAAGGCAGCGGTCTGCTGAGCATAACATCGATACATGTATAAAGCTGGTGGTGTGCAAACGCTATTAAAGCAGCCAATAAATCAGTGTATGTTTGAACGAATGGATGTACATCTGGTAATTTATTCAGTAATGTTGTGACTAAGGTATCAGCCTAAAAAGAATGTGTTCTGCTTTCATTTAAGATATTTTAATGTCATAAACAACTAATAAAGAATTACTAAAACTCACCTAACTTATACATATAGAAAAGTCAGATGAATAAAAAGGTGAGTTACCTCAGCAGATAAAGTATCACCTCGATGTGTAAGCATACTGGTAAGTAACTGAGCAGCCGCTGAACTGACTTGACTTTGACGATCATTAAGCATACCAAATAAACCAGACAAATATGTTTGTATTTGAGATTGGGGTAATCGGCTGTTGACAAACTGGAAAGTAAGAAAAAATTAAATATTTGAAATGAAGTAGTAATGAGAAATGGGTCACTTTAAAAATTTCGAGAAAATTCTGATTCTTTTAATGGCGCGTCCCAACAAAATTATAAAAATCTGAAACACTACGTTACATCAGCCATCACTTTAACTGCCTTTCGTGAAAGCATCCCTTCTAGTTTCCCTTCATCACCAAGATATTTCTTTATGAAGATAGACGGATCAAATAAATTACTATCGATATTATCACGAGAGAGACCTAAAACTCTGCATGATTTAAATTAAACGTAATGTAAATGCTCATACAATTCTATTTAGATTTTTTATTGTGAAGAAATGTCAATAATTTCTATCATACGTTCAATTTCCAAAAAAAATCCTATATATATGCCATATTTCTGAAGCTAAAGAAATTCTACATTACCTTTATGTATGTGAGCTAAGCGAAATGTCCAATATACAGCACGCAATGCAACATGTCGAACAGCACATAAGGAATCAGCAATTCGTGGCACGAGTCGAGCAAGTAATGATGACATGGGATCAAATTCACTTGCATGCTTAAATGACAAATTTTCCAAATCAATTACGTTTGCAAAAAATAATAAAAGTATCAATTGAAAATGTTTCTATAATCGCTATACCTGGTAATGCAATAACAATTTGAATTATCAATTATTTCGTTTTAAAACTAGATCATACTACCTACCGAAAATTCCTACTATATAGACATCAAAATCACATGCTCTAGATAGAGAAATGATCCACCACTCGCTTATTTATGAATTGTACTTCACAGTTTTTAATAATAATCGTCCAGTTTTGATATTAGATTGAACACATCAAAATCTTAATTATAATAGATAATTCAAATCTTTACTGCTTTTCGTGAAGCTACCGGTTAATAACGTAAATCAAATGAAAATGCTCACACCCAATGAAAAATCTGATCCATGCTCGAAGTAAACAGTAAGAGAACGTAAAGTAGCATCAACAGCTCGCAGGCGTTCGTGATCTGCCAGAGAAGCATAATAGGGTTGAAAAAGCTGTAAAATTAGTAAAATCCCTTTATCTGTAAGATTTCATCATTACTTGGATAAAAAGGAATTTGGATTATGAAACCACAAATTAATCATTTAGGATCCTTGTGCATGAACCAAAAAAAGAAGCTTGAGAATCGTAAGCCTGATGTCAATTCTTTTGTTTCTCATATTTATGAATGATAAAATTTTTTTCTATTGTTCAAAGTACTCCATCATTATTATTCATCTTTCCGCTTACCTTTCTCATCATTTTTTATTTATATCTTACTAATATAATAATAAATATCCCACTTTTAGTAAGTGTGTTACAGTTCCAATAGTTGCTTTTTTCTTCAGTATCTGCTCAGTAGTTGCATGGTACTGGTTTACCGTAGCTTCCATCATTGTTGAACTTTCATCATCGTCAATCTGGAAAAATTATATACCGATTAATTTGAATTACAAAATATTTTTTCGATCTTTCTGCTGCATTGTATTATTTTCGACTTGTCATTCGGTGTAAAGTAAATAAAACAAAACCTTTGCACTATTTGTTCTACAACAAATGACAGACACTTGAAATATGTATTTTTAAATGCATAGACCAAGAAATCTATGCAGTTAAAGTTTGTCTAATTTTCGAACTCTAAATAAAGACCCAAACATAGTAAGAATAAGCATTTAACAAGTATTTTAGTATGTAGCATGAATATACTAAATTTTATAAACTGTAAAATAAAGTTAAATATCAACTAAAGCCGACCGTTTTCAAACCACTACGTTCACGACACAGAGGGAAAGTGTAGTTTGTTAGTACATAACCAATCCGCCAAATTTCATTATCAGAAATGACTGGTTCGAGTGCTCTAAATTCAAAAAAGTTTAAAAAACATTATTGGTCCAAAAAGTACAAACATGTTTTGTAGTCTACAAGTAAGAAGAAAAGTCAAAAACTTTGTGAGTAAAAGTGTATAATCCCTCACATTATTCTACTAATCAATTAGAACACTACAAAATTGCCTTTAAAATTTAATAAAAGATATAAACTCCAGAAAACATAAAATACTCGTATATTAATCAACACCACGGAATATATGCAAAAAAGCGATGTAGATTCGATAAAGTTAGTTATGGAAAAAAATTGAAACTTACACTAGTGCAGCAACTGCTTTACCAGCAAGTAATCTTATTGAATTAGACAAAGTTTCTGGAGATTCGCATTCGATATAGTTCTAAAAACAAAACTTTAGCTGATATGATCATCCGTTACCCCCTTTAACACTTAAAACTAAAGTTAAAAAAGAATGACGAACACTAATATGGTTGAGAAGCATAGTTCGATGTTCGAAGCGATAATCTGTCATAAGATGTACAGGATTCACCGACATTGCGATCAAATATATGGTTTCTAATATCGCTTCACGAACAACAGTTTCCTGCTAAAAATTTGGAAGAAAATTACAGAACTATTTATTTGCACACAAACTATGAAAAAAACTGATACTCTATACCCATTTTTTTATTAAAATCTATATATTTTAAAATCATTTTCAGTGATCCTAGACACGTGAATTTGATGTCATAAGTATAAGTGTATTCGAAAACTTGTTTGCAATTATTTAAATTACAAAATTTTCACTAAATATTGCTGAGCTAATGATAAGGATCAAGAAAATGCGAATAGTAATTAATACTTCCATAAAAAATAAATTCTCAAAGGTTATAAAAATGAGAAGTGGAAAAGATTATCACCATCATTAGAAAAACAAAAATATAGAAAGGCAACAGATCTTTTCTAACAAAGCACAAAAAACCTTTGAATTCTCCATATATCGTCGCAAAAATACGAGCACTGTTTGCTCAAGTCGTTGGGTGACAACATCTTTAGGACAATAATAAACCACATAACCTATAGGATGCTTCATCATTACTTGAATTTCTCAAAAAAAAAAGTTGGATTTTGCCTGTTTTTTTTTCCGTAATTGGTTTTTAAATTATACCGTAACTAAGCATGATAGTAGCCCGTAAATTGACCATTTCTTGGTCACTATACTGCTTGTAGGGTATTGCATCCTAAATCAACAAACAGATTTGAAATTTTATAGCACGTCAATACATAAAAAGAAAACGAAGTAACCTTCAATCATCAAGTAAATTTTCAATGACTCTCACTTGAATTTTTTATACATGAAAAATTATAAAAATGCTGCTAAAAAATGTTTTATATAAAAAATAAATGTGATAATGAAATTTATTGCCTTGATAAAACTGAATAAACCGGAGCTTTTTTTCATATTTTCCCACTTGGCAACATTTTCTAATTCAGTCAATACCAAATCAGTATGAGTAATGGCGCAATAACCAATTCCTTGAGCACAACCAATACGCTCAGCTTGCTGTGCATGCGACGTTGAACGGAAAAGTAACACAAGATGATCAACAACAAAGCTTGTGTTTATTGATAATGCTAAGGTACCACCAAGACACCTCATTAAAAATGCCTAAAATATTAAGACAATGATCTCATTATATTCTTTTAAAAATTATATGCTCTAGATAAAAGAAATTATCCATCATCCGCTTATTTATGAATTGTACTTCACAGCTTTTCAATAATAATCATCCAGTTTTGATATAAGATTGAACACATCAAAACTTTAATTAACTATGAAAATATTATTACAAAATTCAAATGTAGAATGATACTCGACTTCAACAACGTTAAAATAATTTTCCGTTGATACAAACTGAAATCTAACTTTCTCTTCCGGAGCATCATTATATAAATCAAATTGTTTTGCCATAGCAGCTGCAAGTGCACACCGCCACTCACCATCGTTCACATTTTTTATACAGTGTTCCAACAAATCAAGTACGTGAGCATGCCAACGAGCAACGCGTGCAAGACGAAGCTCGCAAACATCGCCGTCCTCTTTTTCTATTACATTGTTCATAAGTGTTCCTGGTGATGAAAGATCTGAAATTAAAGAAATATCAACTAAATTATAAAAAGTATTTTTCCAGCTTCCAATATCTATGGTTTCTTCATTTATTTAGTACAGAACTATTTTTAATTTAGAGCAATCTATATTCATCTTGAAAATCTAGTACTCAGAAAAATAATAACTAATGAGTGATAGTATCTGTCTGTTGCATAATTTGCATTGAAAACTTAATTTTTAATACTAAAATCAGTTCACTGCAACGCTTCTTCAAGATATCTCGCAATGAACTGTGAAACCACGATGCAAAAAGAATTAATAGATGCAGAGCTTCTGTAGCTCGTTTTGCAAACACAATATTCAGTGGAGCATTATTTGTACAAGTGATAAGACGAGAGAATACTTGAAGATTTCCAGCTACTCGTGCTGAAAAATATAAAACTGAAGAAGGTCGGACTCATTCATAGTTAAGCTACGTAAATAAGATGCAATATTACTTTCTTGATTTTTTACTTTTACACTAAGCTATTATGTAAGGCAATCTATATAGTTATAAATGACGCACGGCTATCGAAGCCCTTTTGAAAATCAAGGTCTCCATCTGTTTTCATGGTCCGCTCAGCAAGAATTCGTATGCACTTTAAAATATCTGCTAATGCGATGTTATATTCTTGAATGCAAATGTATTCGAAGAGGTATGGCCAAAGTAACTGGAAAAAACCAATGGACATCTCAAATATTCGAACGAAATACTTGACAAGGTTAATTAAACCACTATTTTATGAGCCCAGTGATCATCCTGCTTCTATTAATGTCATTAAAAAGTTATCCCAATTTCTATTAATTTTTTATGAATAGCGCGCACAACTTTTCGTAAAAAAAATGAAAGACAGAATATCAGAAATAATGGCAGCAAAGCCTCTAGGATGATCGATGAGAAATTGAAAGTAATAGCCTAACACTATGGGCTGTTGCACATGTTTTTGCTATTGTTTGCAGAGCTTGCCCACACTGAGCTCGTAAATGTGCTGTTCCATCCGTAGCTTCTATTTCTGATGAAAATAAAGCCCTTTTTGACTGAAATTCATTTAATTCATAACTGAGTCAATATCTGAAAAATTATTTCCATCAGCAGACAAACGAGGCAAATCACTTTCAATTTATTCAAAATATTAAACATATTCAAAGAATAGAGGTTTTGCTTTAGCTAAAGTACAAAGCATCGTTGCTTTTCTTAGTCGTCACCATTTTCAACGTCATTCTTTTGCAAAATATAGTTCTCTAGTAATTTTCAACATTTACAACAATTATTCTTTTCATATTCTCTTCATAACAAAATTTCGTAAGAAATTAAAATTTCAATACAAATGCTTACTGTTTCACCTTCCTGAGCAATGAGATTTTTCACGAGAAATACAATTACATTATTGCCACCTTCGACATCTATGTACTCATGATCAGCTAATGCTACACATAACTGACACATGGCTTTTTTTACTCGGATACTTAACGAACTCTCACTTCCAGAAAGTAACACTGGTTTCAAACCCAGAATTACCAAAGAACGCTTATCCTCAATATATGGACCTTAAATGAAATTTCTAAGTGAAATTCCAAGACAATCTATTTCAGTCCTTCTGCTGGACATTTCTAATAAAAAATTAACCATATTTATATTATGCTAAATACGTTAAAAAGCATGATGCAACAAAAATTTCCAGATAAATTTGCCAGGTTCATCACTTACAATTAAGAAGCAAAATGTTCCAAAATATTTATGTCAAAAAAGTTTTTTCTTTTACATAAATGCATATATTCAGTAACTTCCGATACATCACTCTAAACTTTCCTTAATATAAAAAGTATATTTTAAAACATTACATAAATCTCTTCCACTAATATGCAGAATAGCTCTTAAATTATATAGATACATAATTCACAAAGCTGTTAACATCAATTTAGTCACGACATAATTAAAAAGAGATGTAAACAAATACCAGCTGAATTAAGCAGATGTCTCAAAACATTGATAGCACCCAATTTAGAACTCTCTTGAATACTTTGCATTTTATGCAGCAAATAGTACACAATTTTATCAGCAAAACGTGTAGCTGAAATGTTCGAAAATTTTAACTTTCTAAATTTAATATTTCAGTATTTTAAAGAACATGAAAAAACATTTTTTTAGCATCTTTCATCCAAATTCATGTTAGATAAAGGCAGCAAATAACAAATTATTCCATTTTATAAACCACAAACAAGCAAAAATATGCAAGCACAGTAGCTTTTGATAATGTCAGTTTTCCACCTTTTCCCTAATCAAGAGATATTTAAAATTCTGAAATTAAATATAATTACTCAATCATTTTACTCCAAACTCAAATGCAATATTTTAATATAATAACTAGTGAAACAAAATTAAGACAAATACACTTACCAGCAACATGAAAGCAACGAAATGCTTCATTCTGATTACGCATAGTTACATTCGAAGCAACAGTCTGTTCAGCAACAGAATGTACCAATGGAAATAAAGAATTCAAAATATCTTCTAAATATGCATCTAAAGGACAACTTTCGTCTGCGCAAGCGGATTCAAGAAAACGACACAAGCCCTGTAACCAGCAAAAAAACAAATTACACGAATAAGTTCAGTATTTGATACAAATCAAGCTATAATAAAACAAATTATTAGACTGGACATCTACCACATTTAAGCAATGAATATTTATTTTATAAAGTACTTCAGAAAACAGTATTTCTATTAATCAAATGAAAAAAAATTTTTTCAGATTCACTTACAAATATTTGAGTGCATTGAACCAAAAAAATGAGAATACTTGAGTCACAAGGTGCTGATCAACTGTAATTTTTCTATGCAAGTTTAGCATTGCCGGCAGAACTCTTCTTAACTCATCTGCAAAACGTTTCGGTGGAATCATTAAACACAATTCTCCGATGCAATTCGCAGCTTCGGCTCGAACCTGAATTTCTACACAGTGAATTCTGCAATACAACAAATTTAAAACAAACATTTTAGAAGAAATATTAAAATATGAAATATAAGGGCAATCTATTTTCCAGAGCAATAAAGATCAGAACGAAACATACCTTTATATCTTTAGCACTCAGCCAATTATAAACTGAATCGTAAGCCAATTCCATTTGATCGGCATAGTTTTTCTGCACAATTTCTGGTTCACCACAAGTATCAAAGTCCTTAATTTGAAATGTAAATTTTCAAAGTCCTTAACCAAAAAAAAAGTAAATCAAAAATATTGAATTAAAACAATGACAAAATTAAAACCAGGCTTTACACAGAGATGCATATAAATAGTCTTCAGAAAATCGTAGATAATACATCAAATAATAAATAATAAACCTGTTTTTAATCTAAAAATTATAAATCTACTATTACCTGCTGTGTTTCATTACCAATATCTCCCGTGCTACAGAGATATTCATTTTTCATTGTTGTTGATGTTGAAACGTATTCACGAACTGATTCACAAAATGCCCGCAAAGCATATGCCCATGCATATCGATAACTGTCTAATTTGACATGAGGTAAAACTGAGACTGTACGTGACAGCACATCCGTCAAAAATGGTACAAATCCAACTGCTGAAACGATTGCTAATTGCTTAATGTAATCAATAGTCCATATTTACGTCACAAGGAGAAAAAGAGAATATCAGGTAATTTCAGTAATAAAAGATAAAATTTTAAGAATAATATAAAATCAAAATAAAATGGAGTGGAGCTTTTTTTTTTGAAAATTCAACAGTACAATTCACCATTATGTTCTGCAACATATGCTAAAGCTAAAACGATAAATCGATGAGGAGATGACGTTTGTCCTGGTGGAAACTTCTGTAGTAAAGCATTCATCACATGTCCAACGAATCGACTTTTTTTTGCCAATGTGACCAGAACTTTGCAAGCAACTTCAGGCCAATCATCGCCTTCCTTTACAATCAAAAGAAAAATCGAAAGAATTTTCTAAGCAAAATACTTTCAGATATTACGTCCTTAAATTTAATTAAGACATGCCGCAAATGATTAACAATAAAATTTAACAGACACAACATGTGGTAACAAGGTTAATTTTATGAAACAGTGTTCTTAAATAAAAACAATTTATGAGCAATTTAGTCGAAACATTGTCTGTAATAAATTACTAAATAATTTTAAATTTGTTATGTTCAAATAAAACCAAGAAGTTAAGAAACTTCAACAACAAAAGACAAATTGTTTAAAAAATCTGAAAAAGATACTTTCGACAAAGTCATCTCCTGCGTGGCCAGATTTACAATCAACAGAGCCTGTTGCTCTTCTAGCGCTTCGGGGATCTGAATGTTTTCAAGAACCTGATTCACTACAGATAATACAAAAGCTCGACTCCGTCCAGCGAGCTGAAAATACAGCAAATCAAAGTATAATCAATATAAATTTAAGGAAAGGCAAATTAAATGTTTGGGACTTTTTTGCATTAAAAGCTGCTCTGCTGCTTACTAAAGTCTTAGAAAATATCTAACAAAATGTACAAATAAATACTACATTAAGTGAAACCCTTGTCGAAATGTATTATTTTGAGAATTGAAAGAACAAGAAATTTCAAAAGAGACTAAAATTCATAATAAAAGTTAAGAGTGGCAGAAACATGAAACAGACCTTGCTATGCTGCATTAAGAATGCATATGCAGCTGAAAGAAAAATAGCAGGCTGCTCAATCCCAATTTTGGATAGTGATTCACTAACATCAGGAGCTCCATTTGTTCCAATTAGTGTAACAGCGCAATCAAACATTGCCATTATCAAATCTGCAATGTTTCTTGTTTAAACTTGAACAGTCAACCCCTGACTGTTGAGTTGCTGTAAATTACTTTCAAATTTATTTATTTTCTACAAAAGTGGAAAGTTGCAGCAGTGATCGAAATTATCATTATTAAACAATCTTGTGATAAATAACAGAATATCCATTAAGTAGTAGCGAGTGTAATTTATGACTGAGCAATGGTCAAGAGCAAATGACTGCTTAATCTAAATGAAGTAAAAATTTGATAAAAATACAGAATCGCATGGTGAGTAAAGAGCAGTTCTGTGATGTGATCAAGGTAATTCAGTAAATTCAAATAATTAAAGGTGCTACGGAGATACTGATAAGCGATACCTTCCAGAGTTTGAACCATTGTGTTTTGGTCTGAATATGCGAAATACACAGAAAACCCTAAATTAACAAAAATAAAATGAATAAAAATGATACAAAATGCTATGTAATATCAATAATATAAAAGCGCTTTAACATATTTATAACACAATAAATGAGTATATAGTGATCCTGTAATATTTCTGGTAAAATATTTAGCACTACCAACACGTGCTACTGAAGAAGCAACGAATACTTTTTTATAATTCATTCAATTACGTCAGTAGAAAAAGATCAGACTTAAACTATATTAACATGCCAAGTTAGGCTATGCCTAACTCATTCTGTGCTTAGGATGAACCGTGTAAAGTTGGGTTCTAATGGCTGTTGAATTATGTTAAGTCAATATTACTAGCTCATTATTATCGTGCTAATCATGATGTCAGCTGTGTAATCCTCTGTAAACACAAAGCAAAGTGTTTACAATTCCGACCTACTCCTGCACTCAGTTCTATAGAACTGGACTAACTTATCTGATAGCCAACTAGCTGTTGTCAGCACTAATTTAGTTAAATTGAGGTAGCACCCCTCAACGCTCCCTTGACTCCACTACGTAAACACACCCCACCCCACCGCCTTACGTCGCATTCCCTACCTTCTGTGGTCTGAGTGTGATGCTAAAGTCTGTTATTCCTTTCCATTTGCTTCCGCAGTCTCAAACAGTCATACATACAGAAGCATGAAATTCTGTACGTTATTTCACTTTGCATAATTGATAACAGTTCGCTGTTCACATTGCAAAATCTGCTTTCGTTCTCCGTTCTCTGCTGCTTTATCTCGCCCTCGACAGTTGCTCATTTCCTTCTCTTCTCCGTCCTCACCAATCTTTAATTCTCGCCAACACTCCGTACTATTTTTGATAACAATTTGCGGAACAAATTATCTCAGTCAAGCATTGGACAACTATGAAAATTTTGAATCTCATCCAGGAGGAGTAGCAAGTGAAGACAACGCTATTGCGAATGGAGCGATTGCTGGTCGTTCAGATGTCTGTGCAAAGATTACGGGATAGACTGCATTATAGTTGGAAAATAGCGACAAAATAGGAAAACACAGACAGAACTGTTTTACTAGTTTGCGTGTTTGTCAAGCGAAAACAAGCTATGACAAGCTTGTAATGGAATATAAGTCTATTTTATGCTTTGCGGTAGTGGTTGCTCTCACAGAGGAGCAATGGAACAAAGAGAGATAAGATCGGAATAGCCAACTTTTCGTGCGATTAACGCAAATAGTCGTCAGTACTCTGTGCGAATAGAGTCGTTGATAATCAAATCGAGACGAATACGTTACGCATTACTCGAATTTCTAATCTTGTGATATAATTACAAGCCTAACAAAAATTCATATTACCAGACCAATTTTATTCAGAATTAGAATAACTCGGCTTTTCCACGCTCCCGAGTCAACTTACGAAACTGTTTTTATAATTTTATCACTACACTGTTATAAATCTTTTCGCAAGCTCTTGAGGTAATACCTTCAAAAAAACTACCAATAGGAACATGAGGTGAATTGTTGAAAAAATGGTTCAGATTTTGAAGTTTTTGAACTGACCTCAATAGTTTTGAAGCTAATTTGAAAAGACCTGAATAAATGTCGATTTTTTGCATAGAAGCACTTAATTTTGCAAATTTAAATGCTTATTTTATTACATAAGAATTAAATTTGTAATATTTATACAGTGTCTTCAAGTTCTCAAGTAGAATCTGACAATGAAGAGAAGGGGTAAAATTGATGGCTCCTGGAGAAAGTTTATTGCATATAAAAATCAAATATCTTCTTGAAATGGTTAAAAATCAAATATCTTCTTGTAATGATTCCAACAACAATTTTTAAATTTAAAAGTTCGACTTACCAAACTTTTTTCAGTCTTGAAAAGAGCGCGAATAAAAAGCTTCAAGAAAATTTTAGTGACAGAAAAATTCTTTTCGGGGTCAAAGCGAGTACGAAATATAGTATCCGGTGTTTGAAATTGGTTCCGTGACATTTTCATTTCACATTCATCAAGCGTTGCATTTAAGAAATTCATAACTTTTTTTGAAGAATATTTGTTCCAGAAGATTTATTTTTTTAAATTGAGTGGAATTAGCAAATTAATTTTGTTAGTTTCTTATTGGATTAGTTGCGAAAGATTTTGTGAAAAATTTCTGATATCTAAATTAATTGATTTGTATTCAAATGATTTGTATTTATCAAATAAATACAAAAATTAAATTGCCTGACAAAAAATAGCATAAAATTTAAATTTACTCAACCAAATCAAATAAATATCCAAAATATTTGCAGCTTTGTATTAAATCTCCATTTTCAGTGATTCAAAAGGAAGACTTGTGAAAATTTTTGCTGAGATTGAGCGGAAATTGCTCCATCCTTATGCATCAGTCAGTTCTGAGCTTTACATAAATGCTAATATGTTTAAAACAAAAGCATTGGTTGTTTCACTTTTATTCTAATAAAGCAATACTTCAGAAATGAGCTATTGCTTATTATATGTTAACATTTTCAATTTCAGATTTTGATCAGTGGCGTTTATTGAGTTGTCGGATTATAATTAATGGTTGAGAAACTATTAGAAGCACTAAAGGAAAGGAAGTTGTTAAGAGATATTGGGATTAACGGATAGATTAATCAATCAATTAATTAATTAATGTATGAACGAGTAAAATTGGATAGAACTTGTAAATTAGACAGAGTGGTATTTTGTGCGGAACAAACTAAACGATCTATGATAATTTTCTGCTCTCGGCGATTAACTGCATCTTTCTTAATCATACTTTTATGATTGATTTCCTTATGATCATTCCCATCCACTCAATCAATGGCATTTTCAGTTCATTTCTTCTATAACTGTTGCGAATTTCTGATTACACACTTAACAACCAACAATTTTTGAAAATAAAAATGAGTCACAATTATTAATATTCTAATTCGTAATCCAGACATGTTGTCATAAATGTAAAAAACAGTTATTATTATTTGAATCACTTAAGTGAAATATTATACTGGTCATGTAACAGGTTTGTTCTACTTAATAAAATTGCTTAAAGTAAGATTTACCAAAATTATCTGCAATTATTATTGATCAGGGCTAGCAATAATTTTAATGATACTTCTTTTTTGCGTTGAACTGACAATTGTCTTCACTGTAACAGTCAACCATCAACATTGTTTACCTTATATTGTTTTATTGCATTCAGGTCAAATTTGAACAGATGCAAGAAGTGTTGCTACCTGTGTTCTTAATTATAACTTCATTGCAACCTAAAATGGTTCTTCCCAAAAGTTGTTATTTTTCACAAGCAAGTCAAGATAGTCCAACTGGTTGGATTGATGTTATCGGTAATTGCATTGAACCCGATGGACTTTGCTTTTCTGGAGTAAGTTTTACAACTAATTACTATTCTAAAAAAGCTAGCAAATTTGGATTACCTCTCAATATACTTTTATCCATAAATTGACAAGTTGGACTTCAAAAAAGGTTGTAAGACGAAGGATGTCAATTTAGTTTTAAGTAGCGAAAAATTTGTGTATACTAATTCAATCATAATTTTTACTCTTAAAGTGACCAACGAAGTATTTTCACTTCTTGTAATCTAAATTCTATGCTAAATTACAAATGGTTCTAATATTTTCAGTACAATTCAATATCAGCTTATTACCATAAGTCGGTGGGCTGGTGGCGAGTACTACACACAGAAAACGAATGCTTAGCGAAAGATGATGTTAATTTTCAAATTTTTTGTAATATTAGCAATTTTAGTAGTGGAAAATTTCTCATGCCTCATGATTTCATACTTTTTCACAAGGTATTATCCAAAGCAAAGCATAGAAATAAATAAGCTTCAGTACGAGTGCTCAGCAAAGTTTGCTTGACAGACTGCTTCTCTTTGTTAATTTCTGCTACAACTGTTAGCTTTTAGCTGCGGAAGAAGCTGGTCTGCAATGACTTGCCCTTGGAGGGGTGCTTTCGAGACAAAAATCTTTACAAAAATTTTTTCCTTTGTTGGTGCAGTGGAGAGAATTGCAATACAAGAAGGAAAATTACTGATATTTACAAAGCTCCCAATAATTTGTATATTGTAGGAGGAGGATGTAAGCCTTCTGAAGTGTAGTTCGAAGTTTCATTCAATGTAGCACAACGCAGTATTTTTGTTGAATAATTTTTAGTACTAAGATTTTTATTACTAACAAAATTATTAATCGAAATTGCCATTCAAAAAAGGAAAAATTCGTTGATTTTATTGACAAGATTAAAGATAATAATGCTGGATGTTGGGCACAGTGAGAATGCTTTTTAATGAAAGGAGTAAAAATGTTTTACTATTTAAAAAAGGAGAATATAAATTGAAATAATTACTTTTAAACTGATGGCTTATTGATTAAATGCTATATCATCTAAATGTTGTATTCAAGTAATTCGATGTAGTCAATCAGTTTAATCAATGATATTTTTTTGATTGTTTGAAAACTTTATCAGTAATAAAGAAATGCTCGCGTGTACTATTTTGTGTGCGCGTTTATTGCGTTGTTTTCTGTTGTATAATTTTTTCTGATTAGTTTTCGCCAGCAATTAATATGAAAAAAGAGCGAATGGGTGTGCTGTTTATGATAATTTGCTAAATAAATAAGCTTTAAATTTGTCTTTCTGATTGAATTTGAATTTCGCTTCAAACTTATTGATAGACTTGGCTTCACTGTTGCTTATATATATAACTGGTGAAGTATGCAAGCAATAGAGGAAGAATGAAATGCAATGAATGCACTGGACAGGGCGCAAACTTTTGTTCATTTATTTCAATTTAATCAAAATGCTTCAACTTTTGTGTCTGAAAATGCGTCCTTCACACATTTTGCTATCGATTGATTCATCAACAGAAGTATTCTGTAAAGATTTCTCTTGAAAAGCAGAATGATTCGTTGGCGAAAATGACTGACGAGTACTACTTTTGAGATGCATAGGAGAAATTGTTGCATTTTTTCTACTTTATTGTATTTTACAAAATTTTTTCTTGTCTTCATCGGTTGCATCGGTTGCTCTTGCAGTCATCACAGAATTTCTGATTTCTTTTGAAACTAAAAATCAAACTTTGTCATATTTGCTTCTCGCCGCAACTTCTAGCACTGCTTTCCCTCTTTTCAGATTTGAATTCAAAGTATGCTAATTATGATAACTAATAAAAAAGAAATTCGGCCAAGATTATGCATATTGCATTCAACACGATAATGTATTTCTGACTGTAAAGTATTTCAATTAGTTCATACTGTGTGAAACTGAAATATAAAATTATAAAATTAATTTATTGTACTAATTTATCTATTTGAAATAAAAATGGAAATTTGCAAAGTTGCAAATAAATTGATGCTTTAAAATAGAGTATTGCAAGTAACTAGAAGGCAGACCAGCCAGCATTTTTCAAAAATTTTGTAAGCAGTTGAAAAATGTGTTCAGTTATTTCTTAAACTTAACTGATAAGGATTTCGATAAGTCACAAAATGCTCTGAACTTAAATTATATTTGCAACTGAAATTTCGCTCTATTATTATTACATGTAATTTAGAGTAACTTTGGTACATTTAATTAATATGAATTGCTATTTGATTGTTTGGCACAAAAATGTTTGCAGTAACAATTTTTTGTTGTACTATTATTAATTCAGCGTTACTCTCAAAGTTTATCTACAAATCTTGCAATATTATACTTATTTTGAAACTACCTTTGTCAAGAAGTTTGTTCTATGACTATGACTGAGTTTCAATTTATGTTTTGTACTGAAAAAAGTAAATTTAAACTTGAATTTGCAGTTCAATATGTATACTTCAACATTTTGGATAGCGTTGATACTGCTTGAAAATACTGGCAGCACGGCATCGTTGTACTGCTACTCAGTCCACTGGGATGACTTTTCATCGTTTTCAGAGAAAGCATTCACTTGCCAGACTGATGGCGGATACTGCGCATCTTTGGCAAATTTTTATTCACTTTATTTTACGTCGATTTTTTTAGCACTAAACTAATCATTCCTAAGTATGAGTTAAATTATGAGAATGCTAACAAGTTTGCGCTTGCAAAATATTTTGATCGAATTCTGAAGTAATTGCAGTATGATAAAGCAGCTGATGACTGGTTTTTGCGAGCAATACCACTGGATAGTAAATGCTATTCTCTTTCGGAGGTATAATTCACTTTTCATCAGAATACAGTGATTACTCAGGAAACTTTCCTTATAATGCTAAGAAATTAATTACACATAATCGATTTACTTACTTGTATGAGTACAATAGTATTGCATAAGATATTAATTTTGAATTCTGAAGTGATATTTTACTTAATTCATTTCAGTTACAAAGTCGAATAAATTGTAGCATTGCAAGTTTCGAGAATGGTTGTTTCATGGATCCTAATTACAACAGCTATAAAAGAAGTTCAGCAAAACTTCCAGTTTGTATCTGCTCAGGTAGCTTCTGCAACACACAGGATAACATAGAAAGTATTTGGTTGCAGCAAAATATTTATACGTTGCATGAAGGAGAAGATTGTGATGGAAAAAAGACAACATCATCTTTACAAGTAAGCGGAGAAAAATCTACTACGGTAAGTGGAAAATCTGCCACTAGCACTGAAAATGGAAACGAAACTAAAATTAAAAACAAAATTACCATAAATGGAACATCAACCACCACTATCAGCACTACTAGCAGCACTGAAGACGAAACAAGTCTGTTGACAGAATCTCTTCATCAAACCGCAGCAGAACATAGTTTGGATTTTACTGAAACTTTATCAACTGATGCTGAATCTGCAACAGCTGTTAATAATATCTCTTTATCAGACACAGATTGACTTACAGTAAGTTTTGAAATGAATACAATCTTGACAGAGCAGAAAGCATAATTAGCATAGAATGATTAAAAAAAATCCAGTTCATACATTCGTGGAAATAATTCTTACTTCTGAATTATCAAATTATATGCACAATTATCTTATCAAGTACAGTTAATTCTGCGTGTGTGTGTATGTGTGTGTGTTTTTTTCCATACAATAAAACAATCTCAGCGTACTGCTGAAGTGTAATTAATTTCTGCGATTATATTTATTAGTACTAAATAAAAGTTATGTTTTGTTGCATCAAAAAGTTCATCGAATTACAAAAGAACGTAAATGAGTAAATAGTAAAGCTAATTATTTAATTTGTCTGATTTTTATATTTCAATCTGTAAGTTGACAAAACCATTTCACTTTTCTATCTTTTTTGATTTAAGGCCATTAGAATAGAATGGATAAAGCTGAAATTTTAGTTGCATTCCTAAACTGAGTAACGCAGAAATGTCTAAAAAATACCCTGCAAAATAAGTATATCTTACGTTTTTTAAAAGATTAAATAAAGCTAATCCTTAACAACGATTTATATGTGTTGCGGTTAAAAAACTTAATTTATAATAATAATAATAATTATTATTATTTATAATAAATCGTTGTTAAGATTAATAATAATCGTTGTTAATATAATAATAATAATAATTATTATTATTATTATTATTGTTATTAGTATTATTATGTTGGCCAAAGAAGTTTGAATAATTTGTGATGAAGAGATATTACAGACTCTTTTTCATTGACAAAGATAGTTATAAATTTTACCTACCCAAACATCTCCCTTTGGCTTACTGTATTTAAATTTCAATGTTGAAACCTACTTTAACTTTGAAATTGTCTTACTTACATTAGTAATTGCTTTTAAAGAAAGACTTACTTACTCAGACACATGAATAGTGCAAGACGTTGAGTGCTTGCTCATCTTATGCCTTCTTATCAGCTCAAAATAAATTTCAAAGCTATCCAAAAGAGCATGTAAGCTAACTTCAGAGAATTATTGGATGGAATCAGAATATAGCAAGCAGTCAGAATGCCAGCCATTTATGTTTTAAGTGTAGTATAATAAACATATCAAATATGCATGCATGAATCTTGCTTAATTCAATTTTCGCAAGAAAGAATAAAGTTAATTGTTGTACACACTGGAAAGCTAATGCCGTAAGTCTTGCAACAATATGAAGATTTTGTCTTGCAGCTTGAGAGCAGTGATAATATCAGTTCTCTGACCTTCGCATTGCGAAAATCGAAAATGCTGAAGACGCATGTAAATGCTTCGAAGACTTTTATTTGCTAAATGTTTCAGTTATAAGCCAATGAATATTATTACTTTGTGCTAATAAACAAAATCTCAAATGATTGCTCTGCAAGTCCGTTCAAAAACAGTGAAGCAAAATCAGCATTCCGATATTCGAACTTGAAGTCTAACAGTCTTAGCTCCAGCATAAAATGCCAGCAATTTCTCATGCAGCACCACATTTCAGCATTGTATTTCTTTGCTGTCTTGCAGAAAAATTAGTGCAAGAAATTAAAATATTGTTGCGACTAGTTCTTAAAAACGATAAGTAAGGTAGGCTACATCATCAAGTGCATGAAAATGCATTCATTTCTATTGATGGTCAAAAATAGTCTTGTTGACCCTTGAACTATGACTTCTGCACTTGGTTTTGAACTCAAGTTATAGCACATCACTGTGCTAATTAAAGTTTGATATCAAATATTTATATTTGCTGTATAACTTATGAATTATTACTCGATTTTATTGCAGTTCAGAGCTTTTTTTGCAGCAATTTATGACTAAGAATTTTTAATTTCAGTCTAATAGTGAGCATCTCAAAGCTTAGTTGAATTTTGAAGGGGTCACACTGATGCGATGTCTGCTTCTGTACTAAACTAAACTCGTATTTTGTTCATTTTTTGCGCATTCCAAAGCTTTTTTTGACCACAATAAGGTCAGACTTACTTGTCTTATAAGCACTGTGCTGCAATTATTAATTGGTACAGTCACACGTAATTTCCTTGCATTGTGACTCAATAGTATTTTGCAGTAAACTGAAATTAAATCACAAATATATTACATTTGGTTGTACATTAATTAATTATTACAGCACACTTAAGGCTAATACACTTCTTCGCTGATAGAATTTACGTGACGTCAATTGTTTCAACAGTTTTCATAAGTGCTCCATCATGAATCAGTCTAAAGCACTGCAGTAACGTGACTTAGGAGTATTCAAAACTTATTTAACTTATCAAATATTTGCACAGAAAAAATTGCACTCGAAGAATGCTGAAGATTTTAATATTCAGGAAGGAGCGAGCATGCTGCATTGCTCTGTACAGTGCTCAAGCGGTCAACCAACTGACTGAATTTTCGATTCACACAAAATAACACAAAATAGAAACTGCTTTTTCGATGCGATTTTCAAATAAAACGTTGTTCATTTGTGTGTCATTCTGCATTTGAAAAATTAAGCAAAGCATACTTTCACTGGTATTTTCGCCTAAAAATGAGCGATGAAATTCAAACCTGAGCTTAATTGCAATAATGAGATGGCTTTTTGTTCTCAATTATTTATTCGATCTAAGAGGAAAACTGAGCGAAGGTAAATAAGAGATGCAATCAGAAGAATGGGTAAAAGCCATTACTACAAATGCTTCGCTCTTTTTTCCATTACACTCTACAATATCACTTGCATGCAAATAAATGAGTGTATGCAAATTCTAAATATATTCGCATCCAGTAAAACTAATATAATAATCAGTTAATAAGAGCCCAGTGAAGAAAGCTCACAGTTGAGGCTTTCAAAAACTTTCCTCACACTAAGTTCTTCCTCGTATCTGCTTGATGACATGGCATGGCATATTGCTCAAGATCGTTCATCAACGATTATTTTGAATAAAATCAGCAAACACTGTAATAATGGCACTTATAACTTTAATAATAGCATTGTTTCAAATAAATTCTGGTTATGCTGATTTGATTGCAGATGGCGCGAATTACGATATAATTACATTAATTATCGTAAATTAAAAATAATAATAATTAAACAGTCTAATACAATTAAAAATAACGACATTGATAATGTAACGATGATATGATAATAAAGTTCAATGTTATAAATAATGATAATTAATGTTATTTTAATTAAAAAAGTACAGCTTAACAAATGATAAATGACAAAGAGTACTGGCCTAAATAATACGCGGCACACTGATCCTTGAAAATGTAGGCAAAAAAAGTTTGTTTGACATACTTCAATACGGTAGTAATTGAAAGAAAGTAACTTTATTACTATTAATCAGACAAGAGTAAAAGAATAAAGCAAGGAATAAATTACTATCCCTAATGGTATTACAGTATCATTGAGAATTAAAATAATTAATTATAATAAGATTCATTGCTTACTGCACAAAATGACTGCTGTAAAAGTTATTGCTGATGCCAAAGTCAGTGGAAAATGAATAATGGAATATTAATAATGTTAATAATAATACGAATAATAATAATAATAATAACAATAATAATAATAATAAATGAATGAATGAATGAATAAATAAATAAATAAATAATAATAATAATAATCGTTTAACGACTTGCTATGGGTGGGGCGAATATGCGAAAAGTAGCTAAGATAGAAGAATCTAAGTATTCTAGCAGATGAGTACCACAGCAGAGTTGTGGGATGGTATTTCCTTCGGTTCATCTGTTGCGCTCCTCCTTCACGCATATCTCATTGGATAGAAGTTAGCGCAGTAATGCAGCGATGCTTGAGAATTGCAAGGATATTTTGACTGCTCTTGCCTGAGTCCATTCTTACTTGACTGCCCTCAATTCGTAGCTGTTAACCTTTGACCTTGCCTCATTCTACTTGACAGATTAATGCATCAAATGAAAGTATTCGTCTTATTAACTACAACAATAACGAAGCTAACATAAAGAGGCAAATTGACCTGGAATAGAATTTGGGCGATATCATACAAGAAAGCAATCTATTCTATGTCGTTGACTTCAGTAATAGTAATGCCGTCATCGTTGAAATTCTCAGTTGAACAATTAATCAGTTCACACCGACCAAATCGACACGTGCAGATTTGCACTAACTGGCCCAGTTCAAGTAAAAATTCTCAAATTGCTACTCTATCATATCCTAAATTATCACTACTTACCGATAATACGAGCACTGGTAGCGGCGCTGATGACAATAATGATGATAATGATAATGAAAACGAAAGTAACACTTCAGCATTTATCACTACTACCTACCCCAAACTATCATCTGCCCGATTGCAAACTTTGTCATATATTCCAGAATTTTCAACTCGATACAATGATCTTACGAAGCATATTGAAGAATTATCTCAAGCATCAGATGAATGCTTGCCAGGAAATAGTCGAGAATCACCCAAAACAAAAATTTATTTTAATACTTATTTAAATTCTCAACAAATTACTGATGCTAATGATGAATATAATGGAAATAATGATAATGATAATAATGACGATAATAATAATAACTAATAAAATAATAATAATAATAATAATAATAATAGTAATAATAATAATAATAATGCCAAGAATGATAACAGCAGTTCAGCTTATCATTCGATGGTATGCTTACCCAGTCCAGCACCACAAACACTGTCCTATTTTGATGTGTTACTACCCCACGTTCAGGTAATCTTTTCTCTATTCTTTAATCACACTTATTTACTTTCTGTAATTTATTAAGTTCTACAGTTAAGGTGATTAACTTTGATTCTATTAATTAAGATTATCACACAAAGCAATCAATGTGAATTTTAACACATTTATGCTCAAAAAATTGCCATTGAATCAATCAATCAATCAATTATTTATTTGTGCAGAAGTATCATCTTCTATTTTTGACCCACGGTAACTTTCAGGTAAAACTTTGAGATGTGTGAAGTTATTTGTAGTGTGAAAGAGTTTGTTTTGTGAAGTATTTTGGTAGATTCTCACTAAACTTTTGTTAATATTTTGAAAATAGGAGCAGGAAGTGAGGTTAAGTCCAAACATGGATAACATTTAATATTACTACTGCTACACATCAGTTCGCGCTAACTGCTAATGATACCAATCTTGTAAAGATCAGAGTGTCCGTAAATTATAACGTAAAATATCTTATCTATTAAGCTTTGAGAAAATTGTTTTTACCATTTAAAAATCAAAAAAATTTCAGGAATTTTTTTTCCTTTTTGAGCAATTAATAGCAAATATTTTATGATCGCATTAGGTATCAATTCATTTGTTACCAAAACCGAAATAATCAATTTGGGTCTTCCGAATTGGACAGTGTTTCTGATATTTTTTTGCATTTTCTATGATCAATTATCTTGTATAATTGAATTACAAAAATGTAATTTACATCTTTTGATTCGATTTATTGCTCTCTAAGAGAGAGCTATCATTTTTGAAGCCTATAATAATCTGTTTTGCTTTCGTCTTTTTTAGAGCCAATGAATGAATATATTTGAGTCACTATGATCAGAGCTGTGCTTCCAGGCCATTTCTGATTTATTATGTATATTTTTCCACAAATTTTTCGTTTTCTGTAGGCGACAAAATTGAAACAAAATATTTACTAAGTTCAGTGCTACAACTTAACGTAGAAAACGTGGCAACTTTTTTCATATGTAAGAGAAATTCGACTAAAAATTTATCATAAAATTAGCTATATAGTTTCATAGCTCTGATTTCTATTAATTATGATTATCAATTTATAGAATTTTTGATTAGTAAATATTATTTGTGACATCTTTTTTGATTATCCAGGCGCTTTTCTGTGTCAGAAATTGGAATGCTGGCTCAAGTTTTTCTTCCACTATACTCCATTGATAAATGTTAAAGCAAAACTCATTTAACTATTATCTAAAACGTAAAATACAACTTGATTGATCTGAATTGATAAAGATAGTGAAAATATTTCTTCACAAACACATCTCTTCTACTTGATTGAAAGTGTATCTGTGAAGTACGATGATAACATGACATGACATGCCAAAATCAAAATTACTGCCATATTTAAAAATGTCAGCACAAAGTGCCTAAATTTTTTTAGATTAATACTGTGGTAAAAATATTACTATTTTTTGTAGAAGTAATTTCAAAAGATGAAAATTGAAGAAATGTGTAGATTAAAGTAGTTTGCAAAGTTTGATTGCTCCGACTTCTATTTGTCTGCACAGATCCATCATTATGCAGGCATTTTCATGGGCGAAACTAATGGAATCCATGATGATAATTCTGAAAAAGATGCAAACTGCGTGATGAGCTTTTATTTTTTGCATAATTTCATCAGAAACTGTGCTGTAGGCCATAATTTATTCTTCAGAGTATAAGTAAGTATGATAAGTTATGATAACTATGAAGTGTAGCAATGAACTGTTTGCTGAATCAAATTTATTCTAAACAATGCTCTGCGTAGTTTCTTGTTTACAGTTTTGCTCCTCATTAAATAATACTTATTTATTTATCATGCAAGAAATTTGATATTTCTAAAAGTTTCAGATGGCATCAGCAAATCCGTTTATTATGGGTCTTCATGACAATGACAACTGCAGTAATCAGCAAAAACTATGGTCACAGCAGTGGATCGAACTTATTCAACAATCTACTGGCTATCGACAGTTTGGTTCGGTTATCATTTTTGGGAATTGGTCAATGTGTTGTTGATCAAAAAAGATTATTATAAATAAATTTAGAAGTTTCGTGCCTTTAAGCCAGTTCTATTCATTCCTTCAATTGTAGCCAAAAGCTGAACTTCACTGCGCGAAAAATTCTCCAAATCAAAAATTATTGCAAGAGACAACAAGTAACTTTACTTTAACTTACAATATTTTAGCTTCTTAAAGCATTAATATGACGAATACAAATACTGAAATGATTTCTGGAGTTGCTATTGCAGAAAAGCCAAGGCATAGAATGTAATCTCTGCAACATTCTAGTAACAACCAAAATGACCTCATGAATTATATTAAAAATCAACTTTTGTAGAAACTTCAATTTTATATTTATGGAAAAAAGTATACTTCGAAATATCCGTCTCTTTGTGCTGATTAACTGTTATTATGGTTACATTTACATTTTAGTCCATCGCTGTTAACAATGGTGTTGAACTTATAAACGTTAAACTTATCACTAAATTTATTACAAATTCTACTAGAAACAAACAATACTTAAAAAAAAGCGTTGTAATATGAAGTAATAATTATAATAATAATAATTATTATTATTATCATTATTTCTGAAATAATTCTCTGACAAGACACTTGCTAAATTTTTCATTTTGAGGAGGTGAATAGAGGGAGCTATTGTCAAGATATTTGATCACAGTAAATTAGCCATAAATATGTTAACTAAATTGCTAGTTGTTGAGCAAATTTGCTTCTCAAATTGATGGTTAGAAAGGCTTTTCTTTAAAATACCAAACACATTAAACTATTTTTGGAATACATTGGAATTGTTCGGATGCTTAGAAAAATTACTAAATGACTTTTAAATATATTTGTAAATGATATTTTGCGATATTCTTTCATGCAATATTCAATAGCAAATTATAGTTTTGCGATTAGTTTTGCGTAGCGTAAAAAATGACTCGCAAATTATCTTTTGGTAAAATAATTTTTTTTGTAATTTAAATTAATGACAATCATTGAGCTTTCTAGCAACAATTGTGATTTTTTTATCGCAAAATACAAAAAATTCGTAATTATTGTGCTTTATTGGTATATAGAGGTAGTACTGGCTGGTTCCGAATGTTTGTTAATATATACATACCAATAAGAATAATTTGGTATTCAGTAATTTGATGGTTTTTCATCTGATTTCGAGAGGTAATAAGAAGTATTGATAATGCATAGATTAGGCGCAATGGATAAGTGTTACTTCAGCTTTTCTGACACTGTCAAAATTGTATAACATATCAAATTTACATAAATTATTTTTAACTCAGCTAATTTGCAGGAAATCCGCATAAGTTTTAAGTTTGACAATTTTTTTTCAGGCGACGCAACAGCTGGCTTATTCTTGCAACCACTACGAAAAAACAAGCGAATTCGAACGGCTTTTTCACCCACACAATTAGTTCAACTTGAAAAAGCTTTCGAATTAAATCATTATGTGATCGGAAATGAGCGCAAGGAACTTGCAGCAAAGTTGTCCCTTACGGAAACACAGGTCATTCAACAATTTTTATAACTGACTAACGTGGAACTTAACTTTGACCATTATGCACTTAAAATAAGTTTCAATACTTGTTGTTCACGAAATACAGAAATGCTTCAAATTTGACTCACAAAAATTTTGTAAAAGTAACAATAAAATCTATTACTTATTAAATAACTTTTTTTACGTTTTAAATAACGTTTTGAAAAGATTTTTTCTACACGTACTAATCATTTGATGTATTTGTTTATCATTTGCATTCAGTGCAACAGGAAGTTTTGTATTAGAACCCTTAATGCAAAGTGACCTCTACCTTTTGATTAAGAGGTCAGGTGTGTTCAGCAAATGCAGCAAATTAGCTTTTTACTTTCTCAGCAAGTTATTTGAATGAGCCAACGAAGCAGTCATTTCGATTCTGTTAAATGTTTTTACTACAATTTTTTCTAAATACAAGGTTTTTTTCGCGCAAAGATAAAACAGTGCAAAAAAGTTTTTGCTAAAATGAAATTAAGCGAAGATTTCTTGCAAAATTTCTTGGATTAAAAGGTCAGCCAAGGACTCGTTTTGCAGAGCGAACGTCGTCAATACTAATTGCTTACTTGATTATTTTTGCCCAAAAAAGTTTCCTGAAAATTTTTGAAATTCGTTCAGATGACAAGTGCACAGCTTCGCAGCCCAGAAGTTTAAGTTAGTATGGGATTAAATTTATATAAAAAATCGATTACAAAATTATTGAAAATTATTTGCTCTTGCATAATCAATTGGTTACAAATTTTGACTCAAACTTATTTGCACAACAGCTTTCATAAATTTGAAAGTAATCAGTGTATTGACTTTTTTAGCTCACAGTAATATGTTAGCTATTGCAAAGACTGGACTGTTGACCTGGATAGGATATTGAGTTAGAATTTTGGTTAATTTTGAATACATGTCAAACTGATAAAATAAAAAAGGCAGTTTGTTAAATAAAATTTCAAATTGAGAATAACAGTAGCAATTGGGGGGAAAAGCGTTTTCTTCAAACAAGCCAGAACCTAACTGTGAAATATTTTGGAGGATTTGAAGAATATTGCCTGCAAATTTTAGTAAAATTCTGCGCAGTTTCAAAAATTATTTGTGGAAATTACGAGTGAAACAGAAATTTTATATTTGCAAGTAAAGTAATCACATATAGGACAAAGGTATATTGCACTCACAATTAGCATCCAATTAAGGTGAGCCGAACGAGAAAGTAAACAGACAGCTGCCGTTGTCAGTGCCAGCTTGAAAGCATAGGATTATGTATACTTCTTGATTGCTTCAAACAGTGTAATTCGATCTTCGAATGTTTGATCGTTCCTAACTATTAAACTTAATGATAAAACCTTTGTAATGAACTTGCTAGAATGATATTTCCTAGGGTAACTATACTATTGCTTATTTACTTACGTAATTCTGAAATTAATCATAATTTGTAAGTAATAATCACTGCACAAATGTAATCAATTTCAATTGAATACATCACTTTTTAATAATGGAAAGTTTTTCGATTTTGTCAAATTTATGAAAAAAGTTCAAAGCTTTCATTCCTTTCATTTCATATTTACTTAGTAATTTCAATATATTCTTCAGATAAATTTATTCATTTTTTCTATAAAGTTTATAATTTTATCATTTCTTTTTCTTTTTTTGACGTATTCTACTGTAACTTCACGTTCCATCAAAGAACTTAGTATTGTTACAGGTCAAAGTGTGGTTTCAAAATCGTCGTACTAAGCATAAACGGGTAAAATGTGATCCAGGCAAAATGCTAAATTCAGCACGTACTAAATAATTCTATCAACTGAAATTTACTACAAACCGTCATCTGGTTGGTAGGTTTGTAGGTTGGTTGAATGGTTGATTAGCTGATTAGTCGGTTATATTTTGCGATTGCATATGCAAAAACGTCATTAATAACACTTTTTCACTATATCAGCAATATTTAGAATTTGAAACATTGAAATCAAAAATACTTTCTACGATCTGTGCGTGTGAACAAATTTTATTGCTAATATTAATTTACACGTTTTTGCAATGCAAATTTTGTAAAATAGAAATTAAAGTCTTCATGCAATGCAATCTCTTATATTTTATATAATAGTGGGCTTTAATTTGTTATCATTTTCAATTTTCTTACAACGTGTAATGTTTTGACGGACAAAATATTCAATGATTTTGAAAACTTTTGCAGAATGAAAATTAAAAAATTGAATTCATATCGTGGAATTCCTATGAAGTATCTTTTTACACTTGTTAGACCTCTGAATACTTGAAAAAAACTTGGATTTCAAGAGTGCGTGTTGTTTGCGTGCTTTTCCAGAGAGAAAACTTTTTGAATTCTACTTATTTTTGAGAATTACAAAATTAAAGCTTAATTGCGTGGCTAATTGCGCACATTATTTTTTAGCTCATTTAATTTGGTCCCATTTTTTGATAAAATTATCAAACTATTCTGTAAAAGATACTAGCGAATATATATGTGTAATTTTTGATGAATGCTTTTTAATGCTTTTAAGGCATGCTTTGATGATTAAGCATTTTTGCTTTTCATAATTTGTAAATGGTTTTATTCAACATTGATGTAAATAATAATAATAATATTATTATTATTATTATTATTATGACAACGAAGTTTTTGTTTTTTCATTATTTTCTCGTTCAAAATAATGATCTATTAGGAAGGTTTGAACAGATTTTTATTTGGAGATCGAAATTCTAAATCAAATTAAGTATTTATTCTGTAATAAAAATCTCACTTTTACAATTTGTAAATAAGCATATATTATCTTTCTAATAAATAATTATTTGGAGCGACGAAATATGCAAATTTTTGCTTTTTTCCAAGCAGACAAAAGTATTTTCACAAATGTAAGCAATATGAAGAATGTCTCAAATTCTTTTCTTGCAAAATTTTGTACGAGAAATATATTTAAATAAATAAACAAATGACTGAAATCATTTGACAGGTAACTAATGTCAGTCTTCCATGCACTAACTTTTCTGCAATATCACATTTTATTTAACTGATTGTTAGATCAATTTTCCTTAGATAACATCGTTCTGAACTATAAATAATAACAGATAACAGCAAAATTATTATCATCATCATAACTAGCAATTCCTAATAATTACTCAATATGAATTCAGTTTTGCAAACATACTCGTTTTCATTTTGAGACGATTATCAGACATAACTATAGAATGCATCCCTTTATTTTATTATTGAATAAATTTTGTGAAAGAGTTGCCGCCAAAGAAATTTGTAATCACTACTTTGAATGATTTGATTTTTGGCTCATTTACTTATCAAACCTGAAATTTGCATTCGTTTTATTGCTAAATTATGCTTTTCAAAAGTGTTCTCAAGCATGCAAAGAAATAGCAAAATTATTGCTTTTCAGAATTTTAATTTACTTTTCTTTGGCTTAGGCTTCAATTTGTTCGTCTGTACTGTATTTGTTTTTATCAAAAATATTTGGCTGTGCTTTGCTTGGAGCGAAATGCAACTAATTTAATTAAAGAGATTAATGGGAATGAAAATGCAAAGTAAGCAAAATAGTCGTCGTCTCTTCACAGATCGCTAATGAAAGTAGCTAATAATTTAGCTGAAAATCAAAATCAGTTCATAATTTATCTTTTTTCAGAATTTGAATCTGCCACAAAAAGGCTGTTAATTCTTTTAAATTTGATTAAATTCATATCAGTGAGCGATTTTTGCGTTTGTTTCGTTCAAATTTTTTTACTTTCTGAAATCTTCAAAATATCATCAAATGTGTGTAATATTAGCAGCAGTTCTGATCAGAAAATGCTTCCAAATGAACGCATATTATTGCATTAATAGTGCGAGTAAGCAATTTATAATAAATTAAAGACATAAATTAAATTCATTCATGCAACGAAGCATTTGCTTGTTGACTGTATTGTAATGAATGCGTTTTCAACGTATTTATGTAATGGCAATATTTTCAAGCGCTTTCTTCGCAACTAATTTTGGTTACTTCACTGATACTATTATCAGTGCATATTTGAAAAGCAAAGGCTATTCATCCATCTTATCCAGTCTAACTGACATTGAGTCATTGATAAGCAACAAATTTGGTTAACTGATTAATATTAATTTTGCAAAAGAGATTTTGTCATTGTGTTTTTGTTTTGCAATCAATTCAGCGTCTGAATTATTATTCAGAATCTTTTCAAGGCTTACTTTGGAAGTGCAATTGATTTTCAAAATTAGCCAAAATTTGAAATGTGATTTTGGAAAATTTCAATCTCTTAAGTTCGAAATTGTCATCAACTTAAATAGCAAAAAGCAAATTAGCATTCCGAAACATTTCTGAAATACTTTTATTTTTATATAAACATTTAGTAAAGCTTTTTCATCACACTTTTAGAGCTTACTGAAAATTAAAAGCTTATTAGAGTAAGAATACATTTGGTAAAAAATTATCAACAAAGGTCTACAAGTACTGTATATAAAATAGATGTGTAAACATCGTATTTTACAAGCACTTAACCTTTGTTAACCTTGTTGAATAGTTCATCAACTACATATTACTATCATTGTTATTACTCTTGTCACTTCAACGTTGTTGTTTATTTATTAGATAATACTTTAAGTAAATACAGTGTATTGTTGAAAGTGGTCAAATTTTTTGACTAAAACAGAACAATTCTGCTCAGACTTTTACTCTCAGTTCTATAATTCTTCTTGTTATACGGAGTTTGATTGTTACTGATAAGATTTTCGGGTTCGATGCAAAATTAAAGTCTAGGAAAACTGTTGCAAAATAGTATTTTTCAAGAATACGAACAAAATCCAAGTGAATTTCTGTTGAAATTAGTGTTTAAATCGCTACAGATTTCGGATAAGAAAAAGGATCAGTTTTTAATTCATGCTGGCCACAAAATAAAGCTAATCGAACTATACATTTTTTCTGAAATAACTTTTTAAACACATTGATATTAATCACAGTTGTATCGAAAAAACGTCGACAAATATTACTTTCTGACAAAATTGTTGGTTGCATTCAGATTAAATCGAAGCATATAGTTGACGGACAGTTTAATTTGGAATAGACTGGATAATTTTCAAAGTTCAAATGAGAAAAATATTCTATAGTGAAGCATTTCAAGTGCCCATCTGAATGGCAAACAGTAGTAACCGGAGATCAGTGGAGTGGCATTATTGTAGAATCCTACAAGAAATGGATTGTTTGTTCGGTATAAACTCATATTGAGAGTGAGAACCGCTACTTAATATTAAGTATTAAGCATTTGCATATTTTAGTAACAAAAAAGTAAAGACTGAAAAGTCACATAGAGTGATATTGTTTGTTCAATAATTTGCATTTTTCTTTACACAAATCTGTAATAGCATATAGGTGCTGAACAATACTTAATGTTAAGTAGTAAAATCCAAAAAATTATTAGTATTTTAACAACAGCGACAAGACGCGTATTTTTCGCTTTCCTTACGATAGTTCAGTGCAAATTGGTAGTATCAGATAATTATTCTTATAATGTCCGAATTAAATTAAATACACAATCACTTATCTTAGTACCACTTTATGATTGATAATTCACGTTCTGGTGCAGTAATTTATTGAACCGGAAGATTTTGGACGTAAAATTTAATCAAGCTTTCAACTGAAAAGAAAGTACTGAAATGATAAGGATGAATTTGCCCGCCAATGCATATCATATCAGTCTGTGGGAGCTGAATGGAGAAAAACTCACAAGCACAAAAACGTTTCCCATGTTGACATTATTCAAATTTTAACCCAATTTCGTCTCACTAAAATGATTAGATAAAAAGCTGAGAAATGTGCATGAAAAGAGAATACATTAATTATCGTTCGCATTGCAAATATAAACTTTCTTACATTCTCTCCCAAAAAATTTGCTTCGCATGAAATAAAAATAGTTAAGAATAGAGGAGAACATTTTGATGAGAAGAAATTGGAGCTCCTAATTGACAGCTAATATTTTTGACACGTTCTGTAAGCGTTTAGCAACATTCTCAGCAGTTCAAGAAGCAAGCTAGACTTGATACTGCGCGATGTACTGGAACATCTGAAATAATCAGTGCTACTTTCAAAATACAAATAAAGCAATGAGCAGACAACCACCGTTAGCGGGCAAACAAAACTCGCGCAGTGCGTGATTGTTCCTCGAGCTTGCACCTGCATCATTTTTCAGAACTTTTAGCATCAAATAAAATTATTTCAGTTAGTATTTAACAACATTATAACAGACAAACTAATATTCGAACAGGCCGTGAATGCAGCTGTCAATAAATAGTTATGTTAGCATTCCATTAAATTACTGCTCTACAATTTTAACTCATTAACAAGTTGAAGAAGTTTTAAGAGCATATATGTCAATATTTTTCTTAGTTATTGAATTGAATACGAATAACAGTTTGCCCGGTATGAAGCTGCGTGAGTAGCCAGTGCCTCTGGTGAAATAATGCACAGCTGCACAGCATTATAACAGTAATTATTGATTTCAGACACCGTGAATATTCATTGTTGTTTTATTTCAAGTGATGCACAATTTTTGCAAGCAACGTCTCCACCCAGAAAGGTGCCTGAACTCTCAATTTCACGATGGAAATTCTTCATGACCGATTAAAATATTTATTACTAATTCCAAGTGAAATGAATGCTGATTTCGTTTACGTGTACATCTGTTTGCGAAGAGGACAAAGCTTGCTGAGATGAGCAAATTTCTGATTGCTGCTATACGATTGTATACATTTCATGGAGTTGAAGTACTGCATCGCTTTTCAACGCAAATTTCTGTTTCGACTTTTAATGATCCAAATGAATGTTACTGTCGTTGTTGTTCAATCAAATTAAATTAAGTAATACTTATATTCATTTCATCCTGCTTTTTAAAGAAGAATAAGCTTATGGTCGTAATAATTTCGGTCCAAACAATAACTCACATTGATGACACAGTTTGTAATATAAACTGGCAAATGATAAGATTAACTGTACTAAAGCTAAAAATTGCCGAAAACTGCTTCATTCACGTGAAACTTTGTACTCCAACGTCAGACTGTTGCAATAATTTCATGTTAGAAAATATTAGCTACAAAATTAATATAATAAAAACTACAAGGGGTTACTAATTTGCTCAGAATAATGCATACATTTATTGCATGAGTTGACTTCGTGGGATGAAATTTTCATATTGAAAGGAACTCATAAAATAGAGTTGCGTTATTGTTATCGTCCTTAGTGAGAGATATATTGCTTGCGACAGGCGGTGGGTTGTCGATTGAATATCTCAGGGCTTATTCTGGTAGTCCTGCTGGTGGAGTAAAACATGCTTATCAAGGTGAAGACGTTGACAGGAAAGGAGATTGAATTGGACATTGAGCCCAATGATAAAGTGGAAAGGATCAAAGAGAAGGCCAGCTTCTTTTTCCTTTTTTTTTTACTACAAATAGCATTTTATTTCACTTGTAGATTTTTTCAAAGAATACCAAATTTGGTGGATGAGTTTCTGGAGGGCAGGGCAAAGTTATTTCCAAAGCAGTAGAGTTTGTTTGTCTGAGTAATGCTTCTAATACTTTGAATTAAATAAGGATATCCTACACAACTGCTCAATTTAAAAGTATTTTCTAATCTTTAATTCACTAATCTCGATTTCCAGGTGGAGGAAAAAGAAGGCATACCACCACCTCAACAACGTCTCATTTTTGCTGGCAAGCAGATGAATGATGATAAAACTGCACAAGACTATAAGGTAGCTTTTATTCAGTGTTGGATCAATTTACTAAATCCATTATGAAATTTGTATTTATATGCAGTCCTAGAATATATCTGGTCGCATTTTCAAATGATAACGTTTCTTTGATAAACCACCGGAAATTATGTTTTCTCTTTGTGAGTTTATTATGTAGATACCCCTAGAATTTTCTGAATCTGCTCTGCTAGCATGTTAATGGTCCTTTACAGGTTGCGGGTGGATCAGTTCTTCATTTAGTACTTGCTTTGCGTGGTGGTGAAGTTGCACATATCAGCTACTAAATGTTGGTATTGCGTAATCCGGACAAAGTCTGCTTGATATCATATGTCATCCTATTACAAATTACGTGTATGATTCATTTTAGTCCGTAATTTTATGTCTGTATTTTGTGCGATGTCTTGTGTATTTTTATGAAGCACTTTTTGTATTTATATATCACATATATTATTTTCGTGATAAAAGCGGTACGATACGAATTAATCAGACAGCTGCGAGATATTTTGATTATTGATAGTAATAAGTGCAATACACATAACGTTTATTTTTAAAAATTAATACGTATTAAAAGTAATATTTTCAACGAACGTGTGCAGTTCAAGTCACTTCTATGTTTTCATGAGAAATTCTGTTGTAGGAGGTACTTATATTGTGTAACGTGGTTATTTCTCAGGAAAACTTCTCTAAGGTTCAAATGGTTGTTCTATATGTCTACATAAATAGATGAAAAGTGTTGGCATACATTTAGATCATTCACTTTCATTCATTTAAAATAATACATCAAACTACAAATTAGAAGTATTTTATGGATCAGCTGGTCGTATTGCGTTGTGAATTTGAGCTATTCTCGACCAAACGTCGTTTCTGTAATTGTGCATAATCTTGACTGATTTATCAGAAGGATTAGAGTGAGCGTAAATTATTTAGCTTAAACTGTTAAGTAATTGATGGATAGACTGAACTAAAGTTTTTTTAAGTTGTACAGTTAATAATGAAGCTTACAAATGGTCGTTCACCAGAGTGCCATCGGAGATGTGCTTTTAAATGCGAACTTTTGCTATACACTTTACCACATCCCGGTACGTGGCAGTTGTGAATTCCTCTCATTTTCAATGGTATATTTGCAATGCCTGGAAGTTAGTAACTTGTAGTCATTTATAATTTCTTCCAATTTGACTAAAATTGAGTAATTAGCAAGAAAATGAGTTTTTCATAGTAATAATTGCCTAAATTAGCACTGTTTTGCATATTTCTGTGAATAAAATGAGAACGAAAAATTCGTCACATTGGCGAAATAAGCAGTGCTTCAAGGTTCTTCTTAATGTCCCTTACTGATTGTTATCTCTTATTACTCCAGCAGCAAAGATTTATAACTCTTGTACGTTCCTCTCATTGCACAAGTACATTTATTTTTGTAGTTTGAATAATTATAGCAACACGTAGTTATCCGCTGCTATAATTATTCAAACTTATCTCTAAAATGGTGTCTCGAAATGGCAGTTTGATCACACCTATTATATATTACTTTTGTAAGATTGTGTCTTATTTTCGCAAATACTTAAATTTAACTCCTTAACTCAAACAAGAAACTAGCAAACATAAGATAGCAAAAGGCGAAAAACTAAACATTATTGCAGATTCAAAATTTATCCGCGTATTCATCGTTCTTGCAACACAATGAATGAATGCTTTTAGAATTGAATCTCACGTATTGAGATCATTCTGAGTAATCATTGAGGAGACGAAATTTAAGAATGTAAAAGTAATTTGTGAGCAAACGGTCATATTAAGGGGCAGAATGATGCCAATAAACTGTTGTGCAAAATTGTGCCAAAAAAAATTTTTAAAAAAGTGAAATGTGAAAAGTAAAAAGTTACTGCGCGCCAATAATTTTTCATTTCCAACAGAGTATTGTGTGTGCAATTCAATTTTCACCACAAAAAGTAAGAAAGTATTATTTATATTCAAAGGTTTTCCTTTGCGGTCATTTGGCAAGCAGTATAAATCACACGTGTGCACAATGCAAAGCATCAATTACATTTCGATTTTCCCTCAAATATATTCTGATAAAAAAAATTAGTACTTGAATTTTTTATTTTTTGGGTCATTCTGCCGTAAATTTTACCATCTTGAAAACACTTTGAAGTGCCAGTATAACATTGTTCAACAATTTGACCTCTGCATTAAACTAAATTCTATAGCACGTACAAACTAGCTTACATTCAATCAAACAAAGGTCAAGTTGAAGTTGAATTAACGACTTCAGTTTTATAATATCTTAAAATAATCCTATTTAATTAGTCAATATGTGCTCTTCTACATAGTTTCCTCTCCTATGCGACGTGATAAAATTAATAATCATGATTTTACAAATATAAAAGTTAAATTGCTACTATTTCAGTCATGGGCAGTTATAGTAATTATATGCATTATTGAATTACAGCACGACCATTATTGATATTAATTAGTTATTAATGAAATCAAAGCATTAACAATAAATAGAGTGAAAGTAAGTTTGGATGATTTTTCATTTATTTGAAATTATGGAAATGAATCAAAAATAGACCAACTGCAACTAAGCAATTCTTTTTTCAGTTTTACATTATGAAAAACTGTCCAAGGGCAATGTAATTTTCACGCATCGCTTTGGCACAATCAGTCATTTCAACGATTGCAGTGACAAAGCACATCTGCTATCTAGCGAAATCAGTTTGCTGCGCGGCCACAAACACATTTTGGCACTGTATTAATGTCAGATGAAGCTGTCTAAAGAGAGTGAAGTTCGAAAATATGAAAAGATAACTGCAAAATACTTTCGTTTTCAAATTTGCTTTCACTTTGAAAGACCGGCAAGGGAAGCTAACTTACTTACTAAAAGTGGAAAATTGAATAAGTAATTTCGTATCTGAAAGAATTTATCAATTTTCAGAATCGCGAACTCAACACACTTTCAAAGTGACTGAAAGAATCAGTTTGGTTTTTGAAAACACAAAATGAGCATTTCTTTTTTGGCGGGGCAAATTCAACTTGCATACTTTAAGGTCTATAAGTTGGAGTAGTACTTCGCAGAACTAAAATTGTTTATTGTCTTTTTATTTCTATGAGAAAGTGTAATGTTAGAGTCACTTTTAGTGTGACATAATGCTATCAAGTGGCAGCAAAACAGTATCCACATAAAGGCTGTCATTATTATAACTACTTTTATTTATAACGTGACATTTGTGACTACTCGAGCCAAATAGCATTTCCCATGACCTTTGACTCTTCTACGGGTACTGTATAAATGATAAGTGTCGCAAACTGAAATAATAAAAGACCTTTGTTCGACAAAAATAGGAAAAATATAAGTTTCGGGCGAAAGATAACTTTTTCAATTTACAGTTACATTTTTGTGCTTTCTAATTTTATTGGAAGCAAGTTAGTTCGGAATGGAAAAGCGTAAAAAAGTACAAGAAGAATCTCTTTAATTTCATCTTATACCAAAGTCAATGAAAGTATATAATTTGTGAGCATTACTATTATTTCAAAATTAAATCTTAATAATTTTTGTTCTGATTTCGATGACTAAAAAAGTCTAACGAATGTTATCTCAAACTGAGAGTTCTCTTGTCGTTCCTGCAAAAGACAAAAAAGGGCGCGAAATGGAACACATTCGGTTTGTTCATTCATTCTCTACTTTAAAATTTTAAAATATTCGCACACATTACTAAAACTCGCCGAAAGCGAGCAGAGAATGCGTTACAGATACACTCTACAGAAATACTTCCAACGAAAATAAATTTTGATAAATGCAAAATTCTAATCCTCACTGAATGCATGCTATCACTGATTGAATACCAATTAAAAACTTTGAAATTATAAATTTTTGGAAAACTTTTCAAAATTTTAAAGCAGAAGTAAGCACATTTCGCTCTGCAAGCCATTTCATCTAATTATTTTGCTTGCATCAGAAATATTTCCCTCCCACAGACATGTTCCGTCCATGCAAAAAATGATTTGTTTTGTAGTGAATAATTTAATACATTTTGAAATTATAAAATGACTGTGGTAAATCTGTAAAATGACAACAGCAATTTGTAATTGAGAGGAATAAAAATTATCGTAAAATTTTGCTACCTGCTAGTCTGAGGGCTCACTTTCAGTATTTAGGTGGCATTACTCTGCTGTAAACGGCCCTCTCAATTCTCGTCAAATCAGTTTTGCTTTTTTGAGTTCATTTCAAATAATAGTCTGTTTTGCATTCATTTTCATTTCATTGCAGTAAAATCCAAAACTGATAAACTTTAGTGGACAAAAATGTATTTCTTCAAATGAAATATCAAAATACGAAACCAATTAGAAGACAAATCATACCATACCAAACTACAATATTCACTTACTTCACTTCTTCTACCAGCTTTTACTGTAATTCTTTTTTAACTGCATATCTGAAGCAGTACTGAATATCTGACTCAAAATTGCACTAATTAATAAAGTATATATTAAATTGGTATCAACGCATAGATGAAATGCTTTGAAACGCCTTAAAGCTGTTGAACAGAAGTAAAAGCATAATTGCCATCCCTCAACGATTGCAAGATATGTTCCCCAAGTTGTTATTACCTTCCATACTTATTTTACTTCATCTATGCTATTCTTCCTTCAAGTCCATATTTTTTGCCAACTTGCAACCAACCCGTTACGCTTTCTTATACATTTAGTACAGACATCTACAAGCATTTTCAAGTAAGCTTGTGAGCAAGTTAATTTTTTGAAGTAGATATCAGGTATAATGAACTCAGCTATTGCAAAGTTGTCTAAATTGCTGTGTAATTATTAAACTTTGTTATTGCTTTGTGTGAATGAAATTAAAAAATAATAATATCAATTATGACTTTCAATAAAATTGATAACTTTTACAAAATTGTGCTGATAATATCAATAACTTGTAATAAATGTTCTAGCATCCATGCATTTTTCTCCCTTTTTAATAAAATAGCTATTATACTTACAGAGTATGCAGGAAATTATTTGACAGTTTATTTACTGTTTTCAAAGTTTTATTTAGAAAACAATCTTTAATGCAAAATTATTCTCATAAGAAATGTATTTATATTTTAGCTAACTACTTTGCAGGTTTTTATCATTGAATTAACCCTCATATTATGCCACTTTTGTATAATTTTTGCATTTTACTGTAAAGAATTTTTTTTGTATAAGTTTTTCAGAGAAGTAAAAAATATGTAAATTCAAGAGCTCACCCAATCTTTCGGCTTCCTGACAATTTGGGCATTCACAATTTGATCGTGCAGGCAATTTGCCACCACCTGCATGTGTTGTTGAATTACCATTACCAAGTATTTTTGATAATGATTTAGTTGAATTAGAATTATAATTTGATATAGATACTTGATTACTGGTTCCGCTACTACTACCAACAACTGCAGTTACTGGTACAGTAGCAGCTGAGAGTAAACCTTGAAATTGTGGGCCCAAATATGGAGAATAGCTTGTGCTAGCATTTTCTGTACCAACCGCTGATGAATACGGTAATGAAGGCCAAGTTCCTGCAGGATCTGCTGTCCACCATGGAGTAGAGGTTGCTGCTGTCCAAGAATATGGCGGATAAACAGCGGCATTTGTATACGGTATTGTATCAACAAACGTTGCTCCAGCAGCTGCCGCTGCTGCTGCTGCTGCAATACTTTCAGTACTTCTTGAATCTTTCTTAGACAATTTTTCATTAGATGTTATAATGCGGCTTTCTGAAGCTAGCCGATTATACTGTTCCATTAATTTTCCGAGTGGATTTTGCTCACAGTTTGATAACATTAAACTTCCAGCTGCAGCCGCAGCAGCAAGTGGTACAATAGGCTTAAGATCACTTTCAGAATCCATTTATCAAATCACGAAAATTTTTTCAAGAATTCTTCCAAAGAATTTGCAACCTCAGTTTACAAGCATAATTCTAGTAATAATAGTAGTAGCAATGCTGGTGGCTATGAAAATATCAGGAACTACTGCTATAAACAACAACAGAATGAATCAAATCGCATTGTAAATATTGGTCATTGCTGATTGAGTACTAATGTACACTGCAATGTTTTATAACGCTTAGAACAGCAATTACACTTCTTGTCTTATTTCTTATGAATTCATTACTAAATTTTCAGAAGTAATCTAAAGTAAGAATGCTTTATTACAAACGTGCTTGCAGTCGCAAAACAAAATGTGAAATAGTTTTAGTCTTAATTGGATGAAAGATGACGTAAAGACATCATCTATTCATATTAAAATATATCCGCGTCATCAAAATTGGCTAAAGTTCGAAATATTTTTGAAAGAAATTTCGATTCAAGAGAAAAAAGATGTCTGAAGTTATAAGTCATGTATTGTTGAAAATAGCAAAAATGACTGTTAATAGCATCCAATAGTTTGTTTGTTCAAATATAATTGCTATCTGCAGATACTAATCAACGATTATTCATGAAAATATTAATTAATGAGAATTTCATCCCTTTGGTATTTATTCGAAATTTGACAATTTTCTAGCTAAGTTTGGCAAACAATAAAAGTTGGATAGTATTCTGAAAAAACAAATTTCTGGCGCCAAATTAGTTACACGTAAACAGCGCTGAATTTCTGACTCACAAATGCCGCTGTATGTGTTTGTTTTTAATCACTGGCAATTATGAAAACATGAATATGTTTTTTTTTTCTTGATAAATAGGAAGGCAAGGCGATAATAACTAATAAAGGACCTGAAATTGATGGTTTTCTTGCATATTAATTCTTAGGCTGAAGAAATGTCTGAAATTTAAGCAAAGCACAAACTGAGATAAAAATGCCAATATAAAGCTGAAATAAAGTATAAATGACATCTGAAGCCTGCAATCATACTATCGGTTGCTCAGTCTGAAATCCATTGAGGTTGCTGATCGCTTAGCATAATAATCACCTCTATGTTATCTCCTCCCTTCTTCTATAGTACCGCCCACTGAAGAAGAAATTTGCATACGGTAATCATTTATTCTAAACTCTTTTGCATTTTCCTTTTCTTCTATATTGAACTATGCAGATTTTGTTTAACGCAAAATTTTATCAGATTTATTCGATTTTTACTGGTAATATATAACTGATTTATGTGCCAGCTCGAGTAGTTTATCGTCGCATAAATAACTGATCGAATACATTTAGAGGAAGAATCGCTGGCAGCGATAAAGTAATTAGAATATTTAGAACATTTTTTTCATCGAATTCCCTTAATATCTCACGACATTGCCCATAAAATTTCAGAATCACTGAAGCACTCAAATGTTTCTCTTAACTCTGAGAGTAAATATTACTCCCAAATATATCATTTTTTTGCTCATGCTTACTCTCAGCTAATCAAATATTCGAGGATTCAGCCAGTTGTTAAAAAGAAAAGATAAAGTATCTGTCAACTCAAATTGAGCTAGTTTTTTTGACGTAGTAAATATATGGAAACAACTTTTGTTGGGATTTATTTTATTGTTGAATACATTACTACGCTGTGCAAAGTTCCGGGAATCAGAAAAATGTGGCAAAGTTGCTATCTACGATAGTTTACTTCAAAGAATTTGGTAATTCTAAAATTACTTGTATTGTATTGTAATTGATATAAATAAATGATTGTAACACACACAGTTGCAAAGAATTTGTCCAACAAATATTTGCATTTCTTGTAGATCAAAACAGAGTACCGTTCGTATTTCTTGCAAAATGAAGAATTTTCTTGGAAGTTATTTATTTGAGATCTAATTGGAAGTCATCTTAGTTTTATTTCGTTTTTGAAATACGTTTATATCAGAATGCATTCAAAAAAGGTATGATTCTGATAGCCTCCTAATAATTGCAATCAGAATCTGTACTAAAATTGATTGTGTCCTCAGAAAAATATAACGAAAAAAAATTAATATCCAAGCTATCCTAGCTTTTTTAAATTCAAGTTCCTGATAACTCAAATTAGCAAAATCTGATTAAAAGGGTTTGTAAATATTTTGACGTGACATTTTAATCTCAACTTTTGTCTTTTCGCGCTTTTTTTGAATATTCTGATTACTTTGACTTACTAACAATTTATTGTTCCTTTATGAAGTTTCACTGGAATTCAAGTTATAAATTCAAGTTCTAAAATGAAATTGCGATCTGTAGTTTTGGTGCGCAACTCCTCATCTAAACAATTTCAAAGCGTTCATTATCACTCCTAAAAATCACCTTTTACATTTTTTAAAATAAAAATTTTGACTTTAAACCTAGAACTGTAGTCCATACTTCCAACCTCAACACATCCATAGTTTCCTTATTGGTTAATATGACAAATTATCAAAAAAATTTCATTTCATGGCAAGAGTTGTATGCTATTCTTAACAGGCAGTTTTAGTTTACCTACGAATTAATGTACTGAATCAAACTTGAAAGCTATTTCACCAGTAATTAATATTTCTTCTGGTAGCAAAGGTACTAAAAACCAAATGTCGTTCACTTTGGTCATAGTTTACTGGAATACTGCAAAAAAGCATATTAATCGCCGAGATCTAATTAATGCACACTTACAATCGTTTGTGTTTTCACACCTTTTCTTACAGTTTTTTGTCAGATAAAGACTGTTATCATAAATCGAGGTCGTTAAAATTTTATGATTACTTGAAAAAGCTGACCCTAATAAATGGTGCAAAGTTCGTAGAAATGAATAAGAATCAATTAACCGGAGCTATTTATTTGCAGAAAGTTATAGTTTGAGTATTTGCCTATTTATAGTGATCTGCTTATTTTATTAAACTTTAAACATAGCTATTTCGGGGCAGGAAGTGTTTACCATATGCTATTGCATTCATCATAAGTGAAAAAGATGAAATGTAATTTGCTGAGGTCAAACTTCAAAAGTTCCTCACCGCAAGTTTTAGTCTAATAACTGATCTAATCATCCTTAGCTACTGCCTAAAATGATTTTTTCTTCTTTTTTTGCTTATGAATGCCGCCATTTTGTCTATTATAAAAAATCATTAAGCGAAGTCTCGTAATCATAGAAAATCATAACGTTGCGTAACGTGAAAAGTGCTTTATTTGATAAATTATAGTATCATATTTTCATAACTGTATACTTTTTCGATTATAAGAGCAAGCAAATTCCAGCAGTGTTAATTTACGAGTTTTGCCCGTTATTAGTTAACATCTCGTGATCTTAAGCAGGACACCTATGAGTCAGAGACAAAGCTCACCAAAAGGACAAATCTTGATAAGCTATATTTTCATGCATTACTGATGACGAGCTTTTATTACAGCTAATCTATTCAAAAATACTGTGAGTTCTGATCTTTTAACATTTCTGTAAATGTAAACAAATGAATACAAGTTTGGCAGATTAGTGATTATTTATTTCATTAGAATGTGCGAAATTGAAATGTTTTTAATACAAAATTGGTTCTTTTAAAAATTGCAAAATTTTTTCGTTTTTTATGTAAGTTCAAAAACTCACTGATTAATTAATGAGGGCTTCGATAAAGATCCCAGCAATTCAATTCTTCTCATAAAGTTACGCAGTAAATTAATTGTTTTTACGTACATCCTACAAAAGTCTGTCCAAGAACTGTCAGTGCCAGTCAATGTATCTGTGGGTGATTTGGTTTCCTGATCTCCTGATAATTTCGATCAAAGTTTTATATTATTTGATCTGAATTTCCAACAACAATACAATTCTCAATTTTTAATTACCATTTCTTTGATTCTGTGAACAGTATAATAAAAAAGTATACAAAGCCTTATTATTATTATTATTGAACTATTGAGTCAATTTTAGCATTTATAACTAAATGCTGTACTCAAGTCATGTCAGTTTATTTTTAAGCTAACACTTGGGCAATAGATGGCTAAATTAATTATCAGTTTCTGCTTGACTGAAAGAATGCGAAAAGTTTTGATAGTTGGCAAAGAGAAAAATATTTGCATCCAGTACTAAAGAGTGGTACCAGCTGAACAGTGCAAACTTTCTGAGAAATGAAGCAGTCGAAAATTTGCATGCAAGTAGGAATTGTTTAAATTAGCACAAGACAAAAATGGTAATTGAGAGATGAAAGCAATCAATTTTTGCGTGGATGCGTGGAATACCGTAATTAGAAGAGAAAATGGATTGGATGAGAGAGCCGAAGAATGGATTAAATTGTGCTGAATTGAAAGAGCAAAAAGCGATACCACCTGGCAAAGTATTATTTTTCTTACTTGTCTTTTTTGCATATATTTTGGATCAGAAGGAATGTTTTAACCTGTTATTTTCCACCTCATTGCACTCTTCCTTCGCTGATTAATTGCTTTGTTAGTTTTCAACGCAATTCCAGTCTTGTGATGATTTTTCAAATTTGAATTTAAATCAATTGGATCAGCTAGTCACTGAGTTATAAAATGATTAAAAGTGATCAGTAAATTTCGATAACATTTCCCAGAAAATTTTTGAAAGTCAGTAACAAAGGTCAGAAGGGATAAACCCCCTACTGAGAAGACTTGCACACTTATCGTTCAACTACTTGTCTTATAAGGTAATGAATACAATAAAGAGTAATACGACAGCAGTCAATCCAATTAGCACTTTCTTTAGTTATTGTAATCACAAGAAATCTATGAATTCTTCACATTAACAGCTGTCATCGGAAAGTGCGTGATCCAATCAAAAAATTACAGCAATTATCACATGGGAACAAGGGCAAATCATCCAATGATGACTGAAAAATATTCCATCACAAATATTCAATTAACTTTGTCACTAACTATTGCAAGAATTCATTTTTGAAATTGGTGCAATAAAACTTTTCCTTTGTGCTATTTGATTGCATTCATCGCTGCCTGAATATCTGTGCTACTTCCAAACAAAATACAGACTTCTGAATACCATTTTCACTCATTTACAGTGTCAGTCTACAAATTCACTTCATGTAAATTCACAGAAATTACAACTTCCAGCAGTACTTCATCACAGTAATAAAATTTCTAAACTTCAATATTGCAAGCAAATATTTGAAATGCATCAAATAATATCGCAAATAAAATTGACAACAACACAACTGTTTGTTGGATGTGTTCGATTCAATACTTTGCTTATTCTACACAACTTGCACTCTAATTCAAATAAATCAGCTGCGAATTAATTAAATAATCAAAGTTTGTAATTACAAATTGCTTGAAATTTAAATTCAGAATTGAATTAAAAACTCACTGCATATTCAAATTCATCATTATTTCTCCAACGTTGAAGCTATGCACTTTCGCTCACAATATTTGATGTGACGGAATGAAACTGAGCACAGCTAAGCAACTAATGTTTGATTTCAAAAAATTTAAATCTAAAGAATAAAAAAGTGAATTTGAAAATTCATTATTTAATTGAAAATAAAAATTACTATAATGTACGTATGGAACATGAAAAATATTCTATATATTGCGCCACCAACAGAATTTTTTCATGCACTTATCAGTTATAATCAAGCTAGTCCACTCATCGCTTGCGTAACAGACATGACGTTAAAGTGATAAATAATGTTGATTAATCACACGTTAATCATCACTGCCCATGAAGTTTATGACAATTTTGACATCCATGCACAGATATGTGAGAAAATAGCAAGGGAATTTCACTGCACGATTTTTAGTTTCCATTAAACAGAAGTATTTATTTAGAATTTCATTAGTTACATTCCACAGATATCAAAATCATCATTAATATATGCATGCGGTATTAGCATAAACTGCTCAACCTGAGGCATCATCATAACTGCCTGAAATTTTATTATTTCTTAGCGTATTGATAACTCAGCAATATCAATGAGAATCCTCAGATTGGTACGTAATAGCATGATGATTAGCTTTATCAGCTCTTGCGATCAGGAATAAATACATAAATACCCTGTGGTATAAATAAATAAGCTATATCAAATACCTTGATAAACAAACATGCCAAGTATTGATTATTATAATTAATGAATACATCAGGGGTAAAGTCTTCTAATCTCATACTTCTTCAGCACTTCATTATCTTCACCAAACTAGCAATTACTGCTAATGGTTTGGGGACGGAGAAATATTATAACAGTGATTTTACGAGATAAACTAAATAAACCATCTCCATGGGACTGAATGATGATTGCACAACAACTCTTCCCATTTTTCGCTTTAATCTACCCATTAAAAAGACATAATTGTAGCATCATATTTCTTTGTTACAGTGCTATGACTTCACTTTTTTCTAAAAACGTATCATTTTGAGTGCATATTCCAACTCGAGATTCCTTCCCAAAAAAGCCATGAACTCGAGAAAATGTCAGTGTTAAGTCAGATTTGCCTTTGACTCATCTTTAAATCGTGCTCTCTTAATAAAGCGTAACATATATGAAGTAGCACCTCATATGATAATTGACTCAAGAATAAAAACAATTTTAATTGAACACAAAAAATTATAAAAGAGCATTTACTAACTGAATTAAGACTGAATAATTAAAAAAATATAACAGCAACAAGTTAAAACCCTGCATGAATCAATAAGATTAATAATATCCCACTACGATATCACTCAATGATTTTAATTACTGCTTAAAGGATGCCTGAAATGACTCCAAAAATAACGATGTGAAGATAATTAGCAAGTAAAGAAAAATTTGCAACCAAAGATTTTCTGTTAATTGCTCAATTAAATTGGAAAACAAAAATACAAGAAATACATGATAGCGTTAACATGAATGACATACAATATCCAGGATAAAAGTACATATAATTTTTGCTACTTAAGTTATAGTTGTTATCAACTACAAGATACAATTTAGTAAGTAGTAAAATTCTCCCGTTGCATAAAAATTAGCTAAATTTAAAGCATATATTTTTTAGCTAATATCATGCAATGCTGATAAAACTCATTCAAAACAAAACTTCAGACTTCAGTGAGTATTACCAACGACATTTCGAACAAATGGTCGCATGACATCCATAGCTTGTGAGAGTTCTGAAACAAGACCAAAAATGTCTCCAGTTACCTAGTTTTAAAGCTACCACTAAACATATTTAAGGAAAGCTTAATATCAAAAAAGTTATAGTTTGGTACCAACAAATAGCACTTAACACAAATTAATACTTTATGAACAGAAAATATCTCTAAAAATTGAAAAAAACTCATTTTATGAAACTAGTAAATGCTTCATTAACAAAAACATTAAACAGGAATACATATAACCTTTTAACAAATAATTTAACTTCGTTTCATTCAGAGATACTGAAATGTTTTCCTTGTCATTCGTGCGCAAATTCATTACATACATCTGAAAACAAGCAAAATCATCCGATCACAATTCACGAAAATTATGAAAGTAGATATACAATTTTATCTTCAAAAGCAATCAACCTATGTTTGTATCAAAAAAAGAAAAAAAAAAGTGCTAACTTTCTACTTTTTCTTTGACATATATAAGATCTGAAATTGCCAATTATGTTACTGATAACTTGAGAATAAAAACTGTCAAATCTAATTACACATAAAAAGCAGTATGCACGAGATATTTTCTTCTAAAAATTTTGTGATCCTCCATTAATCTGAAAAAAAAAACCTTTTTGATTCCTTTTTCTGTGGAATCCAACGATGTGACAGTTAGAGATGGCACTGAACAAATAAAATTTATAAAATATTCAATTTTTGTTTTTATAGCTGAAAGAAAGCTTTCACAGCAAATATGCCTCTCAATTCTCAGAAAAAAAAAACTGCACGTTTCTAAGACGAAATCATAAGCCATGACATTTCGCTTCTGCAATATTTGATTTGTAGAGAAACCAGTAAAAAAATACACTTAGTACAAAATAACATAAATGACTATAATTCTAAACAGTTTCCATGAAAACTTACTGCGACGAAAACTCGACAACAAAACATTTTTCAGCTTTTCCAAATTTAAGGCATAAATCTTAGTTAGTTGTTTGCAATGCTCTGAAATATAGTTCAATCAGGACAATATTACTCAGGAATCACCATCGCCTTTTACAATAAAACATGAACTGCTGCTATTGACAAATAAACAAAAAGTCAGATTAACAAAAATTAAAACATATCAAAAAGAAATGACAAAGTCCCAGACGTGAAATGAAAAATACATGCCTGCAGGTAGACCCAGCTGCTGCATTTCCAATTCAAGATCTTGAGCTGAACATAAATTTTTTGTAGACTTTTCCAGAATAAAAACAAGCGCTGCTAACATTCTTTTTACAGACTCGTCATCTGCAAAAATGATCAAATAGTCCTATTAAATGCAAAAAATATGCTTAAAAAAATTTTTTTTCTGAAAAACCATAATTCCTTTACATAATTTTCAATAATGACAAGGAAGCTGGCATCAAGTTATTCATTTCATCCAATTGGTTAGTGATGTTCTACTTCATAGCCACTTTCCTTGCCTTCAAAATATAAAAGCGATGTTTTTTACAACTAATTTGTGAGAACAGTTTTGATTTCAACGTAAAGTGTGCAAGTTCTTATTTCACCAGCAACCTATATATACTCTATTTAAATAAAATTCACCAAGATTTTGATCTACATTCAGAACTGACAAATGCACATCATTCCACTCAGTTCTACCTTCAATCAAACATTCCACGCAACTTAAGCACCAATGTTTGAATTTCAATACAGGCTAAAAGTATATTTCACGACAGTTAATTATAAGACGTATTACAATGTACTATTACAAAATAATGATAAGTACTATAACAAAATAAAACATTAAAGTTCGTTTGATCTAAATTTTGTCATAATGTTGATTTCATCTTTAATCTAATATTATGATTACAAAATACTGAGGAAATGTACTCAATTAAAACAAATTGCTTTATGGAACTGATGATGAAATTTTATGATAAGAATAGACTCACAAGTTTGGATAACGAAGCTACTTCAGCCAAAATCCAATCCGGACAGTCCAAGCCACCAACAAAGTGAAATTTCTGTAAATAAGAGTCATTTTCTGAAATGTTCACTTTCAATATAAAGCAAAACCACAAATTACTAAACTGTTTACTGGTAAGGAGCCTGATCTATCATTTCAAAACTATAGTCTCTAATAAGCATGAAATCTAAAAAAATCTATAGATTTCATTATCTTTATAGATAGCAAATTTTATCATAATAGATTTTTTTTAAAAGCAAAGACTGTTTGTTAGTTATTTCCTTCAGATGCTAGTCAATCAAAACTATAATTTTACATCTAGCGTTGATGAAAATGAGTATTTTACTAAGAAAAGAAAGAACTACAAACATAAATTATTTAACATTCTTATAACAAGAATTAATAACAATCAATCAACTTTTTGGGGACTATAATGTTAAGAAAACTTAGATATCAATGAATCTGCGAACCATAACGATAATCAAGCTGGGAATCGAATTATGTACAGTAAAATAATTACTTGCAAATAGCCAATAATCCAACCTGACCTGAAAAGTTTGAAGTTTGAAGAGAATATAAGAATCATAAAATAATTCACAGAATATAGATCAAAATCATTACATGCAGTTTCAACAGAAATCTTCAGTTCGCGAGAATGTGAAAATTGTTTTCTTGAAGTGCAATGGAATTTTTTGTGGTTGAAAACTTGCGGTAAATTGGAATTGAACCTCCTCATTTTCACGGCTTTATGCTGGCTTCAGTTAGAATTTATGCTTAATTCTAAGAACAGTAGAATCTCTATGTTTAATTCTACGAAAAAGACAACAAAGTCAAAATTCTGGAGGAAGTGCATAATATGTAAGTCGATATTGCGGACCAACATGATAAAATTTGAAATAAAAAAAGAGTATAAGTAATAGAGATGTGACAGAACAGGAGACTTTGTGAAAAAGATTACGAGAGAGGCACATTGAAATATAAAAAACATAGTGGGCAGGTAATGCAATCAAGATAAAAGGAAATTAACGTCAACGTTCTTGCAATGAGCAAATACGTGTCCCGTGCGAACTACAGATCACGTGAGTTGCACGCTGAATTACATTTATAAGTACATTAAAAGTAATGGGAATTCATTTTTGTCTTATTCCCAGGTCATTAATATTCGAGTCGCAGTGGAATATTAATTCTAAGTCAGTGACTTTAGAGCAAAACCTATTGGAAATTCTTCAGTGTGTTGGGATAAATCAATGAGAGAATTGTACTCGTCGAAAGAGGAGGAAGTTCACAGCCTTTCTATATAAACACTATGTGAGCAGAGACTGCGAAGAAAGAGCATGAAATGAGATTGGTAACCTTCGACACTTACGTTAGAGAGTGCTCTGAGCGGTGGACTGTGACCTTTGTGAGTTGACTGTTTAACCTCAGTCGTGTTGATCTGATCATGCATTTCACTACAGATCACATTTATAAGTGTGATGAGTAACTATTTGAGAATTTTATTAGCATACTATAGGGCCGATAAATGTGTATAGATTGACAGGTTTTGTGTTCAGAGATTTTTATTGAGATTCTGGTAAGTATTAACAAATTTTTAGTTTCAGATTAATTTCATTCTCTGCGATATTACTTTTCACGCGCACTTTTTGCACAGATACCCGCGCAGTGTTCGGAAAAATTTATTCTTATTATTGGTAAGCAGGGATTTGAGAATATTACTGATAAAAGTTGCGACAAAATATCGTAATTGTCAGTGAAACAGCAGTATTCAGCGTGTTATTTCGATTTGATGTTCTGTTGCGTTACTTCCAAGTGCAATCCTGGGATTGGGAAGAATAATGAAATGTATTGTTATAGGGAAGCACAGTTGACGATTTCACACAGTAATCGGAAAGCACTATGGTTGATGTATTAGAAGATGTATTAGAAGAAGAATATGGTACTCCATCCCTCTCACTCAATTTTGTTGATACGCAGGATGAAGATTCTTTGCTTCTTCATGGAGCCACTCAGGTTAGACTTCTGAAAGTCATACTTTTGTATTTAATAAGTTTATTGCTTGAATGTTTACCTCTTCTACAATTTTACTTCAGGATTCACAGTTTGAATTTGACCAACAGTTTACTCTTCCATCACAAGGTTGGGGCGAAACTGTTCCTGAAATGGGTGGGAATCAAACTGAGGAGTTGGTATTTGTTGAGGAAAATGAGCTGTTACGGGAAGAATTGCCACCACATGCATGCAGGTGCTGTCAATCGATCTGATGCAAAATGTTGTACATTTATAGATAAATTTTCCTAAGGCTTATCAGTTTTATGGAAAGTGAATTTTTTGAGTATAGATTTAGATCTCGTGTCATTTTCAGTTACTGTGGCATACACGATCCGGCTGCGGTAGCGATGTGCTTAATTTGCCAAAAATGGTTTTGTAATGGACGTGGAAGTGCAACTGGGAGCCATCTAGTTGTACATTTGGTACGTTCTCAGCATAAAGAAATTTGTCTGCACAAACAAGGAGCTCTTGGAGATACAGTTCTTGAATGCTACCAGTGTGGCTCAAAGTTTGTTTCAGTATCACCTCACCACTTTCAGATTTCGTTTCGAACATATGCCGCATCATTTGTTCGTAATATTTTTAAATAAATACGGATAATCAATGACTCCCATTCGCGCAACACCATTGTTATTTACAGAAACATTTTTCTTCTGGGATATATTCCTGCAAAAGCAGATACGGTTGTTGTGGTGCTTTGTCGTCTACCTTGTTCGAGTCAAACTGTCCTGAAGGACCAATCATGGCAGGTTAGTTAGAATTTCCATTTGAAAGTTTGTTATTTGACACTATTTCGATTCAGTTTTTCAGTATATTAGTTGTCAGTTACTGTTGGATGAAGTTTTTTTTTTTTAATAAGTCGGTAAGTCTTAGAAAATCCATTTTAAAGCTTCTTTAAATTAGGTTAATGAATGGAAACCGCTGATTAGTGATCGTAAGCTGCTTTCTTGGCTTGTAAGAGTGCCATCTGAACAGGAACAAATCAGAGCACGACGGATAAGTGCTGCACAAATCAACCGACTTGAAGATCTTTGGAAGGTTCATTTTCACTTCAAACTTTCATGAAGCAAGACTTGGATTTCTGATCATGGGACTTGTTTTGTTTTTAGGAAAATCCCAAGGCTGTACTTGAGGATTTAGAAAAGCCAGGAATGGATCAAGAACCAGATCACGTGCAACTAAAATATGATGATGCATATCAATATGAGCGTATATTTGAACCATTAGTTGATGCTGAAGCAGATTACGACCGAAGATTGAAAGAATCACAGACACAAAGTGTTGGTCATGTCCGATGGGATATTGGTCTTAATCGCAGGCCGCAAGCTTTCTTTCACTTGCCAATGTTTTCCGAAGGAAGTATGTAAATAACCCTTCAGTACAATGTTCAAAATTAATATCTTCACAAAAACAGACATTTGATTTAATGTAGACTCGTTTTTTTTTATTGCTTCAGTATGTCATTTTTGTGAATACTTAGAAAGTTATCTGAAACAGTTGTTTTTTAGGTATGAAATTAATGATTGGAGACGAATTACGTTTGAGGCATACACAAACTTTGGGTACTGAATGGTGTGCTACTGGAGCTGTCATCAAAATTCCTGACAGTATCTTTTAGAAACTTGTTGATTTTATTTTCATTCTTAAAAATGCATCAGAACTGTCGGCGTTTAAGAGTGCAGTTGATGTTCGCGATTAAAGTCATTAAGTTCTAGATCATAACGATGAAATAGGAATCGAAATGCGTCTAAATGCAGATAATATACCTTCTGATACTCGAACGAATTTTACTTGTGAATTTGTTTGGAACTCAACTTCATTTGATAGGTAATTTTCCTTACAACTATTGTTGTTTCAAATAGTTGCTAAAGGAAGCTATTCCTTTACGAAAAAATTAAACTCGACCTGAAAATTAAGGATATTTGCGACTAAGATTTTCAAATAAAACTAAGTTTTTCATGTTTTTATTTACAAAGCTTGGTTTTTATTTTACAAACGAAGAAAGTTTCAGGATGAAATCCGCACTGATGTCATTATGTCGAGATCAAAACTGCATGTCTCAGTTCATATACCATAAATTAATGGGTCACGATGTTGATGATATAATATTTAAGGTTTCACTGCCTAAAAGATTTAGTGTGCCAGGTTTACCAGAGTTGAATCATAGTCAGGTTCATGCAGTCAAAACAGTTCTGCAGCGACCATTATCACTTATTCAAGTATTATTCATTTTGTTATTATTTTGTCAATCCTTTCTTCTCTCCGTTAAGTTTTATAAATTTGTTGACGTTTTAAAGGTCATTTGTATTTGTTCTTAGGGCCCTCCTGGAACTGGTAAAACTGTAACATCCGCTACAATTGTATATCACCTGGTAAAGCAAACAAATGGCCAAGTTCTTGTTTGTGCTCCATCTAATATCGCTGTTGACCAGCTTGCTGAGAAAATACATCGTACTGGATTAAAGGCAGTTTTGTCATTTAATTTGATTAAGTTTTCTAATTTACATTTATTGATTTGTAATTTTTCTCATTGAAACGCTAATTCACTTTTCAATGTCTGTTTTTATCGATTCAGGTTGTTCGCCTTTGTGCTAAGAGTCGTGAGTTTTTGGAAAGTCCTGTTGCATTCCTCACACTACATAATCAACTAAAAGCTCTTCATGGTGCAGCTGAGTTGCATAAGTTGCAACAATTAAAAGTTAATTTTTGAAATTTTCATCATCGTCTTACAGCATTTTTAAATTTAGTTCGTATGCTTGTCGTCTTACTGAAATCCATAATTGTGAATTGTCAGTAATGCATGAAATTTCATATCGTACAATAGCCAAAGTAAATATCTCTCTTCAAAGTTATATATCTTCTTTTAGCTTATCAAAGTTCAGGATATTACTTTTTTTGATTGAGGATGTTATAATATCCAGTATGAGAGTAGTTAATAATTTATAATGTTTCTTCTAATATGATCATCGCTAGTTTGAAAATCTTTAAATTAATTCATTTAACGTTGTACAGGAGGAGATGGGGGAATTGGCGGAGGCAGATGAACGCCGTTTTCACAAATTACGTAAAACAAAAGAGCGTCAACTGTTGCTCGCAGCCGATGTGATTTGTTGCACTTGTGTTTCGGCCGCAGACAGTCGTTTGTCGCAAATGAAAATCAAGTGAGTATTTTTTTGACTACAGAGTATGGTAACCTCCTAAGTAATTCTTGTCTAGATCAGTTATGTGATATAAATTCAAGGTGTGTTTTAATTGATGAATCGACTCAAGCTACAGAACCTGAAGTTATGGTAGCCGTTGTTCGTGGTGTTAGGCAGTTGGTACTTGTAGGTGATCACTGTCAATTAGGTCCTGTTATCATGTGCAAAAAGGTATTATTTTATGGCAGCAGCTCTTTTAATTTGTGTTTAGTATAAAATCAAAGTATATTAATTTTCTATGGTAGTTAAAATTTCCTTGATGTGTCATAAATTTTTCATAATGCGAGTATATTTTTTTGAGGCAGCCAAAGCTGGCTTGTCGCAATCGCTTTTTGAACGTCTTGTTCTACTCGGAAATCGTCCTATCCGTTTGCAAGTACAGTATCGTATGCATCCTGCTCTTTCTGCTTTTCCAAGCAATGTTTTCTATGAAGGCAGCTTACAAAATGGTGTGACAGAAGGTAAATATTCATTTTCTTGAAATAGCAGAAGAGTATGTGTCAGTAGTAAATAATTATACAGCATAAGAGAGAAACTAATTTTAAGATGAAAGCCTTCACTTTTCGATTTGCATTTTAACAATTTTTTAATCTGCATTTTTTTTCCTGTCTCACATTACTTCTTACTTTCTGCGGTTTCAGGAGAGCGGCAGTTGTCTGGAATCGATTGGCATTGGCCAGTAGCAGACAAGCCGTTAATGTTTTGGAGTTGCTACGGCCAGGAAGAATTCAGTTCGTCAGGCACTTCATTTTTAAATAGGTAGCTTTTTACTTTGTTGTTTTATCATTTCATTCATAATATTCAAACTTAGTTAATAGAATACTTTCTAAATATTTAAATCATAGAACTTTACTCTAGAACTGAAGCAGCAAATGTTGAGAAACTAGCAACTCGGTTTTTGAAAGCTGGTTTGAAACCACAGCAAATTGGGATTATTACTCCTTATGAAGGACAACGGTCTTATATTGTGCAGTTCATGCAGACACAGGGGGCCTTGCATAACAAGTTATATCTTGAAATGGAAGTTGCAAATGTAGATGCTTTCCAGGTCTGTTAAACAGTTTTATTTTTTAAATTCTTATATTTCTCTCCACTGAGTGATAGGTCGAGTTGTTCAAAAGAGATTTATATATTAAATCAATTAAAAGATTTAGCCTTATCTAAGACCTTTACGATACTGTACCTGCTGAATTTTTATCGATGAATGGTCGATATGATTAATTTCAATTAATGACATTACACCACTTTATTTCCAGTGCAAGAAAAATGATTATATCAAAAGGAAATTTACCTTCTACTTTCTATATGTTCATTATTTTAATTCAAGCAAGAAAAATATATGTATTTTAGGGCCGAGAAAAGGACATCATTATAGTGACTTGTGTCCGTTCTAATGATCACCAAGGAATCGGTTTCCTGAATGATTCTAGACGCATGAATGTTGCATTAACACGTGCCAAATATGGTATCATTATTGTTGGTAACGCGAAGGTATTATCACGAAATCCGCTATGGAGTTATTTGTTATCTGTGTTCAAGGAGAAAGGTTGTCTTGTTGAAGGCCCATTAAACAACTTAAAACCATCGCCACTCACTTTTGTCAAAGCTCGTCAAATCCCGAGTATTGTGAATGTAAGTAATTTACAGGAAACTTACCTCTCATGCTCAGTTAGATGGAATTTGTGCCTTCGTAAATATTTCAGCCCCTGGGTTTCCTTTTTTTTCAAAAAAAAAGGTGAAAAAATGTAATATGGTTCTATGACTACTATGTTCATCACTTATTAATCGTGGCATAATGTAATGTATTATTGTAATATTTTTCCTGCTGTATTGTGAGGAAAGCTAATTTTTATAGATGAACCGTTTCGTTCCACATGGAGCAACTTTGTCTAAAGAAGGTGGCGTGTGTTGTGTTCGAAGTCGAGGAATACAATCAATACAAGATCCTTTCGCAACTATTAATCAGAGTCAGTTGAGACCTCAAAATGGACCTAATATTCCAGTACCATTGCAAATGTTTGTTCAGCCGCCTCCTCATTATTCTCTGCCACCTTCACAAAAGCCGGACAAAACTGTCATCAACAGTAGTACAAAGCAAAACCAGCTGGGAACTTTCAATATGTTTAGTTCACAGCAATCGCAAGATCCAATTTATATGCAACAAATAAGTAGCATGTCTGGTAAGTAATAATTCTGTTATGGGTTTTTTTCAAATGTGAAATGATTAAGCTTAAGAAATAAAGGTATCAAATTTTAATCTTTTTTCATAAAGATAGTTTTTAGATATGTCACAAGATGTTTCTGACTGGTCACAATCGCAAACGCAAAACGTATATATTTCTTACGATCAGGTGAAATTTTTGAAAATTAACTTTTTACATCAGATAATAGCTTTCCAGTTTGATGTTTTTTCGGAAAATTTTTTTGTTTCAATGAAGCTTTAAGTCGTAGAAAAAAGATTGAAAAAGTAATATATCTCTTTTTACTGTGTAAATATTCATAATAATTTTAGTTGCATTCGAAATTAAGACATTGCCGGCCACTGAAAATTTGATAATGCAGGTAAAAATTGTTTTTTAATTCTCTTCTCATTATTAAGAATGTGGTGGTTTTTAGGATCCTCTGGTAAACCAAATGGAAGCAATGTTTTTGTCTCAAGATGCAGATGTAGACAACTATAATTTTGCTGGTGCAAGTCAGTATTGACGGCAAACAATGACCGGAATTAGTTTGAGTCCTGAGCAGTAAAATGCTGACTTCCTGGTAGGCACCGAGTGAAGACTGTGCGATTCCCAAGAAGTCGGTTGCTGTCAGTCAAGGAAGATTTCCGATTAATCACTAAATGCAACGAAACTATTCGAGAATAGGTGATAAAAAGAAGAATTTGAGACGAGCGAAGAAATTTTATTTTCTTTTATTTTATTTAATCGTGTGGTTTACACAAATGCTTATTGAAGAATTTTACTTGTTCGTGAGTATTGAATTAAATAAGTCTTATTTTATTAATCTTTGCTGTCATTTCATTGGTTTCAAATGTTGCATCTGAGATAGATCGCATCGTGCATGTATGTTTCTAAATTTCATGGTAAATTCCACGAAATTTGGGGGTATTTTGAAGGTTGATTTAAATTGGTATGACATTTGTAGTTAGTATTATGTCCTAAAAAATCATGGTAAGATATGATATTTTCTAGTCGAAACTTTTCAAATTAGTAGTATCAGTCTGGTTTATCAAACTTCAAAGCTTAGCTTATCGTAACTTTTTATTCATCATTTTGTGTAGGACGATTGCTTTTTTTAATGTATTCCGCAACATTTGTAATACCCAAAACTTCATGCAAGACACGCATTGGTATTTTGACTTCTCAAGAATAAGTGATATCAATAATAAGCTACTTCTATTGATTGTTGATGACAGTCGGATTTTTTCAGAATTATCATTTGTTCAGTTTTTGTAAGTGCAAAATTTTCAACGTGTTAAGTCAGTAATTCTTCGCATCAAGCTTTTTCTGGTAGTTTCCAGATTTTTCGCATACTGAGAATACATTTAGAAACTCCATATTAAATCCTTTATCTCTGTACTGAATATTTATGGTTTTTGTTCTAAGTTTTTATATTTTTTTCTTATGCTCTTTTTTGTCTTAGATGCATTTATGTGATGCATTAATAAAATCAAATTTGAAGTTCTGAAATGTAGCACTGGTATTGCCCGTACTTTTTCAAATGTTAAGGTAACATTAATAAAAGAAATATTATTAAGAACATTGGTTATATATGCATAATTATGCGATTATATATTAGTATTCATTTGACCTCGATTTTTTTTCCTATGATTGGGAACATTCGACAAATTCGTACTTCTATGAATTGTCGTCCCCATACTGAGAAATGAAAAGGAAATTGAGATGTCAACATAGCTCTATTCTCACATGATGACCGGATCTACTATAATTTTGGATTTCTTCCATAAATTATCTTTTAAAGGCTGTGATTTGAAGCGATAGCTATGGTTAGACGCAATATACGAAACCGGAGGAATATTTTTAAGATGCAGAAGGTTATTATTTTCTTCAAAGTATCAAAGTTCAGTCAATGTTCATTGATTACCGTCATTTTAGATTGCTCATGATTACATTTTAATCTTTCTCATGATCAATCTTCCTGATTCATTTCCAGTAGTGTCCATTGCAAAGTATGGTTTTCTAGGGTGTCACCCAGGACTATATATTAACGAAATATGAAAAAACTAACGCAAACTTTTGTAAATATTACAAAAGTCAAGGAATTGTTAAGATCAGCGAGTGGGATAAATTCATGGCTGCTTTCAGAGAAGATTTACCCACATCCTTCCGTATTCAAGGGAGTAGCAAGTACCATTTTCTTGTTTAAGTTCTGCAAGTTTCGTTAATTTATCATTTATTTGAGCAAATGTGCATTATATGCACTGCTTTTTGGAGCAAATCTCTGTTCACAATAACTTCTTGAGATAAAGCTGTTCAAATTGTATAGTTTTTCTAATTGAGCATGTCTTGCAACAAATTATTAATTTTTTATAAAGTAAGTATACTTGTAGTTTTCAGTTGTAACTTCATAACTAGAATCTTGTTTATTTCATTAATGTAAGATAATTTAAATAAATTTCATGTAAGTAATTAAAATCTTCTTTTTTCATGCAGTCTTTTGTCAAATGGCTTAAAAAATTTTCACTGTGAGTTTAGCGTTTGCTTTCTTTGTGAACGAACATTCATATTGCAAATTCAGAGAAGCCCAATCGCTGATTGAATTGATGAGCAAACGTTATTTTGAGCCAATGAAAGAATGGGAAAATGGTGAATGTTTTTTGCCGAAAGCGCTTCCGTGGTATTCATATGCATTCCAGACATCTGCTTCTCGTGCAACTTTGCGTAGTCATCCTTTGTTGAAAGGTCTTCATAATTTTCTTATCACCGAAGCTGAACTGGTACTCTTTACTTTTGTACTCTACCCAGATATTTTAAACATGGTTTGTATGAAGTGAAAGGTTTAGGTAAACTCACAAATAACTGCTTATTGAGATGAAAATTAAGGTTGTTCAAATTGTCAGGTTTCATTTTTATTGAGCGCCTCTTTTTGTAGTAAATATGTGAAGGTTATAGGGTAACATAAGTCGACAAGAAACGGTTAGTATGATTCCTCCGCTTTTGCTTGACATCAGACCTCATCATAAAGTTCTGGATGTCTGCGCAGCACCTGGTAGTAAAACTATGCAAATTGTTGAAATGATGCATAGCAATGGCAACATTCCTAGTTAGTCTGAAACCTTGATCTATTTTATTAAATATTTCAATTTGAAGTAGTTAAATACTGATAATAAATTAGACACAAAACGAGACCGGCATAATATGGTTCTAAATTGTGGTGAGCAGAGTGTGCATTGTACTTATAATCATATGAATTTTAAATATGAGATAGCATTCATTAAAAATGAAACTTACTGGCTATTACGAGTTAAACTGTGTTATAAATCTAAAAGTCTTTCTTATAAAATGATGTCATTAGCAATCTTATTGTTGTGAAAGTAAGTATACTGCCGTGCTACATAATATATCGTTTTAGAAGGGATTATTGTAGCAAATGACGTGAATAATTCGCGCTGTTATTTACTTGTTCGTCAAGCTTTGAAGCGAATGCCAACATCGAATTGTATTGTTATTAATGAAGATGCAGCATTTTTGCCTAATTTATCTTTCAACGAAGTAATTGTTAACTGTTGGAAATAGTTGCGAATTTTCTAACATTACGAAATTTTATTTGCTTATTTTGTTCTTAGGTAGAGATCTCTGTTTTTTAATTCTTCTTCCTTGTAAATCCTTTCTTTTGGTATTATCAATTATTGAGCGACTCTTAGAAAGGATTTCCAGGGCACAAATGAACTATTGCTGTTTGACAGAGTACTTTGTGATGTAATTTGCAGTGGTGATGGAACTTTCAGAAAAAGTCCGGATATGTGGCACTCTTGGAGCCCTGTACAGGTCTGTTGTTTTCTAGTTACTTTTGAAATAATATATTTCTTTATATTGTAAGAAACAAGTTTATATATTCTAGGGTTTGGGTTTACACAAAGTTCAAGTTAATATTGCTCGACGTGCTGTGCAGCTACTCAGTATTGGTGGTGCATCCTTTAATTCATTATTCGTATTTGAAATTTTGTGTGTTCCTTAATAGTTTTTCGAAAACAATAGCGTAAATTTGGCTTTTATTAGCCAAACAGTTGAAATAGCGTATATATCTGTCTCGATTTTTGACTTCGTACTAATCAAACTCAAGCATTTGTAATTGTTTCACAATTCATTTCATATCAAAATTAAGTGTATATTTAATTTTTTACAACGTTTTGTTTTCCGGATGTTAGGTCTTATGGTATATTCGACGTGTTCATTAAATCCTATAGAAGACGAAGCAGTCGTCGCATCTATATTACGCTATGGTGGAGGTGCTTTAGAGCTGGTTGATGTTTCTGACCAGTTACAGTCGTTGAAGCGCTCACCGGGACTTTCGAAGTGGAAGGTAATTCCTTCTTTATTTTATGAGACTTTTCTTGAAATAAATTATTACAATGCGATTCATTACTTATCTTGATGTTTCAGGTGTTTGATAAAGAAATGCGTGAATATAATAATTTATTTGACGTAGAATCTGATCAGAAACGGTATTTTACTTCCTCTATGTTCCCCCCTAGTAACGAAGAAGTTGAAAATTTTCATTTGGAACATTGGTATGTATTTGCAGTACCAAAGCAATCATAGTAAATCAATGTTTGCTTAAGGAACGCTGTGTTAGATTTCTCTTTTCTTCACTGCAGTTGCCTTAATCTCTCTAAAGTGCATGAGATTGAGACAACTATTTTGAAATGTTTTTCTTACATTTGAAATCCTGTTTTTCAATGTTTCTTTTTCAGTTTTCGAATATTACCTCATTTGCAAAATACAGGGGGATTTTTCGTTGCAGTGATCAAAAAAACAAAGCCTCTAAGCCAATCAGATCTTGCTTTTCAGTAAATTTTTATCATTTTGCAATAACCAAGTGGAATATGTCTAAAGATACATGTATGACTTTGCAAAGTTTTGGTTTTGTGAATTTTTCTGATCAAAGTTATTTTTCTTAGTTTTCAGATTGCCTCCAAAAAAACGAAGTCGGGCTTTTAAAGAAGATCCGTTCGTTTTTCTCAAAAAAGAAGATTCTAGATGGAGAGATATCGCGTAGGTTTGCAATTTCATTATACTTATATTTTGAGGACGCAATCTTGGAGGTTTGTTTTCCTTTGCGCATTATTGATTCTGGCGCAAGACGAAGCAGCGGAGATCAGCTCAACAGAACTGAGCGCGGGGCGAGTGCAGCGAGAATTCCAGAATTCGATCCAGCGTCAGAATCAATAATGAAGAAGAGAAGAAAATCGTAAACCTCCTAGAACCGGGCTAAAGCATATAATCAAATATAGGCTTTCTTGTGATATATGTGTTTCCATTGTTACGAGTTTCAGAAATCATTATGGGGTTTCGGAGACTTTTCCTTACCAAAATCTTCTGGGTAGAACAGTTGAAGCTGACAAGAAACGATCATTATACTTTGTGAACAACTCAGTCAAAGACTTTCTGCTTTGTAATCAAGATAAAGTTAACATTCACTTCAATTGCCATTGTTAATTAATTTTCCGTTATGAACTAATTGCTTCATTAAGCATTTCATAAGTTTCGAGGGACTTAATACATGTTTAAAATACCTTACATTTTTTAAGTGAATCAAAATTCATTTGATTTTTCCAAAAACGATTATAGGTAGTGAATTTAAAATCTTAAATAGTGTCATATATACTTGTGATGATACCCCTATGATTCTCTTGATTACAGGTGAAAGTAATTAATGCCGGTATTCGTATGTTTGGACGAGTTGAAAATAAATATAACTTATGTCGATTTAGACTACTGCAAGATGTTCGTACTTTTAAATGATATTTCTGTTGTTTGGAATGCTGAGTTTAAGAAATTTTCACTTTATTATAAATATGTTCAAAAAATAATTAGAGCTTTCAGGGTATCAAAACAATATTACCCCATCTAGGAAAAAGAGTTGTTGAAATCAGTGTAGAGGATATGAGGAAAATTTTGAAAACAGAGACGGGAAAAGAAAATTTCCCCAAGGATGAATTGGAATCAAATGAAAAATTTCGTGACATATCATCGGGAAGTATTGTTCTAGTCACGGAATTTAAAAGGTATTTTTATTAGTTGTAATTTGAAAAATGAATTGTTTACAATTTCAAGAAGCATCTCGCGTATGATAATTAAGAAGTTGATTTATAATTTAAATGTTTAAAATCAATTTATGTTATTCAAAGCATCCAAAATTGAATTTTTTAAATGTATTTATCTTCTGTTACATAATTTTCTTATCCTCTTCCAGTTTGAAACAAATTATTTGCGCCTGGATGGGAGCTAAAAGTATTGCTGCATATGTCAGTAAGGATGAAAGGATTCATGTGCTGCGGATGCTTGGTTGCGACACCACTGATCTCGGTTAATCAGCCCATTCATTTACTGTCATTTACTTTTACTACTGTCGTAGTCAGTTGTATGTGTTTTTTCACAAGTATTCAGTAGGGTCTGTAGATGATTTTCCGTATAAAGTTTGTAATTTTAAGAAAAATTAGTATGGACCAAGCGGCAGTCAAAAGCAATAAATGATCGAGAAGGTGCACATTGTCGAAAAAGTTATGAGAAATCGCTTGAAGTGCGACAAAACGAAGAAGAAATCAGCAGTGATCATTTAGAAGTGATTCAAAATGAATGCAAAGAATTTCACAGTTGCTGTACAACTGATTTGGCGGATGTGCCTAGTGAAGATGAAAATTAGTAGGGTTGTAAGTAAGATGAAAAGTAATCAAATACAATTAGTTTCCGTAATCAAGATTTAGAGTCTTCTGTTGTCAGATCTTTTTGGTTTTAAGTATGCATCGAATGTATGCATGAAAACAGGGTAGTGTTTGAAAATTGGTTTCGACTTACAATAGTTAATATATTGGAATCACAGTTCTTAATATATTTCGTTGTGATTGTTATCAATTGGAATCACAATGCTTGATATATGTTGTTAAATTGAAGTTTGTTAAATTGTTGGTATTATTATGCGGATATTAAGTTTTCAAATAAAACTAAACCGAATGTGAATAAGAAAGGAACCAGATAGTTCAGAACTTTGTATTTAATAATGGTTGTTGTTTTCTTAAATGAAGAAAATTGCAAAACAACTGAAAAATTGTAAACAATATGAGTCTGCCGTTTTTGTTTCAAGTTTTGGCTTAATGTTTTCGGAGGTCTATTTTTTTCGTTCAAAATTTAGTAAATACTTTAAATGTAATATACATGTCACTTTATTTTAGATGGAAAAAGGTTCCTCTTCCAACGATATGTTCAAGAAGTTGACATTTGGGATAAAAAGAAACAAGTTATGGCAACAAAGGAAAGAAATTAAAAGTAGACTACTTTTTATGTCGAAATAATTTTTGTATCCAAAATTGTAGTTGATAATACGAAATTACCTGCTTATTTCAATTCGATTTAAAATGAAGAAGACACAGTAATTGCAAGCTTCACTTTTTTCATCAGCTTAAATTTTAGCAGATGATGCTTTGTTGCGAGTTCGTTTGTTGCCTAAAGAGTATGAAAAGAACTTTGAAAGCAATGAGGATTTCAATGAACCACGCAGTAATATATTGTCTGAGAAAGGTAAAGGTTTTTTAAGCTAAGGGAACTATTATAAGCAATAGTTCCCTTAGCTTAAAAAAGTAACTATTAGGTAGCAAAATATTATAATGTAGCTTTTAGTAAGATGCGCCAGTTTAATTGAAAGTTTTGGAAGTTCCAAAATGAAAAGTAATTTGGGGTTATCATGTTAGTACGAAGGTTATCAATTTTTTTTTTGTTCCATTTTAACCTTCATCTTCATTTTTGAGATTTTTAGTGCTCAGTGCTCAGAAGTCGTATGTATTAAACCAATTTTTTTTTTGCTGAGATTGTTAAAAATCGAATTTTAGAGCCTGAGATTATCCGAGGACTGAACAGTGTTCCAAAAAAAAAGAAGAAGCGGAAAAGTTTGGTATTGAAGCGGGAACTGGTAAATTTGTTTTATGAAAATTTGTAATTGAGATCTCCCTGTTTTGTAAACCATTTATGGTGTTCAGGCCTCTCATTTGCGGAAGCTAAATCGAATATTTGTCTGGGGTGATGACATTCCTAATCCTCTGGTACATTTTGCCGAAATTGATGGATTACCTCAAGAATTACTTAGTAATTTAAGAGAATTTGGCATCTTAGAACCAACTCCAATTCAAATGCAAGCTATTCCAGTTATGATTCAAGAGAGAAATTTATTATGCAGCGCTCCAACTGGTTTGTTTTCATTAGTAATGTTTTCTGGTATTGTTAAATTTTGCAGTAAGCTATACAAAAACGATATTTCATGTTTCTTTATAATTTCTGATTTTATTTCAATCTTTTTTTCTCATCGACTTCAAATCTGTGAAGTATGGTTAAATTTTTTAGGTTCTGGAAAAACGTTAGCCTTCTCTTTACCGATTATTATTGATGTTATACGTCGTAAAAATAATTTTTCTGCTGACGAGAACAAGACATTAAATGCTATAGTGCTTGAACCGACATATGAGCTCGCTAAGCAGGTAATATTGTGTTGTAGTAATAAATTATTTTAAAAAAAATTTTTTTGAAATAGTATAAATATGCTCTAAATATTTCATATTTAAGCATACTTTCTCATTTTTTCTTCAAAATGTTTTTTACAGACGTACGTTCAGTTTTTAAAATTTTCTCAGAATCTCCCTGTTTTATCCGCTCTTTTGGAGGACGAAATACCTCAAAATGGTATGTTTTATATATTTGGTTCTCAAATATCCTTCCAAACTGTGAAGCTTATAATATCTTAAAAGACTTTCATTCGTTATTGATAACCTTAAGGATATTAATGTCTAGCAAATTTCTAGAAAATGGTATTTGTTTAAGGAAATTAAGTGGAAACTGAGTTTTATAATTCTAAATTTTTTTGATGAATATTCATATCTTGCAGCAAATATCATAATTTCAACACCTAAAAAATTGATATACGCTATCGAAAAAAACAAGAATATTTTCTCATCAGATGAACTAAGCTGGCTTGTTATCGATGAAAGTGATCGACTTTTTGATACTACAGAAGGAGAGCACAGATGCTTTAGGAATCAGGTAATTGCCAAGTTTGTATAAAATAATCTTCCTTTACTGAAGATTGGTTACTTTTATATAATAATTAGCTCGTTTTTATTCCTTTTAATTTTAACTCACTACAGCTTGCCAAAATATATCAAGCATGTTCCGGGAATGCCGTATGCCGTGCCTTTTTCAGTGCAACATTTTCATATGAAGTGGAGAATTGGTGCAAAAAAAACCTTCATGATGTAGCAATGATATGCATTGGAGCCAGGTATTATTAATTTCTGTGGCATTAAAATTTCTGGAATTACTTAAGACTCTCTTGACCTTCAGTCAAAATCGTTGTTGCATAAATTTTCCAGCGATATTTTTCAAATTTCGCAGTACAGTAAGTTCTGATGAGTGTTGTTAGATTATTGTTTATATTATTTCAGAAATTCTGCAATTAATACTGTGAAACAAGAGCTCATTTTTGCTGGATCTGAGCATGGAAAAGTTGTAGCATTAAGAGCATTATTTCATGATGGTTTTGAAGCTCCAGCACTAGTTTTCGTGCAGGTAACCCGTTTTGGTTTTATGCTTATAAATATTTATGTCTTATTTAGTTATTTCAATACACGTTGTAAAGTCATTTTCTAAACTTGATTATTTTCAAGAGCAAATTACGAGCTAGACAGCTGTTATCCGTTATAGAATCTGTGCGACCGCCAACACCAGCAAAGATAATTTCAAGTGAGAAAACAGAAACGGAGGTTTGTGCTTACTTTTTTGTTATGGAATTAATTTAAATGTAAAACATGAACAGGAACACAGAGAAACTTTAGAAACTTAATTATTCGTAATTTTATAGCGTGAGTACGCGATAACTGAATTTCGTGAAGGCCGCATTTGGGTTTTAGTTTGCACGGACTTGATGGGTCGTGGCCTTGATTTAAGTGGCATCAATTTAGTCATTAACTTTGATCTTCCGACTTCGATAATCAGCTATATTCATCGCATTGGTATTCGTAATTTTCATGATTTTCCTCGTAACTCTTTCTTATAATCTTGGTCTTTGTTATATCGTTAGATCACATCACTAACTGTCGAAAGTTGATTTTGTTTCTTCAGTTATAATTTTTGGTTTATTTCAACCTCATTCTGCCAATACATATGGAATATAATTGAATTATTGTCTGTTAGATGAAAAAGCCATCTCTTTCGAAAATTAATCTCGTTTATCTGAATGAGAGGTATCATAAAATATTTAGCTTCTAAATTTTGATGATTAGGTCGAGCAGGACGAGCAGGCCGAAGAGGACATGCAATCACGTATTTCACGGAAAATGACTTGGATTTTATTCGTCCAATTGCTTTTCTCATCAAACAAGCTGGTTTTGAAGTTCCAGAATATACTTTACGAGTGCGAAAACCAACAAAGAAAGTGCTGTTGAGAAGCTTTCATTTGTGATATTGATAGTGTTTTTATGTTTTATTTATTTTTTCTTCAGGAAGGAAAAGAAAAGACTTTTGAAACATGCTCCAAAGCGGAAACGCGTTGGTTCAGAAAAACAAATTGATGAGGAAGCAGAAACGCGTCAGAAAAACAAATTGTTGAGAAAAGAGAAGTAAACAAAATGAGGGAAAACCAAGTATAGGAGAAAGATGAAAGTTGTCTAGTTGCTGTTGTCTTTTTTTTTGTATTTGCATCAAATAGTTTTTGATAGTGATAATATAAAGCAAATAATATAAAATAAAATACTTATTGGTAGAAGCAGTGAGAAGGTGTCACTGACTAGACAGTTTATAATCGAAGTCATTTATGTCATGTTGCAAAAATAATTTTCAAAATTTACGGTGATAACATACTGAAGAGGAAGAAAAGTGATTTTAATTGGTTTTTTATGGTTTGTTATTACAGGAACTATTGTGGCACGGAATGAAGTATAAAATTATTTCAATATATAGTTTGCGCATAAAGACTTGTATTTTTACTGGTATGGTTTTTGTGCTTGTGAAGTTAATAAACTTCTACTTTATAATATTTAGCAAAATTTATGATAAGACTTTCAACGTAGTGTGCAGAAAAAGTTAAATTGGTATTTAGAGATCTTAAAGCTCAATCTTCATTTTCTGAAAGCGATAAACTCTTAGTAAGAAATCAGTCAAGTTGCTAGCTATAGGAAAATCAGGGTAACTTCTACATTCATTCATTACGTTTTTTCGACATATTATAACGTAGTATTGATTGAGACTGCATTGTTTTGTGTACCAAATTGGTGCACGAAATGAGCAAACGCTGTGTCAAAACTGCAGCAGTCTTCATTAGTGCACATGAAATATACGGTAGGGAGGTGCTCTCTTTGAAAACTATGGGGATTTCTCAACAAACGTGTGCTTATTTTGCAGGAAGAAATTTAAGTAAGAAAAGGGAAAGGGATTAAATTAATACAGCTTGAATTAAAGTATATTTTATATAAGTATTATAGCAGTCATTTTTTTATTGTAATCATTGTTATAGCTATAATAAAATGCAAATGGACCAGCTGGTTTCATAATGTTAGTTTCTGCTAAAACTACTGGATAGAAAAGAAAAAGAATGAAGTACAAACTACGAGATATTTCTTCGGACAAATTCTTCGAGTTGTGTAATGAGAACATTCACGTAAATATTCGCACCAGAACAAACTGCCATCCTTCATACATTTGTTAACACACGAAAACTTTGAATGCATTGAAATTTTACTGAAAAATGACGCAGCAAAGGAATCCCAATGACGAGCTGTATTGTTAATGCTACCAATTTGCTGACTACGTACAGATAAGGAAGGAGCATTATGCTAACTAACAATCAACAAACGAGTGCTTATTTTTCAACAAGACAGTTCACATGGAAGTGGATTTCAGTACTCTCAGGCAGTAAGAATACTGCGAAAAGCAGTTGCGCAAGCCATCATTTACATGCATCCAAATAATAGCACTGGACAACAATATCTGATACAGTTAATTCGGTAAAGAAGCTCTGCTTCATCAGGATGCCAAACTTTTAATCACTTCATTCTTTTTTAATAATTTTTATACAAAATTGTTCGTTTGAAAGTCAAAAACTGGCCGCATATCAAATTATTTACCATCAATAACAATGAAAGGTCAAAAGGAAAAAAAACGCTCGTCCAGTTCAATATCTATTAGCTGACTGTAAATTCTAACTGGGAATAAAAATTTGCACTGTTATCAGATTTATCAGTAATTTTGCAAAATAAAACCAGCAAAATAATTCCTACGATTAAATCCAATATGACTCATAAAACATACATTCAATTCTAATTCAGAGATAAATAACACCACGTCAACTATTTAAGTCCACGTGTAAACAACGACAAATAGATTCAAATATCGATGCAAATTAATTTTCGAACATTTCTCACTCCATTTTAATATGTTTATTTGTATAAATCAATAATGACTTTTTAATATGTTCGGAAAAATAAACATAATATAATATAAAGTTGCGGAAAAATTATTACAAAGGATAGTTGTGATAACAGTAGTGGCCAAGTACTGGTATACCCTGCTTACACTTTGTTAGTTTAGTCTAAATTCATCTGACCCTTGACTCTATTTTGCCACTGAGTACAGAAAGCGGAAGAGAAAAAGTTGCGCCAACAGTTAGCTGCAGTACCAAGTGGTTGTGATGACAGTAGAGGCTAAGTAGCACTGCTAGAGCCTTGCTTAAGCTCCATTATTTTAGTGTAAATTTGTCTGACTTTTGATCCTCTTAGTAATAATGAGTAATTTTTCTTTCAGTTTACTTCAAGTTGACGGAATGATGTCGAAATATACTTGCCAGTCTTTTGCTCTACTTACTACCTTTTCGTTGTGTGAAAGACTGCAAAAAAGTCTGGCATCAATTATTTACTTGGATAGAAGTAGTCATAATGATTTACAAGTACTCTTCTAGGCGATGACATTAAGAAAACTATACTCAACTAAAGATTATTATTGATATCGATTAACAAATGGAGATATAAGAGATATGAGTAAAATTCAAATCAAATTTTTTGTTGATGCCACTTCTTAGCACTATCTTTACTCCAGTAAATAGTATTATTTGCTTAGAAGCAAAGTAGATCTGAGCGGAGCTTTACTACCTATGAGTCGATTAAGTCAGAGATTTATCTGTCTATACAGTTATTCATGCATAGAATATATGATGAAAGGTCAAGGGGATGTAGTAGATGTTACGTGAGAGGCGGAGAGTACGTTTTAGGACAGCTCATTAAAGATCATGAGAGTGCTGTAGCAGATCTGCAATATCAAGACCGAAAGGGTCTTAAGATCTCTCTCAAGTAATAGGTAGTATGTGAATAGTCGAATCTCTCCGCAGCCAGATAAACTGACTATCTGTCATATTAGTCTAACGAAGGTAAAACGCGGCTTCTCGTTTTTTACTGTTCTTACTTCAATCTATTCAGGATCTGTATGCAAATGTGGTGTATTTTAGTATTTGTCTAGCAAGTCTTTCGCCATTCTAAACAGATGGTTAGAAACTAATTTTTATTCATCGTACAGATGCATGGTTTACTGAATTCGCTGAGTTCGTTGGGCAGACAAGTGCGCTGTTTCACTACTGTCTCAGGTAGATTAATGAGTAATAAGATCAAAGTAGCAAATGCGGTTGTTGATTTGGATGGAGATGAAATGACAAGAATTATTTGGGCCGATATCAAAAACAAGGTTGTTTCTATATCTATTTTCGCTTGTTCTTTCAATTTAGCACAACAAGCAGAAGTAGGAATAATTTGTTCAACTCAGGTAGCTAGTGCTATGTATTATTTCAGTGTGAATAGTGTTTTGTTACCAATTAATTTCAGCAGAGAATGCACGAGATTTTGTTTTTTCATTTTTCAGTTGATTCTGCCTTATTTGGATATTGATATAAAGTACTACGACCTCGGCTTACCCAATCGAGACAAAACCGACGATAAAGTTACTTTAGAAGCTGCTGAGGCGATTAAAAAATACAATGTAGGAATCAAATGTGCTACAATTACACCTGATGAAGCTAGGTATAGTAACCAAATAGCATTTTGTTTTTTTCTTATATTTGTTCTTGTGATAAGTAGTGAGCATATTTTGAGCCCTTTCTATCTCATTTAGTATTTCATGAAAAAATTGATAGATTTTATTCTTTTAAAAATCTCCTTCAAATATTTGTTAGACAAATTTTATCTTTTATCCGAATGAACAAAGTATGAACTAGCAAAATTGTCGTTGATCACATTATGTAACAGTTCATCAGTAATTTAATATTTTATCATTAATAAATAACACTCATAGAAATGAATCTCGGAATGCAAAAACGTTAACAGAAAGGGTATTTTAACAGAGTGAAAGAGTTTAACTTAAAAAAAATGTGGCTGAGCCCAAATGGTACTTTGCGAAACGTGCTTAGTGGAACCGTTTTTCGTGAACCAATATTATGTAAAAATATACCAAGACTTGTGCCAGGATGGAAGGAACCAATCGTCATTGGACGTCATGCATTTGGCGACCAGGTAAGTAAGACTTTTGTTTATATCCGTTGGTCCAAAACTAAACTAATTGACTTGCATGATCTTTACTTTTGTAGTTTTGGTTCGCACACTTTTCATTTTCTCTTCGTAATCATTCATTATCAGTCTATTGAATAATTTTTTTTTAATTGAATTAATTACTACTTGCAGTATAAGGCATTGGATATTGTTGTCAAAAAAGGCACAGAATTTCAACTTTGTGAAGTTATTGGTGGAAATGACAAGCGGCATGATGTATTCACATTTAGTAAAAGCGGTGGAGTTATCATGGGAATGTATAATACTGATGAGGTTTCTCTAGATAAATTGCAGTCAAATAGAGAGTAGTCGCTGCAATAAATTTTTGTAATTAATTATGAAAAAATTATGTGTAAAATTTGTACCAAAAAATTAATGTCATTGCATAATAAATTCTCATATAGTTTTTAAGCTTGCTGTGTTGGCTCAGTATTTGGTAGTGAAGGCGCTGTATATTTTTTATCAATTTCAGAGCATTACAGACTTCGCACATTCATGTTTTCAATATGCTTTATTTAAAAAGTGGCCTCTCTATCTTAGCACCAAAAATACGATATTAAAAAGATATGATGGGCGTTTCAAAGATATTTTTATGGATATTTATGGAAGGTATTTGCTTCACTTTACTATATTAAGTTCCATGAAGTATATAAGTATGTAATTACTAACTTCAATATTTCAGATTTTATGAAAGTGACTTCAAGAAGGCAAATATTTGGTACGAACATCGATTAATTGATGATATGGTCGCTCAGGTACAAATGTCTCAGTGGCTGTTTCTAGTTCACTTCATCTTTAAAGTTTTTTGAATGTGGAAGTTTTTCCAGATGCTGAAAAGCGCCGGTGGGTTTGTTTGGGCATGTAAGAATTACGATGGTGATGTTCAGTCAGATGTTATCGCTCAAGGTTCAACGATTGTAGATTTTTGTGACGATTTTGTCATTTAAAAAAAACCCTAAGATTTTCTGTTTAATTCTGCAGATATTTCAAAACAGCTTGTAGGTTATGGATCGCTAGGTTTAATGACATCAGTACTAATGTGCCCGGATGGTAAAACGATAGAATCAGAAGCAGCTCATGGTACTGTGACCCGACATTACCGAGAGCACCAAAAGGTAATTACTATTACAATTTTTTTCACGTCTTCAGTACACACGAATTTCTCACGACTTCTTTGGTATGTGTAAAATATAGTTTCAAATTGATATTTGTAATAGATATGACTATAAATCTATTAAGGGTAAGCCAACATCGACAAACCCAGTAGCCTCTATATTTGCGTGGTCAAGAGGGTTGGATCATCGTGGTAAATTAGACAATAACGATGAACTTCGAAGGCAGTTTTTTACATTGTACTTATGTTCAAATATACTTTGAAGAATAAAGCTTAACATTTTGAAATAAATGAAAAAGGTATCGGATAGCACTTTAAACATATGTTTTTTAAAGAAATACTGATTTCTAAAAAAAACTAAAGAATGCAATTTTTTTTTGTTGGCATAAAAATGCTTTACACACAGTGATCAGACTATACAATTACAGGTTTGCGCGAGCTTTAGAAGAGGCATGTGTGACAACCATTGAGAATGGGAAGATGACGAAAGATTTAGCAATTTGTATACATGGTCAGAAAGGTGCAACACCTAGTACTTATCTGAATACGGAAGATTTTTTGAGTGCCGTTGATAACAAACTACAGCTGCTAATGAAAGTAAATATGGCGGCTGAAAAGTAATGAAGAGTTACCTTCCTTTCCATAAATGTAATATTCTGCAAGGTTCAAAGTACCACGAAACATGTTTTATTTGTTGGATTTATTGTACTTTTTAGACATTTTGTGATAACTCCTTATAACATTTCAAAATCAACGCTAAACTTAGTGGATAAATAAAAATTTTCTAGGGGCCATTAAAATAGAGCATTTAACACTTTTCACATTTTTATAATCAAGAGGATACAAGTACTTCCGACTGAAACAAAAGCACTTCTAGTATAACCTCAAGCAAAATAGCATGTTGCAAACTCATTCAGTTTTAATTGGCATAATATTCACAAGAAATAACACTCGTAATAAGTATAAGAGGGAATCAAAGTATTTCGGTTCTTTATCACTGGTAACGAGCTACCATTATTAGTAACAAGAACTGAGGCCAAATGACTTCCACTACTTTTCTTTTGGAACTTTGATAACTGCGGCTAGTTCCTAACAGCTTGCTTTCGGTTGCATTGGTTGGATAGGAATTTCTATAGTTGCTTGCCTCTTTGAAAACGGTGATTCTGCAATCGTTATGTACGGTGACCTGACGCCGTCGCTTACTAAAGGTATTTCTGGATTTGGAGTGTACCGTGACTTCAATACGAATCCAAAATAAATTCGAGCAGCTTCAGACCAGATATTATCCACTTGAACCAACACTTTACATAGAAGGCGATAAGTTTGTGAAGCAATCTCTTTAAAATCACTTCCTCGAGGGCGAAACAAAGTAGAACTGCGATCAGGATAATCCGTCTATAACAGTACAAATTTCTTCTTGAAAGATAATTCAAGTAAATTGTACTCATCCTTCACAATTCCTAGTTTTACAGCATTTTGGCAAACCTATACCCAATCTGTTTTCAATTTCAATCTTCTATTTTGTGCTAAATTATCAACCTTAATTCTGAATCGAGAAATGTCGTCTTTGTTGAAGTTATGTAATATAATATTGATCGAAATTCCAAGTGGTAATCCAACAACGAAACGAATTGGTTCATTAGGAATTTCTGATGGTTCAACAATCTGAAACAGCAGTTCACGAAAAGATAAGAAAATATTCGTTTATTGGAATAAAAAGAAGTTAAGAAATTTATATTTTCCGTGAATGAATAAAACAAGTATTTTTAAAGGTATTTTGAAAGAATTATAAACCTGGGCCCATTTGATACAAATGCCGCAGAGTGATGTATATTTTTTTTGAAGCAAAATTGGGTTTGATTGGAACAAAGCAAACAGATTCAGACCATTAACAAGCTTCTTTGCTTCTGATTTATCCAAAATTCTTTTAATTCCAATTAATATATTTATCATTGACTCACTTGGAGATACCGATAAAAACTGCAATTGCCTTAAAAAATATGACAGATTACAAAGCAGTAAACATTAAAAAGATAGAATTACAAAAGAAGTACAGAATGTGGTTGACACAAGTGAGTATAAATCAAGGAGTGGCGAAAAAGCAAAACAGAACTCCTTAAATCGATCCACTTCCAAATTTATGAGCTGATGTGAGTCGACATGAGCTCCAGGTTCCAATTCAAATAATACAGCTAGGCGTAAAATAGAAAGTTGAAAGTGGAACTCTTGAAGCGTTCCCATCATTCTCTTGTCAACTGATGAAAATTCGTCATCGGTACGTTCCAAAAGTCTTAGACCCTAAATAGTGAGTACTGAAAGCAAAAGTAAAGAGTTTTGGAATAAAAAATAAGTTAACCACAAATAGTAGAATTGTAACCTCATCAATAGCACTCAGTGCAACATGCAAATCCCCTCCATAAGACAGAATTTTTACACTGAGTTCACACTGAGTAAGAATCTTTAATAAACAGGATAAGAATTGCGCGGTACCAGCTACTTCTTCATCACTTTCACATAGAGCATCCATATCTCTGCACAAATAAAGTAAGACAACAGTTTAGAAATTTTCATGTGAATAAAATTTCAATTTACTAATGCTATATAATAATTTTAATTAATTTTATTATTAGTGTTGAGAGCAAAAATAAAGAAGTTTTCTTAGAACAAAAGCTAGCTAATACTCGAAACTTCTGATGACAATATCAAGGTTCTTCTGACAAAATAATACCTAAGCAAATGAGTTTTTTCAATCATACGCTGGTCACAAGATTGAGCTTGAGAGGCTTCTTGCATCATTTTATAAGTATGCTCAAGTAAGGAGCGAGTCCGTTCTCCAGAAAAAACTACGGTGATATCGGAGTTATCACTATTTGACGTGCTTCCATTCGAGAAAGCCTAAATGAAAGATTAATACATTTTTGAGAACCTATATCTAGAATGCAAACTGAGGGCATACACCAACTCAAATTTTAGAAACTTACAGCAACAGCAGGTACCAAAATAGGCATTGAGCATCGAAGAAAATTATAATGCCGTACAACAAACGATGGCAATAACGAAGATATAGGATCATGAACACTTGCAGCATTCAGTATCAGTATGAGCTTGGATAAATCTAAAAAAATTTGTTTAATAATAATATTTATATAAGTAATTTAATTATTAAAGAGTGCCAATTTAAGAAAAGAGAAATGTGAAAGGTAAAAAAAGCTCATATATTTTTATGGACAAGAATTTCTCAACATATGGTAGTGAATATAACATAGCACTTACAAAAATGATCGTCTAATACTGGTTCTGTAATATCAAATACAGAATGTAATTCAAGCAACTCATCACACAAAAGCTGAACGAATGTTGCATGACGGCGACCCAGATTGCTCATACATCTAAACAATTTACAAAGTACGAATGAACTGAAAAGAAACAAATTTTTAAAAGTACTGCAGATTTCTGTGGTTCTATAGTTAGGAACTAAATATAAAACACTATTTACAAAAGTTATTGCACTTTGCAATACCAGTAGGATTTACCTGAAAACTGACTGACGATCAATTGGAAATCTTTTCATGCAATTGAGCAATGCCTTTACAACACAACGCAAACAATCAGGGGTCCCTAATGTTGACTCAGAAAGCAATATACGCAGTGCTTCTCGGCTGTCTGGTAACGCATCCTTGAAAAATTATATATATATATATATAT